GTATGTATGTATGTATGTATGTATGTATGTATGTATGTATGTATGTATGTAGTAAGTAAGTAAGTAAGTAAGTAAGTAAGTAAGTAAGTAAGTAAGTAAGTAAGTAAGTAAGTAATGTAATGCATGTAATGTATGTACGTATGTATGTATGTGTGCATGCATGCATGCATGCATGCATGCTTACATACATGTATGCATGTATGTATGTATGTATGTATGTATGTAATGTCATGTAATGTCATGTAATGTAATGTAATGTACTGTACTGTAATGTATGTATGTATGTATGTATGTATGTATCCTTGCACTTCCCCTTTGCTCCCCAGTATTTCCCGCAAAAAAAACACGGTTTTTCCAGCGTTTTCGCAAAGAGGACGTCCAAAAACATTGAGTTTTTCCAGATTTTCGGCAAAAGGATGCAGGAAGCCCAAGCCAGCAAAAAAGCCGGCAGGGGGAATCGAGCCTGGGACCCCTGTTTTGCGACACCGGCTCCCCGAAGACTACGTTTAGTGGAACGTCATCAAATTGCCGCGCGGTACGTGGGGGACCCCCCCCCCCCCCCACAAAAGCCTACGTAATAGACGTCGGGCGGGGGGGGGTTAGGGGGGGGGTTATCCTCTATCCTCTAGTAAGTATCCGACACGCCGAGCAATGTCGGCGGAATGTATGTATGTGTGTAATGTATGTATGTAATGTATGTATGTAATGTATGTATGTATGTATGTGATGTAATGTAATGTAATGTAATGTAATGCATGTATGTATGTATGTATGTATGTATGTATGTATGTATGTATGTATGTATGTATGTATGTATGTATGTATGTATGTAATGTGTAAGTGTGTGTATGTATGTATGTATATGTATGTATGTATGCGTATGTATGTAATGTATGTATGTATGTATGTAATGTATGTATGTATGTACATGTATGTATGTATGTATGTATGTATGTATGTATGTATGTATGTATGTATGTATGTATGTATGTATGTATGTATGTATGTATGTATGTATGTATGTATGTATGTATGTATGTATGTATGTATGTATGTATGTATGTATGTATGTATGTATGTATGTATGTATGTATGTATGTATGTATGTATGTATGTATGTATGTATGTATGTATGTATGTATGTATGTATGTATGTATGTAATGTATGTATGTATGTATGTATGTATGTATGTATGTATGTATGTATGTATGTATGTATGTATGTATGTAATGTATGTAATGTATGTAATGTATGTATGTATGTATGTATGTAATGTAATGTATGTATGTACGTATGTATGTATGTATGAATGTATGTATGTATGTATGTATGTAATGTATGTATGTCATGTATGTATGTATGCATGTATGTATGTATGTATGTAATGTAATGTAATGTAATGTAATGTAATTTAATGTAATGTACGTAATGTAATGGGGGGGGGTTATCCTCTATCCTCTAGTAAGTATCCGACACGCCGAGCAATGTCGGCGGATATATGTATATATATATATATATGTAAAGGTGTAAATCGAGCCAGTTTTGTGCTGTCTGCTTGCTTTTGTTGAGATCTCGTTTAGCAGTTTTTGAGGTTTGGCGGAGGCGGGTGTTTGGTTGAGGCCAAGTAGGACCTTACCCTGCAACAGGAAGCCAAAATGAGGATAGATAAGCAAAAATACCGATCCCCCACTCAACAAATCCTCCCTGAAAAAGCTGCCCCGAACCCCTTGTCGCCTACCTGGGCGTTCAGACCAAATCCATCGCTTTCAGCTACCGATCGCAACCAAACATAGGTGCAGGTGCCTTCCAGAGCCTCGCCTTCCTCAACTTGCAACAGTTTTTTTGCTATAAAGTTCAGAAAGACCTGCCCAGTTGTTTAAGCATTGTTGCTGTATCAAGGTGTCGCTTGGTTCACAGTTTCACCTTTGACCCAGTAGGTGGTGTCATAACTCTCTTTACTGGGGTGTGCTGCTTTCATATCTCATAGGGGTTGGCGGAAGTTGTTTTTATTGTCCCTATTCCAACTTGTTTTGCATGGATTCCCGAAATAAATTGGACGTGCCATGTTTCCAGCAGAGATTTGTGGAATGCCCAAATGTTCTTCCCCTCATGGTCTCACAAGGCATATGCGAACATGTGTCGAGGACTTGGTTCAGGTTGTCTCTGGATTGGCGGTTTGGGAATTTTCACCCCTGGTTCTTGTAGAGGGTAGATGGGAAAATCGCCAAACCACCAATTGGCAGTGTCTCACTTACAAGTAGATAAACCCCGCACTCCTAATACCCACTTTTTCTAGGGTATTTTTTGGAAAAACCCTGGGTTCCCATGGTAAATTCCTCCTTTTTTAGTAGAGGGTCGACATCATACCCTAAGAAAAGGCCCCGGTGCCCCCCTCTCCCTCGAGGGGTTTCAGGTTCCCTTCGGTGATTTTGAACAAGCGGGTGGAACCCCTGGTTCTTGTGGGTAAATGGCAAAGCCCCGAGCCTCCAAGCCTTCGCCCAACTGGAGGGAAGCTGAAGGTGACATATGGCAACTAGAAACTCTACCATTCCAACTACGCTCCAGATGAACATGGCGCCCCCCAAAAGGCACAGAGAAGTCTCCCTGGAACCTCCTGCAACTTTTCCTCTGGCCAGGTGGCAGCAGCGCTACTTCCGGCTAGAAGGCTTGGAACGTACCAATTGACGGTGTCAGACATCAAGCTCGCGGAAGCCAACTGCGGGCCCCCTTGGAGAAACACCTCCGCTTGAAGCGCTTGCAGCGGTTCCGAACTCTCCGTTTCATGTTGTGAAAGCTCAGGTGGATTCTTACTTGACATGTTATGAAAGCATGTGAATTATGGCTTGAAAGGGTATGAGTCCCAAAGTGCCTGCATTGCATCACCAGTTTGTTGCAGGCTGCTTCTTGCGGTACACGCAGACCCCCGCCAGCAACACCAAGAAGACCTTTAACCTGCAGAAGGCTCATGGCCTTTCGGCGCCCTGGCAACAAATTGGTTCAGCTGGGTTTCAATCTAGGTGGCGGTTCAAAGAAGCTCAGGTGATATATCCCCAACAGCACGCGGCGCTCTTTGTCGACCCTCGCGGAACCCTCCTCCAAATTTTCGAAGAACACTGCCGACGGAAATTTTGCGGAACCTTTGCCGAACGCAGCGGAACCCTGGAACCTTACCTCCGAACCCTCCCCGGACCACCCGAGCCTACCTGGGCTGAGGCCCCAAAGCTTTCAGATGGGAAAAAGGCTTCAAGATAGTATCGCTCTTGGCAGTGCCCTTTATCGCGTTTCATGGGTTTTTGACAGATTCTTGTCCATGTGCCACATCTTCGTGGGGGCTTCAACTTGCTGCAGGACAAGCCTGCGCCAGACCACCCCGGAACCTCTGGAACCCTCCTTGAACCTCCGGAACCAGGCTTGACCAGACCACCCTGCAAGCCTGCGCCATTGCTTGAACCTTATACCGGGCCTGTGCCAGACCACCCCGCAACCTCCAGAACCTTCCTTGAATCTGACACCTTGCACCAGACAACCCCAGACACTCCGGCACCTTCTTGAACCTTGCAGCACCAGACCACCCGGAACCTCCAGACCTGTCCCTTACACCTTGCACTCAGACCACGCCAGAACCTCCGGAGCCTTGCTCGAACCTGACGTCAGAGCTCCCCCGAGACATCCCCAAACCTTATTTGGGCTGAGACCCCCTAGCTTTCAGCTGTTCTGCAAAAATGGAATCCCCAAAATGGCATGGCAAATGGAAACAAAGACTAAACCTGCGTATTTCCAGTTCTTGAATTTTGAGCCGCGCCCGGGTATGCACTATTAGTACTGGTAAATCGACACACTGGACACAGGGTACATGCATGGTTTGGTTCAATGATAATCATGCCGGTTATGAGTCCTAAAGTTGAGCAGATGGTGTGTTCGCGCCGCCCAACCTCGAAACCCGCTGGGCCACAAGTTCCTACAGTTTGAAATGGGGCGGCTCCCGGACAGGCTTCAATAGCTCCCGGGCTTTTGGTTTCAGCCGGGGGTTGGGGCCTTTCGGTTTGCTAATTTCAGTCTCAGTTTTGAAGTTATGCTTGGGAGCAAAGACATGAGCTATTGGTTTTCGGCAGAAGAATGATGCCCAAGTGGGAATCCGTTTCCGTGACACCAAAGTGTCCCTTGAAGGGCATGACTCTAAAGCATCACTTGCGCAACTGACAACAACTGCTGGTAGTGTATTGTTGTCAAAATCAAAATCCGGAGAATTGGAGGGTAGCTAGGGACAATCCCAGCCATAAATGGGTGCGGCCGCCTTTTCAATTCTTTATATGGCTCTGGGTAGGCCATGTCAATACCGGGTTTTGAGTATGTTGTCTTGGGAAAACAAGTCATTTTGTCCCTGTCCCCTGTCACCCAGAAGGCAATGTGCTAACACACTTGGGTTATCACTTCACGTACAACAATCTCGCCTAAGCGCCTTGCACCAGAACAGAGCCCCAGGTCCCTCCCCATAGAGGTCCATGCAATGTGTGGTTCCTCTTAGAGCGAAAGATGTGCGTGATAAACCAACAAGTGCTTTCCTTTTGTTAGGTCTGAAGAGACAACAAACACAGCAGGAAGGAGTTGTTCGTGTTTTTTGTTTTTTTTTTCCTGTTCAGTTTGCAAACTTTAGGCTATTGTTGCCAGCTAGGCAGTCAACGTGTTCCTTTTGTTGCCCTTCAAAACTACCTCAAAGAGATCACCCGGAACAAAGGAGAAGACAAACATCAACGATGTAAAAAAAAGAAGGAGAGGAACAAAAAACAAAAAACGGACCCATTTCACCTTACCGCCAGTTCCCCCGGTCGCGAGGTGGAGGACCGCGAGCTGGTCTTGGACTTCGGCTTCCGCTGCTGGCGCCTACGTGCCCTCGAATCGGTTGGTCGGGGTTTGAGTTGGGGGTCGTTTCTGTGGGGTTTTCTGGGGGGTTTCTGTTTGTTTTTTTGATTTGATTTGGGCTTTGGGGGTTTGATTTGGTCGTTTCTGAGAATGGCCGTGGTGGTCCAAACTTTTTTCCCGTTTCCTTTATTGGTTGGGAGGGTTCCCCTACTAAAATAGACCACAGAAAAAAGATCGGGTACCACCTTATTCTAACCTCTCTACTGGAGGACCTCAGAAATTGCCACATGGAAACCATTCCCTTTGGGGAAATCCACCCTGTTTCGGTGGGAAATCAACCATTTGGGGGAATCAAGCATGTGTAACTGTGAAAAATAGCTGCCGCAAAGGGCTTGCCCTGGTAAATGGAAGGGACTAAAAGCTGCGGTCCCCTGGTGGTTTAGTTTTGACCCACACCCAAACAGGTTGGCTGGGTTCCTTTCGATTTCCCTTGAAAAACCAACCAACAGCGGCTGCACCATAGGGTCCAACAAAACGGCATCCACTCTATGAGCGAGCCCGGTTGCCAAAGTCAAAAGGAAGGGATATCCTCCCTTGAACCCATTGTATAGGTGTGTGGCTTTGGCAGGGTTGCTCAAAGGATGAATGCCGGCAAATTGAATATCACGTTTATCGGCTGATTTGGGAGCAAATCAGGTCTTTGTTTTTTTGTTTCGTGCAGATTAACATGAAGCCCAAAAAGGACGTCCCCGAAAAGGAGATTCCTCGAAGAAACATATTCATAATATGGTCGTCGGGTGATGTCAATCTGACGAGTACGATGTAGAAAGGGGACCAACAGGTTTTCGGGTCTGTCAATCTGCAAGGCGGGAGTAATATGAGGGGCCAAGTGATTGTTAACAGTATCCCCCCTGCAATCATAACGAAATACCATGTTGAAGTACCCCACAACCACATTGTAAGCTCCTCTGTATGTCATGTGTTTTTTTCTTTTTTCGGGGATTTGTTCCACTTCAGCCTCGCGGAACCTGAGGTGCCATGGACCCAGAAGAGGCCCGTCGGTGGCTGGTGATGCTGGAAGCAGGGCGCTTGGTTGCAGGAGCTGGGGAGGCTTGTTAGGATGAGCTCACCGGTCTGGGGGTAGCACGTTTTTTCATGAAGGTTGAATATCGAATCCTTTGCTTGATCCAGGTCTTATCGTGGGCGATTGTGTGTTGTAAATGTTTGGTGGTCGCATTTTGGCAGTTGCAGACACAAAGGAAACCACCCACCCGAAGAAGCGCTCGATTGAGACAAGCCTCCCATGTTGAGGGTTCTTCTTTGATCATTCGGATTAACGTTCCCTGGTTGTTAGATCCTAATCTCCAAATCACTCATCCAGACCATTAGTTGAGCTTTGGTGGCAAACCATAGAACATTTAGCAAGTACAAAAGTTTGCTCATAGAAAGGAGCACCTTTTGCAAAGATAGAAGAGTCATCAATGAGCAGAAGAATGGGTGTGGCTGGTACCAAAAACAAAATATATCATGAATCATGTATGCCGGATACATGATTTTCCGTTGGGCGTGGGCACTTGTCATCCGAGTTTCAACTCTTCCAGGAGACGCAGAGGATGGGGACGCCAGCGAGAGCGATGACGAGTCCTTGTCCTTGTCCAGTTCCTCGTCGCAATGCTTAATGGGGGCACCCAAAACGTATTTGACTTCCGTAGCTCGGTATCTACACAGTTGTTTGTCCGAAGTTTGGAACCAATAGGTTTTGTACCCTTGGGTGTTGTTTCTTCTTTTTTTTTTTCCGACAGTCTAATTTCAATGGCTGGTGGACGCAAATCCGCACCTAAATGAAGCCCACCCGAAGATCTACTGAGAGTTCAGACATCGACGGGAATCTCTCTTTTCCATTTTGGCACCAGTTTTTTGAGCCACAGCCATATTGGGAGGATGATACTTTCTCAAGTTAGGGCCCCCAAGAATGGCTGGTCTTGCTTTAGGTTTGCTTCAATGAACAGCTTCAATGAACAATAAATAAGAAATATAATTGTAAATATATTATTCTCATGTTGAATACTTATTTTGTCAAAGGAAGTTTAGGAAGAAACTTCCGTGGTACGGAAACTAATTGAAGGATAGCTGATGATTAGAAAGAACCTTGTCTGAGCGCGCGAAGAGATAGAGAATGCGCAAAAGCGTGGCAGGGTGCAGGAAATCGCTGCTGCAGATGTGCGAAAGGTACCTCTGCCACGGCGCCTGTTTGGGACGGTCTCGGAACGGTCTCGGACGGGGGGCCAGTGGCACGGCCGCGCGGAGGTTTCGCAAGGTTAGAATTTCGTGGCAGGCGCAGCACTTTGGCGACCCGAGGTATAGATTTCGTGGCAGGCGCAGCACTTTCGCAAGGCCAAGTATAGATTTCGTGGCAGGCGCGCCATTTCCGCAGCGCTGGCACGGACGCATCGCAAATCCCATTGGCACGGGCGCGCAAGGTGGCGCATGCAGATTTCGTGGCAGGCGCAGCACTTTCGCAAGGTCAGGTGCAGATTTCGTTGCGGGCGCAACACTTTCGCATGGTCGAGTAAGATTTTGTGGCAGGCGCAGCACTTTCGCAAGGTCAGGTACAGATTTCGTGGCAGGCGCAGCACTTTCGCAAGCCCGCGCGACCTTGCGTGGCAGGGAACAGGAAATCGCTGCTGTAGATGCGCGATGCTAGCTAACTCTGAAGCTTCGGCCCGAAAATCGCAACTTTCAAGCACGAAAGTAGTACGCGAAGTGTACTCTGGCAGCTCGGGCTCGAAAATCGCAACTTTTAAGTACGAAAGTAGTACGCGAAGTGTACTCTGGCAGCTCCGGCTGGAAAATCGCAGGCTCTGGCAGCTCGGGCTCGAAAATCGCAACTTTTAAGCACGAAAGTAGCACGCAAAGTGTACTCTGGCAGCTCCGGCTGGAAAATCGCAGACTCTGGCAGCTCGGGCTCGAAAATCGCAACTTTTAAGCACGAAAGTAGCACGCAAAGTGTACTCTGGCAGGCGCAGCACTTTCGCAAGGCCAAGTATAGATATCGCAAATCCCACTGGCACGGGTGCGCAAGGTGGGGCACGCAGATTTCGTGGCAGGCGCAGCACTTTCGCAAGGCTAGGTACAGTTTTCGTGGCAGGCGCGATACTTTCGCAAGGTCAAGGACAGGCGCAGCACTTTCGCAAGGTCAGGTACAGATTTGGTGGTAGGCGCAACACTTTCGCAAGGCTGGGTGCAAATTTCGTGGCAGGCGCAATACTTTCGCAAGGTCATGTACAGATTTCGTGGCAGGCGCAGTTTTTCGTGATCGAAGGTACGATTACACTCTTCCACTGCAGCTTAACACTTTTCCAGCTGCAGCTCGAAAATCGCAAGCGTTAAGTACAAAAGTAGTGTTCGAGGTGCAGGTCGAACTTCGCAAAAGTCGAGTACAAAAGTAGTTTTCGAGCTTGGTAGATAGCTAGATAACTAGGTGGATAGATGGATAACAAAGTTTTCGGGTAGAGACATGGATAAACCAATATGCACATGTCGGTCGTGCTGAGCTCTTGCCGCGCGTGTTGTTTTTTGGCTTGCAGTCTCTGGTGACTTGAGCTGTCTACACCAAACACACTAACACTAGAGTCAACAGAGGTAACGAACAAATGTTGTCGACAAATACAGACTTCTTCACGGGCATCGCGCAAGCTTAAGGCAACTTGTTCTAGCCACTGTTTGTTGCTTGTTCCTGCAGGACAGACACGCCAGAGCATAGACAACCGCACGGGAGAGCAAACACACTGTTCCTTAGCAAACGGTGTCGCCCCGCGAGGCGCGCGAGGCGTTTGCTTGAAATGAAGTGCAGCTGGGAGGTTCTGGGAGCGAATGTTTTTGACATGGCATGTTCAAGGAGCAAGGCACCCCCGCTGAAACCAGCAACAATGCAAATGCTATAAGCCCCATGTGTTTTAGAAACTTCCGCCTCCCGGCTTTGCCGGCTCTACTGGTATTGCTAATGAAATCTCATTTGCAATCATATCCTTGTCCTCTGATCATAAATTATTGTTGGAATCTTCTTCTTTTTCTTTTTTTTGAATTACTAGTTTATTACAAATTATCTCTGGAATCTTCTTAGGCTTACATGTAACATCAGATATTAGCTCAGCATATGTTAGTATTTTCTTTTTAATTAGTGCAAGAGCATCTGCTTGGTTGGGCTTTGATGTGACCTTTGTATTCCCTCGCCCCAGCTCAACAAACCAACTCATCTCTTCTTCATCTCTTCTTGGCAGGAATTTGCCCTTAGCCGAAGGATGTCCTTGCGCTGCTGCCAGCCATGGTATGACTTCAGCACATGGAAATTTGGATCTTATGAAAGTTTCTTCGAGATCACGGCATGCAGGGTGAATGTGGATCCCCCTTTATGTCCATAGTTTAACAGGATGATGAGCCCTACAAATTGGGAGGCTTTGCAAGTTCACCCAACTGTTGTCATTGCGACTCAGCTTGATCCGACGTGTTGAGGCCTTCTTTGGTTTGTTGAATCAGTCTCGGTTTGCCGTCTTGAGGGCTCTCACGGCTTGCCTGTAATGGCCATATTGTTTAACTTCTACCCGTAGCAATCCACCAACCCCAGACGATGAAGCAAGCGACTGATCGAACCGACAAAAGTGCGCAGCCCAGCTGACAACCAACCGATCACTCAAAAGCAAGCCAATTAGCAAAGCCAGGGTTGTGGACAAATGTTGGGCTGGAGTTCTGTGAAGGTGTTTGGGAAGTCCCCTTGAGAGTGACTCGTAGGGATGGGAATAAGCCACTAAACGGTGAAACTGATTTTGGGGCACCTAAGTAGACTGTCAACAGTCATGTGTGTTTTTGCTTGGTTTGACGTTTTTTTTTTTCTTCTTTTTTTTTCTTTTTTTTGTCATCGCCAATCCCAACCACCAATTGGGGCTAAGTTGAATGTGTGGTAAACCAGACCTCACCCAGTGAATTCTAGTAGTCTACCCCAAAGCCAGATGTTTGGCTTGTCTTTGCAGGGATGACTGATGACAACCCAAAAAAGGCTACCCTCAGAAAATCCATACGCCCCTCTTAATAGTAAGCCACAGTTTTTTTGTTCCGCAACAGCTGAATGCTTGGGATAGGCTTGCGCTTTTTTTGGTGAGGCAGCTGCCAGGTCACCATTAAATCATTGGTGGTTTGGATTTCTGGTTTGGGGATTTGCATCCCTGACTCTTGTAGAGGGTGGATTGGGAGACCACTCCCTAAAGCCACCAAACCAAAATAGGCTTCAACCCGCCAACTGGAAGGAATCTGAAACCAATAGGGTGCCCCCCGTGCGGTTTTTTCTTTTCGGTTTCCCTTTTGGTTTCCCTGATTTTTGTTTCACGCCACATGGATGTGGGTCAAAATTAAACCACCAGGAATCGGACCGCAGGTTTTAGTCCATGTTTCCACTTACCAGGGCAAGCCATTTTGTGGTTACCCTATTTTGGACCCACAGCCACTTTGAGCAGGTGTTAGTTGGAGAGGCTCTTTTTTTGGTGCTTGGAGATTGTTTCCTTTTGGTGATTGGTGATTCATGTGGTTTTTCCTTTTGTGGAGCGCCATTGTGATCCAACTTTGGTTGGGCTTCGGCCAGTTGACCGCTCGGTGATTTGTTTTTTGATCGTAAGCGAGGCGCCAACAGCGGCTCCACAACGGCAGAGAGCGAGGTTTCCACGCCCAAGTTTGGGCAGAGGGACAAGGCCGGAGTGGAGTTCGTCGCCGATGTCCATGAAGGCTTTGGACCCCTTTTCACGATCCTCCAGGATCGTGCCCTTTTTCACCCCTTTGTTCGGGGAGGGTTCCCCTACTAAAATAGACTAAAGAAAAAGGGTACCCTTATTCTAACCTCTCTACTGGAGGACCTAGTTTTGGTTCATCGACTGTTAGCCGCTCTTCTGGGGTCTTCCCAGAAATCTTATTTAACTGCGGACCATAATCTGAAAATATATTGAAATCGCTACGCGATCCGCCGACGCCAGTGGGGTGCAAGGGATTTTAACACCTTTTTCTTTTTCATGGAAGTGATGCTGAGGATGCTGGAAATGCAAGGGATGCAACCACACAACGTACAGGAACAGCCCCAATCTTCGCATCCAAAAATTCAAGACTTTCAGACACGCAAAATTGACCAAAGACAGAAAATGCCAGAGATGCCGGGAATGCTGGGAATGCAGCCGTCCGGCCACAGCAAAGTCCAAAAAACCAGGATTTTTTTGTTAGTTCCCAAAGTCAACCATCACAAGCAGATACTAGCAACACCCCTCAAATACCCGTTAAAATAGACTTCCAATGACTTCCAAAAACACGATAATGCAGGGGATGTTTCGCAGGAACTGCTCCGTACAGTTGGGGCATTGCAAAAAACACACATTTTTGCAAATTCAAACAGTTCCTCAACGTATCACTGCACTTGGCCCCACCCAGACCCCTAACAGGCCGATTCCAACATCGCTTGAAACAGCAAAACACAATTAGTATCTGCAGAAAAAGAGACAAATTCATGGCACCCGAAACGCATATTTTTTGCACGCAAGCCCCAACACGCTGGAAAATTACAGGGTTTTGGACACCCAGCGCACCATGCCGAAAAAAATGGCAGCCCGCGGTTTTGATAAGAGATCCGAAGGAAGACCAAGTTGCGGACTGCCATCCACTCGCTCGACTGGCGTCGGCGGATTTGGTGTACCCCGGAGATAGGCCATTGTTCAAGCAACCTCGGCTTTTTGAGCATCCCCCAGTGTTTTCTCTCTAGGGCTTCCGGGGTGTGCTTGAAAGAAAGGCTGGATCTTGCACAGTGGGAGCCAATTCCGTTCTGATGTTCAAAGGAAAAAGCGTCGCCCGTGCCCTTTTATTCACTTTCTTGGTTGGGAGGGTTCCCCTACTAAAATCGACTACAGAAAGAAGCTGATACCCCTATTCTAACCTCTCTACTGGAGGACCTAGACAAGCCAAACAGTTTGGAGTCCTTTGTTCCCCTTACACTTGCCACAGGCCTAGAGGTTGATGGGGATGGTCATGACTCCCGTCTACCAAAAAGCAAGTCATATCTCAAAGCGCAACGCACAAGTCTCGAGCTCGCCGCGAAGCATCTCGAGGCCCGGCACAGGCCAGCGCCCCCCATCGCCGAGATGCTCGAGGCGACAGCTTTCGAGAAGGGGCCCTGGGCGCGGGCGCGCGGGCGCTTGGTGTCGATGAAGCTGGGAATGCAAAGCTAAAGGTCATTCTAGGGGTAACTTCCAGGGATCCTCCTTTCTAGAAAACCACCCAAATCCCTGGGGAAATGGCTGGTGTTTGAAAAGAACGGTGGCTGAAAAGAATGGGGAATCAACCCCCTAGAGTCATGACAGGGTTCAAATGCTTAAAATGGCAACACACTTCAAACAAAAAACAACAACAATATGCATTTGTTGGGCGGTTTCCCCAGGGTGTCCTGCAAAATCCTTCTTGTTTTTGTTTCTTTAGATGTCATGAAGGCAAGGAAGAAAATACGGACACGCATAGAAGCAATGGGTGGATTTCTCCCTCAGGTCCCTGGGCAACCTGGGCTTAGAAATGGGTCTGCACATTTGGCCGCGGTTGGATTCCCCGGGCGCCATGTGGAGGTTGATCCGGTCGACTCAGATTGGATTTTTCCGGCGTCGGATGGGCAACGCGGGCCCTAGAAAGGGGGGGGGGTGGAGCAAAGGCCCACTTTGGATGTCAACGCGCCAGCTCCTTTTCGGTGCCCTCGATTCATTTTCTTGGGTGCTATGATCCATGTTGAAAATGAGGTCACTTAGTCCTAAATCAAAGAGGTCACTTAAGGTCATTGAAAGGGCACTTAGATCCTCAGGGTTGCCCTCCCCAGCAGATCCCTAGTCCGGGCAAATCGAGCCGCAGCGACACGTGAATGAGACTCAGGGGGAACCGACCCTAGGGCAAGTGACCTTTTCAAGGGTAAGTGACCTCGATTCGCACCCCCACTGACACAAATGACACGCTTGACACTCAAAACGCCAGGTTCGGGCTATTCTGGGTCGGCCCCAATGAAATGTGGTAGTTGTCACACTTCGACACGGGTAGCTGTTTGATTTCAACAGGATCCCAACCCCTATCAACCCAAGAAGGGCACTTAGCAAACGAATCAAAGGGTCACTTAGCGCACCGACACGGCCTTGAGTGCCCTCGATTCAAAAACACGTCAAATGCTCTTCATTGAAGGGCACTAAAAATATGCTGCGGGTTAGCAATTTAATGTCGCTTTAAGTTCATAGCAGCCTCCGGATGAATCAGCTGTGACTGTCCTGCGTTGACTTCGCTGAGCTTGGATGATGCCAGCTGCGTGTTTTTTGTGTGTTTTGTTTTCCGTGGTTCTGTGTAGCTCGCTGTGGGAGGAGGGGGGCTTTTGAGAAACACGCTTTGTGTTGTTTCGGGAGAAGATGACCTCTCCGGATTCCTCAGGAAAGGTGCCCTTGCGGTTGGAGTTTGGCTTGGTACCCGTTTCTTCCCCTCGGTTCGGTAGCAACGTACCCCTAACTGGTGGCTTGGGATTCTTGTAAAGGGTAAATGTGAACACCCTCCTGAACCATCAAAACCACCACGCTGCAAGCCACCAAAACGGGACCTCCTTAAAATGGGATGGTAAATGGGACAGCCTTAACCATCAAAACGCTTCAAACCAATCGGAGGGAAGCTGAGAGGTTGCTGTGACTTTCAGGTGGACGGTGCAGAGCTTGACCGGCGCTTCGAATCCTGGCTCCCGAAGGCGGAAAAAGGGCCTCCGGCTTGGGTTGACTTCGTCTTCGACCGGGTTCCGCTTCTTTTTGGTGAATATTTGTTTGGTTTTAGTCGCAGGGTTACTTTTTCACAGGGCTCCGGTTCTTTTTTACAAGCAAAGGTATGTGTTTTTTGGTGTTAGTCGGCAGGCGTTTGGGGATGATGTTGCCTCCATTGGAGAATTGTGTTGCTGGATTTGGTTTGAACAGACTTCCCTATTTGAGGTCGAGTTCACAGCCTGCGTTTATGATGTGCATCCCGTTCCCAACGCCTGACCACCTTACCGCATAACCACCAACCCAACCACCAATTGCAGGTTTTGAAAGAAGACTTGGCAAGTGTTCCCCTCAAAAAAGGAGAACTTGTGGCTCAAACTAACGATTTTAAGGATGCAATGCTAGGTATGTGTCCTTTTTTGGTGGCTCCCTACTGACCTCCGGAAAAGCCAACAACATGACCTGGCTTGACTTCCTGGGTTTCCGTTCGAAGGCACCGACTCAAGGTGATGTTTGTTTTTTTTGTCCGGCTTTTGGTTGGGATCTGCCCACAAAAGGCCCGCCAGACAGGATTTTGGGTAGCAAAGACTCAACCCTGCCAGGTTGATTCTGGGGCCTGGGAACCCCCAATTGCGATCGGTTGCTTAGATAGGCCTTGGGCTTGGTTGCGACTTGGCTCTTCAGGCCTCTGGAACCGCTCTAAGCTCTACAGCGACGGCTGCCTGGAAGCACATTGGGAAGGGCTTCTTCCATAGTCTGGGTAGCAAATGGGGTGTGTGTTGTTTCAAAAGATCCCGGCCAGAAAACGAAGGTGGGTTGTCCTGGCGGTTTTCTTTTGAATCCAAAGCAAAAACGGGATACCTTCCAAAAGACACTCCCAAATGGGTGTGTGACTGCCCGAGTTGGACTTTGAACTTTAAACTCAGCAAGGAAGTGAGGCTTGTGCTGTTGGAGCTGTGCCCTTTGCAGGTTGGTGGGGGAAACCACCAGCACCACAACTTTCGAGATCCCCCTTTGACAAATCCCCGAAATGTTAGGTGATTTAGACCCAGAGAAGGACCTATCAGGATCCCAGAGCCCACTAAGGCCAAATCCGATTCTAAGATTCAACCCGATGTATTCTGAAGTTCAGCCGGGCTCTCCGTAATGGTTGGGGTCGGGCATCTTTTGGGTGGGTAAGATTCTAGATTCATCCCTGCAACAAACCTCAGGTGTACCTTTTTGGACCGGACTACGAACCACTCAAAAGGGGATCCGGGGGTAGGAGCTTGAGAGCGAATCGACCTTTTGACCTTTTAGTTTTTGCTTCAATTGTTGGCCCCAAAAGGCGAACCTTTGGTTTCTGGGTGCTTCGGTCCAAACTGGGTATGTCATTTTTGGGGACACCCCCCAAAATTGTGGTGTTCCTTTTGGTTTCCCCTGAAAACCAACCAAAAACGTTGGGTCAGCTCAAACAAATGACAGAACCAACTGGGCAACTGATCTCTTCAGGGATCCTTCTCTTCCAACAGTCTGCCAACCCCCCCCCCAGAAAATGGGTTTTCATAATGGGTGAAGAGAGTGGGGAATCACACCTTGGAACCTTAGAAGATTGACCCGGCAACCCAGAAAACAAACCACCATTGCTTCCATTTGCTTAAGAACATGTGTTTATTTTCCCCTGTTGGTTTTAGAAGACACCTAGAGCTGAAAATATGGTTTCATTTTTCCCCTGGATGCTTCACTTCAGTAAATGGAAGAGGTCGAACAAATGACCTGCAAGCCACCGGGCCAAAATTGCAAGCCGCCGCGCCGGGCCACGGATCCTGCTTAAGAGTATTTTTTGGTTTCCCTTGTTGGTCTCATGAAATCATCACTGGACGTAATGATTTCCACCTCGTTTCATGAAGAACATGTTATTGTTCCGTCATTTTCCGTTCGTGTCCACCTCTCGCAGCGACTCTCTCGGAGTCGGATCGATCTGAGGTTCGGGACGGCCTGCGCCTGGCCTGGGCCGGGCTCTGGGAGCACCTCGCCGGAGCCGCCGGGAGCCAGGCGCTGGCCGGGCCAGCCGGTGGTTTGTTGGGACGCCCAGGGGGTGGGGGGAGGGGGGTGGTGGTTGGGGGGGTTGGGGTTTGGGGTGGTTGGGGGGGGGGAGGAGAGGTTGGGGGGTTTGGGGAGGTTGGGGGGGGTTGGGTTGGGCAGGGAAGGTCTGAGGTGTGCCAGGTTAAGCTTCTCCAACCTTGCAAGTGATTTTGTGGCTTCACCCAACAAATCAAGGGCAGCCCAACCCGCCTTTGTCCTTTGGAGTGCCCGTTGACTCTTGGAACCTGCAACAAGTCCCCAAAACTTGAATTGCAAATTAATGATTGGAATCCCCCCCCCCCGTTTTGCCACAGTTCAAGGGAAACTGCAAGGAAGTTGGGGCCTGCTTTGTTGATAAACTCAAATGTGTTTGATTCCACGTGAGCAACTGACACAAGTAGTGGCACCAGCTACCTTCAATTCAGGGTTTGATGCCAACCGCTAACGAAACATGGAGCCAGTTAACATAGACAACATACATACCCCTAAACACATGGGTCCTAGGGGATATTGATATTTGCTTCACTTGGCGAAAAACAGGGGAGGGGACCCTAATTCCAACAAAAGCCATGGGGTGCACCCGATGCTTCCATGCCCCCAATGTGAAGTTTCAAGGCCAACGGCCAGAAAGGTAAGTTAGGGGCGCGGGCGGATGGTTGAAGGGGCACCAGGAAAAGCAAACCTCCCTTTTGTTGATGCAGACCGGAAGCAAACGGGGAGCTTTACTGGGGTCATCCAGCCAAGCTAAAGAACCCTAGAAAGGACACTGGCACCCGTTTATGCACATGGTGTTACGTGCGTTGGGCAAATCGGCGCCTCTTTTTTTAGCAAGGTGGAACAATTAGGGACCTTCCCGAAAGCGAGTGTTTTACTGTTGGTGTCCATTTCTTTGTCGAATCACCTATTGTTGTCCTTTCTTTGCCGCCTTTGTTTTGGCTAGGTTTGTACTAGGGTTAATCCCGGTTTGGAGCCTTGTAGCCGCACTTGAAATCAAGCACACATACTGGTGGACAAATCATCCCAACTGGCTCGAAGTGAACTTTCTGGGCGTCAATTTAGCCCGCATGATCTTGATCTACCTGGAGTCTCCATGACCCTGAAAAAATGGGGTTACCGAAAATAAAGGGGTCGTGGACCCATTTTTTAAGGGTCAGAAGGAGACTCCAGGTACCAAAGGGACACCAGCATATGGGTCAAATTTAAACCACCAGGGGACCGAAGGTTAGAGTCGTTGGTTCCATTTACCAGGATGCCATTTTGGCTATACCCATTTTTGACCCACAGCCAACGGGGACGTGTACTCCGATGCTTTTTCCCAGCTGGACGTTGCCAGGGCGGCGATCAGGCGGCGGCTGAGCAAGCCGTGGCCGCCTTGCTGGACGGGTCAGGCGGCCTTCGGTTCGTGTGAGCCGCCTTTGGAACCTGGCCGTGGCTCCAAAAATGTACCCAAAATGGCCCTAGGCAGATGGAAACAAAGACCAGCACTTGCGTAACCCTAGCTCTTAAATTCTGAGCCACATCCACCTTTCTGGGCTCTCCTCAAAGATTCAATTTACCTTTGTATTTTTGGGTGGACACAATTTGGGGCGTCATTCGATCCCTACTGAGGATCCTTTGGGTGTTGAACAAGCAGCTAATCAATAGTTCAATCCAAATCGACCACATCCCTACGTGCCCAGTGACCCCGGGGTGTAGGGACAAGTGCGAGCCGCTTGCCTGGCATTTCCGGTCTTAGGTCAAGTGGGTCTTCAACAACATGTGCTTAGGAAACTGATAGCAAGAGCAAAACCAACGGTTATCAGGATAGTCATAGGGCTTGCCCATCATAGGCCTTAATCATCGTCGACAATGGTAAACACATATGCTGGAACTGAGAATCATAGGGCTTAACATGCTTGGCGATGTTTCTCGCCACCCTACAGTTGGGCAATCTACTGAGCTTTCACGACCCCAATAGAATCCGGGCCCCAGGATGTTCATGGGCGATCCGACAAGAGCCTTCACTTGGAATGGCCGATTTGCCTTTGCCCCCCCCTCTTTTGTCTGAACAACGGCTCGGCCCACCTCTGCCCAGACTCCTTTGATCCCAGGTTATATAGGATTACGACCCCTGTGAAAATTGTGGGCCCTGCCTCTTTGATTCCACCTGGAGTCTCCATGACCCTTAAAAAGTGGTTGGTCATTGCCCAAATTTAAAGGGGATGTATGGACCCCTTTTTTAAGGGTCATGGAGGGAGACTCCAGGCAGGCTCTCTTGAGTCACCACTCTCGGGACCCTCCGAAACCAAGTGACGCGTTCAGTCGGCTCGGCGGCGTGCGTCAGGGGACGGCGAGCGGAACGTGGCGCGGGAGTCCTTGGAGAACTTCCTCGGGGAGTAGCTCAGCTGCAACCAGTAGGCTGCTTCCGTTGTTCAACCGTTTTTTGGGGGAAGGCCACCAACCCAAAAAACACATCCCACAAAAGGGCACTTTTAAAGCAAACCAAGAAAAAGGGTGCCCTTTAAAACCACCAATGAACACAAGGGTGCCGATCTTTTTTGCCCCACTGGGCATCTGAGGTACCTGCTGCGGCTGCGAAGATCTCTGGAGGCCTGGATGGAGAGGCCCGGGACGCGGGACGGGACCTAAGGAGTGAGCCGCGGTGTTCGGACGCTGAAACCCGCGGACGGGAGCCCGGAGCTTCGGACATCCCAAAAGGCCGGCCTCAAACAAGTTCCACCTGACATGTTTGGCGTGCTTGTCGTAGTGGCGATGGAAAAGGGTGTCCATACTTGAGCTTTCTTGGAGTTCTTCTGACACTTGGCCTTGTTTGTGGTTGTCAGCAATAACTTGTTGGCGGGTTTTCAGATCACCCTTCAGACAGGAACTGGCGGAGGGTGGGAATTTCATGGTTCCATACATGCTGCGCATGGAGTGTTCAAATGTCCCTCGAACAAGCAATTGGGGGGAAGCGAGATCTTGCCGCCCAGTTCATTGTGTATCGCCCATGAAAAGACATGCGCTTGTGCTTCCCAGACCATGCGCGGCAAGCACGTGCACGCGTATTTCACGACCCGGCCACGCGAACCCACTTGGACAGCCAGGCAAAGTGCTTGCTTCTTTTCAATTGTCCAGTTCGCCTTTTGTTTGTCAGGTCCTTTCCCGTTCACCTGGCAAAAGATTGTAACTTGTCCAGGGGTTGGATCTGTTTGGCCCAGAGGAGATTGGAGGAGGAGTTCCGCCGCGCCGCTGACTGGTGCGGTGTTAGGGGTTGTAAGCCTCGTAAGTGGGCTGCTTTGGGGCTAGGCAAATTAGAACAAGCGGCTCCCGGACTCCCTGATGTCCAGTTCGGAATTCTAGTACTTGGTGCAGATTGGTCTTGCCCAGCTTGCCCAAGATAGAATGGAACAGCTCGGCCAAGTGAATTGGTGTGGAAAGGCCTTCTTTAATTCTTTACTGCGGGTTTCCTTTTTTGTTTGCCCTCCCCGAACCATCACGATGATTTGGCTTTCCAGGTTAGTGGTGTTTCCTCCAAGCTGTCAGAGCCCAAATATGATGCATTTCGATACCCCCTGTTTGGCTCCAACCCGGAGGAGACCCCCCCTCCCCCTGAGGACGGCACGTTCCACATGAGTCGCCGGCAATATCCTTGCTAGTCCTGTGGGTTTGGGGAGGCCGAGAAGAGGGGGCCAACCAAAGCCACTCTTCTAAGGCCGGCCTCGATTCTTATGGACACTTTCGATATTTTGTCCGATCCTCGCACAGGTTAGTTTTGAATTGGACGGACCCCCCAAAGATGATTTCTTTTGATTAATAAGGATTCCCCTTAAATATAGAGACACATCCCTTTTGGAGTTTGGTTTGGATGAGGAGCCGCTGGAAATCTAAGGCATTTTGGCATGTGCTCGAACGCGCCAGGCGTGATCCAAACGCCGAGGACGTGGCCCTGGTCGCCCAGTGGCTCCTATTTGAGGCGAATGGATCGGGTTGTGTGGTTTCTTGCTGGTTCTCAGCAGGGAATGAGAATTGGAATGACCCCGAGAAAAGCCATCTATGGCTTCCTCCCAAATGTCATCCCCTACTGAGCACCAGCAAGTACTTGCTTGGCGGATTTGCTTGGCACTGAGGTTAAGTGAAAACATGATCATTTGCTTCATGCAAAATTCAGAGACAAGCATGCCAGCCTGGATATGTCCATGGCGCGCAGTTTCTAACTTGGCGCAGGATCTCGTGATGGAAGGCAAGGTCTTGCAGCAAGCTGATGTGTGACAATATCATGTATATATAAATATATAATATTTTATGTATTGGCAGGTCATGTGATTGCGTAGTATTTATGTTTTGCCGAGGATGGCGTGTGATATGAGGTTCTCTTCCTGCAGGAGAGGGCCTAGCTGGGCGCTACACATTACAATATATATATATATATACATATATATATATATATATATATGTATACAAATATATATATATATATATATGTGATACACATAGGTATACATAATATACATGTACATTAATATGTATATATACATATATATATATATGGTCCCGCGTGTTCCGTGTTGCTACCCCCCCCCCCCCCCCATCTGGTATGGGTCCCCCAGGACCCCCCCGCCCCCCGGCCCGAGACCCTGAGCCCCCGGATCCTGTCACCTACGGTCCCACCCCCACCCCGACCCCCTGAACTCGCACCCCGACACCCCGGCACCCCCACCCCCAGGACAAGCCAGCCCGCAACCAACCATAAACCAACCCTAAACTAACCCTAAACGAACCCTAAATACACCCTAAACCAAACCCTAAACCGTAGACCTCTAAACCTAAACCAACCCTAAACCAACCCTAAATCAACATAAACCAACCTTAAACCAACCCTAAACTAACCCTAAATACACCCTAAATATACCCTAAACCAATTCTAAACCAACCCCAAACCACCACAACCCAACCACAGGACCACAACCACAGGGGGGGGGGGGGGTACTTGTCTGACCCATGACCATTGGTGGGGGGGGGGGGGCTGGCATATCCAGTGTTTATGTACATATGTTGTCGAACATCTTATGACAGTTGTGACCTACCGCAATCACAACACATGGGGGGGGATAAATTGGGTGGAGGTGCGGTAGCCTGCAAAACCACAGGTTGAACACAAACAGGGTAGCAATCTACGACAGCAGCTGAGATTCACCGGGACTAGCTTCTGTCTCTAGGATCATGACTTAATTTGGTCTGAAAGTATCTCACAGTTCCATTTCCCCATATTGGCCCGTCTTGGAGCTTTCCTGTACGACCCTTGGTACGCCCAACATCCTTTTCACGGCTGGCTTTCCACCAAGGGGTTGGTGCGCGCGAACGATCTCTGTGGCCGACTCTTTGGACAGGATCCAAGTTTGGGCAGTTGTGAAAGGAGGGCGCTATGATGTTCTTGGCCTTGAAGCTACTGTGGATGCAAGTATTGCAAGTAAACCAGCCACAAAAGTCACAAACACTTAAATGGGTTTCCCTTGCTCCCTGCTTTTAATATGTTTAGGGCATCTGTTGTTCAGCGATGTCTTATGCCTTTGCGTTTCTTGACGGAGCCTTTTTTTATTACCATGCGTAGCTTACCTTTACATGTTTGTTGAAATATGTTGTTTCTAGCAAACCAGAAAGATGTTTTTCCCGCTGTCGCAGCGGTCTCATCTGTTTGGCGTAGTTTTTGGTGAGCTTGGTCTAAGCCCGGCGGGTCAAAACCAATGGTACCATTTTGGGGTAGGTGCACCACCCATTTTAGTCTATTTTTGCAGGGATTGGGATGTTCACTAAGGGTACGGGACTTTGACCCATGGCCATATTATGATATTCCACAAAGGACACCAAAAGGATACTGTGCAATTTGTCCCTCTCCTCCACGGCCATCCATTCAGTTCGTGGAGGTTCCATTGACAGCGGCCACTTGTGGGAGCTGCCGGCTGTTCGCCTGAGGGAGTGTACGCTTCAACCCAACCAACAAGGGATGCTCCCAAAAAAAGACGTTTTCACCCGTCTGGGTATGGGTCAAAATTCAACCACCGGGGGGCCGCAGAGTTTAGTCCTTGGTTCCTGGGGTAGACTTAGGAGACATTTTACATTTGACCAGTGACTCAAAGGGAAGCAAACCAGTCTATAACTGAGCTTGAGAGGACGTTTAACCTTTTGCCAACTAATGGGTTTTCCATTAAACTACCAAAAGTGAAACTTTTAGCAGGGGAGCAAAAAGCAACCGAGCCTGGTTCCATTTACCTCCACATTTTCCTCGCGACATCGCCAGGCGCAGCCGGACCTGCAGCGATTCAGCCAGCGAGTGGAGAAGTGCGCAGGCGCGATTGCGGCGGGGGTGGTTGACGAAGACCGGGACCCGTTGTCTGCTCCAAACCTTAGCTCCCCAGCAGTGCCCTTTTACCGTTTCTTTCTTTGGGGAGGGTCCCCTTACTCAAATTAGACTACAGAAAAAAGGGTGCCCTTATTCTAACCTCTCTACTGGAGGACCTAGAACCAGTTTTATATTCTATGGTGAACTAAATACAAAGCACATTCTGCAAACTCGGTTCTTGTGTGCCCCAGATGTGCGCACAGCTACGTTGCTTCAAGCCGTTCAAAGATGAGACGACACATAGAAAATGGTTGGCCAAGTTTTCGACCCTGCCAGGCCTTAAAGGCCACCCTTGACCCGCTTGCCTTGAGGCCCAACCTCGTGGAAGAAAGAGTTCGGGCCCAGCTTCTTTCACACGCCTTTTCAGACAGGCTTTGCCATGGTTGGCCGTTTTCCAAAGGGGGCCGTTTTCTGATGCCCTCTGGAAGTTCTCAAAGTGGCAATGGGGGCGAAACCCGAAAGTCGCACGGCAATCAAACTGCGGCGAGACATCCCAAAGCCTCACCTGGAGTCAAAGCGAGCTCACCCTTGAGTCAATATGAGTCAATACGAGTCAATATGCTTTCTATCATAATTAGTTTACTGTCATGTCTTTTCCTAATGTGTTTGTTCGGCCTAGAGATGATACGGAATGGACATTATATGCACAATTATCCACCACTTGTATGCCTTTGTCACCTTCAAGTGCAGGAACTTGTCTATTGGGATCAGTCTCTGGTACATCTTCATGTCTTACATGTTTGGACTGATGGAAAGCATTACAAATCTCAGATTGTATTGTCTTATGTGGCATAATATTCCGTCATTTCCTTTGTATCTATACATTACAGCTTTCATATATATATATATATGTTCAGATTGGCATTACCCATCTTATATGGTACATACAGTTCTTTCAATGTTATGTGATCTTCAGTCTAATACAGCATTATTTGATTCAATATTTGGAAGACATCCTATATTGTCTCAACATGTATGCATGTTTGTGTTATGGACATGTAGCAGTTTACATCCTAATGTATGTCCAGTATTTGTTGTGATTGTTTTCACTCGCAACACAAATCTGGGCTTTACAGTGTTACTGTATATTTTTGCAGATTGGTGACGGGGGCTAAGGCCAGTCAGTTGGCAACAGGTTGAGAGGCCTTGCTTGAAAAGACCTAGGCTCCAGCTTTGGTGTTTTGCTCTTCATTCTGCGTTATTTTCACCCGAAAGCAAAATCATGGTATGTTCTCACTTGGTGCTCACTAGTAGATTTGCTGGAGCTTTGGCCCTGAAAAGCAGAATTGTACGTTGTATGGCGGTTCACGTGGAGGTATCTTTTGTGGCCTGGAAATTCGTTTCCATGCTTCCCAAAGCTGGTGCTTAGTGCTTAGCCTCACGTACCCGATTGCCCCTTCAAGTGCTCAGACGTCCGCCTACTTTCCATTTAGGCAGATAACCAAGGGTCATCAAGGGATTCCCAAAGAAATAGTTTGCTTTCTCATAAAACATGCGATTTAGTAGCATCAGCTGTGTAGCCCATCAAACCCCAGGCGGAGTGGTTTGGAGGTAGTGAAATCTACGGGTCACTAGCGCACCCAATTTTGCTGTAAAAAAAAAGGTTCTCTCCTCAGTTCCCCTACAACACAGCAACAACAATCACAAACGAACATAAACAGCCATACACAACCACAACACATTAAACAAATAAAATAAAAAATGGACAAGACATTGCACCCATAAGCCCTGCCCTCACTCAACCCTCCCCTGCTTCCCCCCCCCCTCCAACCCTCCCCCCCATTCCCCGGAGCTCGGGACTCCGAGCCGACGGAGTCGAGAGGCCGCCTGGAGCAGCTCGCGGCGCTGGAGGCCCTGGAGCGACTGCTGCTGCGGGAGTGGGAGACCCGCAGCTGCGCCTCGCTCGCGGTTTCGAAAAGCTCGTTGCCGTCGAGATGGCGGTGGGTCAAAACCGAGTTGGGAAATCCCGTTTGGGGGGATGGGTGAATTCACCATGTTAGGAGCTAAATTTTAGTGGGGATGATCCCATTCTGGTTGGTAGGTGAATTCACCACCCTTTTAAGAACCTATTTTAGTGGGGATTGGGATGTTGACTGGGGGTACGATTTGGATTTTGACCCATGGCCAGATGGCCGTCGATGGCCGCGGAGACTTCGTGTCCGTCCGTTTCGATTGCCGCGCAAAGAAGCAGCGGAGTGCGGTGGAGGGTGTGTTTTGTGCGCTTTGGAGAGGGAGCCAAAAGTTTGGGCTGAACCGGGTTTTGTGTTCAAAATCAACAGAAAACATGAGTTGTATGTTTGTTGTTTTCAGACTTCCTGCTTGACACCCGAAATACAACGGTGGAGTTGTAGTTGGACGGTGCGGTTTCTGCCGAAAGTCTTTTGTGGGCATGTCCAACACAAAGAGAGAAGGCTGTGACGTTGTTGGGCTGGACGCATTGGTATTGCACAGGATGCAAAGAACGAGCTCCGGGCAGAAGGTTCCTTAAAATGGGGATTCCTTATTTTGAGGTGTGGAGTGTAGGGGCTCTTCGCTTAGATGGTTTGGTTCCCAAGAATGGGATTACCCCACCAGGAGTTTGCCCTCTGACTTCTTGGCTTTTTGTTTGCGGTGGCACAGTGAACTTTGTCCAACGCGCATATTGCCATTGCTGGTTTGGGGATTCTGATTCCTGGTTGAGCAACACGGAAAGCAGCTCCGAAGTCCAATCCAAACCATCAAAGGGGCAAGAGGAACCCACAAAGGCTTCCCCTTTTTGGGTTTGTCTCAAAGCCCCTTAAATTGCCTGGATACCTGTTGGCTTCCCTAAAACCACCCAAAAGAAGATTCCTCCAAGATACTCTCTGGCTTTTCAAGGAAGACTCACCCAACAAAAACTGGATTCCTTTTGGGCTTCCCTAAATAAACACGAACCCCAAGAAACCCGGCGCCGGTTTTTCTGAAACCTTCGAAACCGCCCCAAAGGCGAGGAGGCCTCCGCCTTCTGGGCCTCCATCTTCGAAAACCACTACGCGCCCGAGGCATGACGCGTGGACTCACTGGCTCAACCGGTTTCCCCCCGCGCTTTTCCCTCCCACCGTTTTTTTTTTGCGGGTTTCGACAAAGCAAGGACAGGACCGTTTCGGTTTTTTGTTTTTGTCTTTTGCTTTCCGCATCCGAGTTGGGAAACCATTTGCCGCAACCCGTTTGAGGTCGCCCAAGGGACACTTGTCAAAGGCAGGTACCTTTACAGGGTAACGGTTTCCTCTATTGACCGTTTTCAACCTGTTCTCGTAGGGGCACGTCACTTTTTTGAAACTGAGGGAGGGGGAACTACTTGAAGGGTGATTTTTGAAATCACTTTTGTGACCATTTCGATTGATTCGAGAAGTGTGTGTGTGTGTGTGTGCTTGAAGCGGGGTGTTTTTTTGGGAGAGGCATGGGAAGTCCTCGAGGGTTGGGTTGCGCTTGACACCAAACTATCATTTGACAGCCATACCTTGGTGGCGATCGCTTGGCCTTCTTTTCCCAACCGATCCATATAGTATTTGCCCGCTGCCCGCAATGCCACAAAGGTTCTCCAAATATGTGGGTGACTCTGACCTGCATGGAGCCGCAGGTCTTTGTCGGGATTCCACTTGGCCGCCTTCAGTTGTGGAGCTCAGTAAGCCCAGGTAACGGGTTTTTTCCCAGTATCCGGGGCAACTGGATAACAAACCCAACGAGCCATGGAGGTTTCTCCAGTTACAAGCTAACAACTAGGTCCCCCAGTAGTGCCCTTTTACCCCTTCTTGGGGGAGTATTGCTAAAATAGACTACAGAAAAAAGTTGGTACCCTTATTCTATCCTCTCTACTGGACCACCATTTGCTTAAGAATATTTGTTATTTTCCCCTGTTGGTTTCACTACTGGAAAAATATTCCAGGTTGCTTAAGCAAATGGCAGCGGAGGACCTAGACAAGGTGCCCAAGGATGGGTCCACGGCCTGTGCCAGGCGGGCCGTGTGTCGTTGACCTCAGCGCTGCGGCGCTTGGAGTCCGCCGCCGCCGCTGGGCCGCAGCTCTGGCGGGGCCACCGCGCGGCCTGCGACCGGGCGCGGGGGTCCGGTCCGGGGTCTGGGGGTCTGGGGGTCTGGGGGTTGGGGGCGAGCGGTTTGGTGGCAAATTGGTGTGGCGCAAAATGCAACAGGAGGGGTTGCGCAGGTTTTGGTCCATGTTTCCACTTTCCATTTTGGTGCCGAAAAGGGGCCGCCCTTGTAATTGCTTACATGGGTCTGGGTAGACCATTTTGATGCCAGGTTTGAGTGTGACTCTAATGCAGGCAACTGTTACCCACATGGATCCTCTGGAAATGAGATCTGGGCAAACAATGAGCTCACCAAGGGATAAAGCAATGAAGGACCCTTGGGAATTTATTGTCATCACATGTTCTGGGGTCTCGAGTCTCTTGCTTTGAGAGGGGGGATTTTGTCTCAAAGCTTGAGGACATGTGCAGACTTGGGGTCCATTTTCTCTTATTAGATATATGATATTGCGAAACATAGGTTTTTTGGGGCTTCCATTTTAAACTTGTCGACTCAACAACTTATCTTTTTCTTGCAGGGTCACTCGGCGACTGGCGTTGTTATGAGAGAGAAGCAGGCAGCTTTTGTCAACATCAGAAACTTCCGAGTGCTCGCGATTTGCGTTGTTTCCACACCAAAGAGGAGCATGTCTGGATATATTGGCATATTTGGAGAGGGTTGTTTTGAACCCTTTTAGTTTTGGGCTGTTTCAAAGGGAGCCAGAGGGAAAGCCCGGAACTCATGGTTTCATCAGGGAGACGAGTGTCCCTTGGAGCCCTGAGGAAGGAAAGGAATTGGAAAACCATCCATTGTTGTCGAGGGTACCCTTTTCACCTTGGTGTGAAGGCAGAAGGAACTGGGGTCATGAGTTTGAGCGTTTCTGTGGCTTATCAAAGTCAAGCATTTCTTTTCACCTACAACTTGGCGACTTTGACAATGATAGAATCATGCCATGATAGAATCACTTGGCGAAGAAGCCGTGACAGCGACCAGTGGGAGAAACAGCATGGGCGGGCTGGCGCTGCACTGCCTTTGAGGCATATCTACGTGATCCTAAACTCTCCTGCCACAACTGATCGTATCCATTGCGTTCCAATGGTTTTCATGTTCCTGTAGAAGCCTCGCTTGGCTGAAAAACATGCTTTTCCATCATTTGCGTTCCAGTGTGTTTCAGTGTTGACACCTGTTTTTTTGTTTTGTTTACCATGATCAGCTCGGTGATGTCAAGCGTTCCATGGGGGATTGTTGCCGAGGTGTGACTTAGGAGTGACTTCTTGGAATCGGCGTTTACATGGGGGAACAAATGGTCACAGAGACAAAGGAGTGACTTAGGCATGACTTTGTCGTTTGCCTGTGCGTGGGAGCTTCGTTTTGGATTTCTGATCTCATTCGTTGAAGGCCAGCCCGTATTTCCTGTGTCGGGTTAGGTTTGGACTCGAAGCGTCTCACTCACTTCGGTTTCACTACGGGGAGGCAGCCTCAGTGCTAGTGGCTACGCTGAACGGCGCCTTGCGCTCCTTGCGCGCATCCAGCAGGGCGCTGGTGGAGGAGTAGCGTTCTTGTGGGCTTCGCCGGTGAGCAGAGGTGTTGTTGTGTTATTTTGTGTTGTTGTTTTTTTTTTTTTTTGCGTTGTGTTGCTCTGTTTTGTGGTGTTTTGCGTTGTTTTGTTATGTTCTGTTTTGTTTTGCGTGTTTGTTTGCTTGTTTGTTGGTTGGTTGGTTGGTTTGCCTTGGCTTGTTGTTACTCCGTGTTTGTGTGTTTGTGCCTTTGTGTTGTTGAAATTCATTCCCTGCCTGCCTGCCGCTTTGCATGTTTGCTTGCTTGCTTGCCTGCTTGCCTGCTTGCTTGCTTCGAAGCTTGCTTGCTTAGCGTGTTTTTGTTTGCTTGTTTGCTTATTTGTGTGTGTTTGTGTGTTAGTGTGTGTTGTTTGTTTGTTTGTTTGTTTGTTTGTTTGTTTGTTTGTTTGGTTTAGTTTAGTTTAGTTTAGTTTAGTTTAGTTAGTTTGTTTAGTTGTTGTTTTTTGGTTTTTTGGTTCGTTTGTTTGTTCAGTTTGTTGGTGTCTTAGGTTTGTTTGTTTCTTTCTGTGTTTCTTTGCTTCTTTGGTTGTTGATTTGGCTGGCTGGCTGGCTGTCTGGCTGGTTGGCTGGTTGTTTGTTGGTTGGTGGTTGGTTGGTTGGTTGGTTGGTTGGTGGTTGGTCGGTTGGTCGGTTGGTCGGTTGGTCGGTTGGTCGGTTGGTAGTTGAACTTTCTTGCTGATTGCTTCTTTGTTTGTGTGTTTGCTTGCTTGCTTGCTTGCTTGCTTGCTTGCTTGCTTGCTTGCTTGCTTGCTTGCTTGCTTGCTTGCTTGCTTGCTTGCTTGCTTGCTTGCTTGCTTGCTTGCTTGCTTGCTTGCTTGCTTGCTTGCTTGCTTGCTTGCTTGCTTGCTTGCTTGTTGGTGTGCGTTCGGCTGGTTTGTTTGTTGGTTGTGTGTTTGTTGTTGTGTTTGTTTCTTTGGCTTTGGTCGTTGGTTGGCACATCCTTTTTTTGCAATCGCTAGCAGCTTTGGAAAAGAGGAAACCGGACGCCGAAGAGTTTCGGCGGGCAGAGGGGGGTCACTCCCTGAGTGCCTGGGTCTTAGTCCCGGGCCATTGTAGTGGTGAGCAAAGGGTGTGGACTCGTTTTGGCGAATCAATCCACACAAGAAGTGACTGGTCCGTTCGGTTGATAAGAGGATTCCACTGGATTCAGGTTTGTTCAGTTTGGCTGATGTTTTTGATATTCCTCTTGTGCTGGTTTGGTTGAACGTCGGATGGAGTTGTTGTTGGGCAAACTTCAGGATAAAGAGCTCCTGATCAGGCCCCTTCCTTGGGATTCTTCTTTTCCCGCTTGTGGATTGGAATACGTTGCCCAGGTTATGTGGCAAAATCGGGTCCCTTCAAACCAATCTCAAAAGGGGTACCCTCAAAACAACTCCAAAAGAAGACGTCTCCCAGAAACCACAATCAAATTTTCCAAAGACCTGGGGGTGTGCGGTGGCCGCACTTGGCCAGTTGCGTGCTCGAGGTTCGGTTGGGCGTAGGCGGGGGGGAAGACCAAGAAGTTGACTTTACATTGGGCAAAACACAGGCGGTTAACGGATACCCAACAGGGTGGTTTTCCTTTTGGGCTTTCTTCAAAGCCACAAAAGAGGGAACCCTCAAAACGAACACAGCGGATGTGTTTTTTTCGGCAGACTGTGGCTAAGAATCGTGGCACTAGATGAGGCGGAACGCCAGCTCCAGTTTCCCTCTCTCTCCCCCCAGACTTGGGACAAGGACCGGTTTGGGAACATGAGTCAGTCTATTTCAGGTAACGCTTGGTTGACAGTTTGGTTTGGATTGGCGGTTTGCGGGGCTTGACCCCCGGGGTTTAAACTCCTCCTTCACAAAACCACCAATCCAAACCACCAAATAGAGGGAAGCTGACTATCGGTCAGTTGCCCACGCTCATGCTCTCAACGATGGGGTTCCAATGGTTGCACTTTGGTTCGAAACTCATTTCTCAGTCTGCGCCAAGATGTGGGTAGTTTCCTGGATGTGCAGACCAAGTATGGATGCCTGTCGAAGCATATTGCCTTTGAATCGTTGGTTGCTTCGCCCCAAAGGCCATCCAGGGATTTGAAAACGAAAAAAGTAACCAAAAATAAAACATCCATAAAGATCCCAGAGCGAACCTAGAGGCAAAAATGCCTGGTTACCCAATCAGTGCCGGGAAGAGCATGATTTCCACCCCGCCCCCCCCCCTCCCCCGTCCTCAATGCTGCCATTGAGGGAGTCCCGCTGGAAGGTCATGTTTTCGCTTTCGGGGGCAAGTGCCAGGGCCGGGTTCACGACCTCTTTTGGTACCTTTGTTTCTTCGTTTGTGTTTTGGCGCCTTTGTTGGTGAGGGAATTGTTGGTAGGGGCGGGAACGGCCCATTCCAGACATTTTGCCAACACTGGACAGGTTCCGCCAGGCTTCTGATCCGCCTGTTTTATGGTGAGCTTTTTGCTGGGGCTTCCTTACTTCAAGTTTTGGACATGTGGAGGTTGATCAAAAGGTCCTTTTCCTGGGGTGACCATTAGGGAAACCACCCAAAAAGATGACTTTGACCACTAAGTGGGGAAAGTCACCCATGGTCATTTGGGGGCCAGGAATATTGATCAACTATGTTTTTTTTTGTCAGATTCAGATTGCCCATGTTCTTCGCAGCCCCTGAGGACACTGCCAAGCACAGGGGCGGCCGCCGACGGACGTTCCCCAAGATGATCGAGAGTTTTGGGCGTCAAGCTCTTCATGAGATACAGAGCCCAAGCTGACAGGATGTCGCCGAATTGCAGGGTAGATAATTTCCGGAGAAAAAAAAATCAAGAAGAAAAATAAGAAAAAGACAACAATAGCACAACGTTTCCCCAGCTAAAAGCGTTTTCGTGTTTGCCCAGGCTCTGGAATGGTTCGATGCGGCGGGCGTTTTCGGGTAGTTAAAAGGGTACAATAATTTGTTTGTTTGTTTGTTTGTTTGTTTGTTTGTTTGTTTGTTTTGGTCTGGTCTGGTCTGGTCTGGTTTGTTTGTTTGTTTGTTTGTTTGTTTGTTTGTTTGTTTTATTGTTTTCTTGTGCGCGATTGTGTGTGTGCGTATGTGTGTGTGAGTTTGTGTTTGGGTATTTGTCTGTGTTTGTGTGTACAGCTTTGGGGTTGGTTTAGGGTGACACAAAGGGCAACCTCCCATTGTGGTGGTCCTATTGTGACACTTACCCACATATCGGCCAGAGTAAACCAACTCAGGGCCTCCTTTGCTTTTCCCGGGCTGCTTTTGATTCATGCTCTCACGCTCAAGGTGGTTAGGTTGCCCGTTTTCCCATTTCTTGCAAGTCCTGTCGTTGTTGTGGGCCCGAATCACCGTGGTAGCCACACTCTGGGTTCCACCAATCCACAGGTGCGACATCAAAAGCAAACCCTAGAGGCTCAGGGGGCAGGGCACAGCGGAAGAAAGCGTGGGATGCGTCAAGACATGGGTCTGATTGCTCCGACCGGTTCCAGGCAGGTTCCGGGGATCATTGTTGGCTAGTGTTGAGACACTGCTCTGCGTGGTGGGTTGATACAGTGTCCACGCACCCAACTGCATATATGTTTATTTATTTTTCCGAGGCCCACTCATTTTGGCAAACTTCACTGGTCGCTCCAAGGTGAGCGACTCCCAGGAAGGTCCCTGAATTCAGGCTGGCAAGATACAGCTATCCGTGCAGGTAAGTTCGGCAACTAGGCCCTTTTACCCCTTATTTTTGGAGGAGGGTTCCCCTACTAAAACAGACTACAGAAAAAAAAGGGGAAAAAAAGAACAAGAACATAAACAGTTGGTACCCTTATTCTAACCTCTCTAGTGGAGGACCTAGGTTTTTTTGGGTCGAATTCCTATTTCTCACGTCTTTGCCACTGGGACTGGAATTGTCTTGCCATTCTGTCCACTTCCCACGAATGCAAGCCACCAGAGGACCTCGAGGACGAAACCCTTTCCTCAACCGGAGTCATTGGATTCGCCCCATTTACTTTATTTCAGGACGCTGGAAATATTGGACTTTTTTTTTTGGTTTGTGAGGAAAGCCGGCACCTGCAGCGACTCCAAGACCGGCGTCTCCGAAGAGATCTTGCTGGCAGCGGCTGAGGAGCGGCGCTTTCGTTGGGCCTTGGGAGCTTCAGGCCTGAAGAATTCGATTTGGGAAGGGGGGGGGCAACTTGTAAGCTACCTGGAGTCTTTATGACCCTTAAAAAAAGGGTCCATGACCCCTTTATTTTGGGTAATGACCCCAATTTTGAAGGGTCATGGAGACTCCAGGTAGATTGAGTCATCACAGATTCAGACGTGTGATTCTTCCGTGATACTGAAACCTCCGCCCTTGGGGCACTTCTGGGACAGGCAAAGCGCCTTCCAAACAAGTCGCGACCACAGCTCCCTCGCCGCCTGGAAAATCTCCGTTTAGGACGCGGCGCGGCTGGCGCGCTTCTGCGGCGAGGCGGAGGTGGGCGCCTGGGGCGGCCAAGAAAGCCTTTGCCACGAGGCGCGGCGTGGTGGTTTTGCCCCAGCTGGAAGCTCTGGGGTTTGTGTCTTGATTGCTAGTGGGCTGGATCTTTAGACTAACTTTTTGGGGAATCAAGGGTTTTCCATTTAACCCACAAAAAGTTAAACTTTCTGCAGAGTGGACAACAGCAACCAAGGTGTGGGCTGGTTTGGGACAGCTTTCAGGGAGGGTTCCGGTTAGGGGGTTTCGGGGCCTGTTGGGGATGCAACCTGCTTTTTCCGGCACCGGCTTGGCACCTTTTCTTGGGACGGGTTGTTCAAATCGAGGGCTAGTTCTCTTTCTTAGGGCAAACACAGGTCTGAGCTCTGAGTCTGGATCCCAAACCGGACATGATTTAATCATATTTGAGTTTAAAGGGTGGAGTTTGGCGGAGCTCAGAACATTGTCAGGCTGCCGGCTCGCCTTGTTGTTTTAGCCATTTTCTTTCCTTTATTGCCCCTTTCATCCAACAAGTGACTGTCAACAAGTCAACAGACTTCTGGAGGGGGTGGAGTGCAAGATGGGTCGCAGACTTCCTTTGTCTTTTCTCTCCTTCCCCAGTGCATCCCAGCTACTGACGTCGAGATCTTCGTATCATTGAAGCCGGTCATGTTGGACGTGAACTGTTGCAGAATTCGCGGGGTCGCAGAATTTGTGGTATCATTGGGGATGCAAAAAGGCCCCCTCCATGTGGCTTGATATGTTCAAGCTTTCCTAGATGTCTCAAAGCCGACATTTTGCCTTTCCCTGTTTCGCAAAGTTTTTTTGCTTTTGTGGCCCCAAAAGGTGTCTGTTTTTTTGTTTTGCAGGGCAAACTATTCGCAACTCCGCCCAGTTCTCGGGTAATCCCAGGAAGCCATTTAGAGCGCAGCGTTGAGAAGCCCATCAAGTGATATCCAGGCAGTGCGACGTTGCAACCATCGTGCTCGATGTTCAAAACAACACGAGCAGGTATGCGGCTATGTCCTATGATGTTCTATGATCCCCCCACTGGTTCTCTTGTCCCAAAGGATTGACCAAAAGGACCCCTGGCAGGCGTTGACTTTCTTGGGCGTCCATTTGTTTGCTTGCTCCGGATAAACGTGGTACTCCACAAAAACCAGCATTTTCGAAGCATTGCCTGTTTCCGTCAGTTTGGGGGGGCAGTTGTGAAGGGTAGACCCAATGGAAGCGGGGAACCCAGAGGTAAGGGCCAAACTGCGAGAAGGGCGAGGGATGGCGAGTGCGGGGATCGGGGCTCTCCGTGTGTGTCTGTGTGTGTCCTTGTGTTCACTTCGAGATCGACAAATGTTGGTGGATGTTTGATTGATTTGGGATGGGATGGTCTATTTTGGGACGGTGATTTGTTTCCCAAAATAGGTTGTGAAGCAATAGTTCTTTTGTTCGGTTCGCCCAGACTGGACTTGTTTGCTCGCATGATCGACTGCCTTTGCTACAGAAGACTACAGTAAAGGCTGGGCTGTGACATGTGTTGGGTAACATTAAATGAGTGCTGCAGCTCACATGTGTTGTTACAACAAGTATGGCTGTTGTCAGTTGGTATTTTATCTAGAACAGCAACACGCATGTGAACCAATACTGTAATTCACGGCAACAAATCAAGCAACATAAGCCAACCACAAAAGGCACGCAGACACACACCACACACACACACAAGACTTAAACAAAAATAAATCACAAAGGCGATGGCATCCACACTGCCGCAAGCCACACACATCCAAGGACGACTCGCCCACATGACACATGTGACTCGCGAGAGGTGCTGCAAGCGTTTGCGGGTGCCTTCGAGGCAGAGGCCGGCGAAAGGCGAAAGGCGAAAGAGAGAAAGGTGGTGGCCGGTGCGGGTTTTTGGGGGGACAGATCGCAAAGGCGCAAATGGCCGTTGAATACCCAGAAACAGCAACGACATGAGAAAAACGGAGGCTTCCAATCACCCATTTCTGCAGCCAAGAACTTACCCCTGGTGCTCACTGGGCAATGACCGACGGCTGTTTGGAACGAACCGTTTTGTGATTCCCAAAAAAAAACAAAAGTTGGAGGGTGTATGGGGGTCATTCCCTTTCTCGTTCCCTGAGAACCAGCAAAATTGTTTCATTTTGATTTCGGTCTAGTCCTCCCCTTTGCAATGGTGAAGGGAAGCGCACGGGAAGCGGCTCTTTCAAAGGCTCAAACTATCAATCACGGACCTCGAAGGAGAGGGGGGCTTGCGGGGGAATCAGGTCTACAGTTGAATTATCCCTTCTAGGCACCCTGTCAAACTGTGATTTGTTTTCACTGGAAAGCGGTTGTCGGAAAAAGAAAAACAAATGTAAAATCTTGGGCTTTGAACATTAAACCAAGCAAAGCGATTGGCACTAACCACTTGGGGTATACCTCTTCTGGGGTCGGGTTGGGTGAATCTTCCGAAACGGTTGTAACTAGCGAATCGAAGTGCCCTGCTGCCTCTTTTCAAGTGCCGTTTGATTCGGTTGGGAGTTATAACACATCGCATCCTGCTGGGTGAGGCCCATTCTGACAATTCCAAGCGGTGGTACATCAAGGGGGAAAATCCGATTGATCAGGAACTGGGAGGAAAGTGAATAAATGCGGGCTTTTTGTTTGGTGACCTAAGGGTTTTGGATTGGGACAGTCACCACGATGCTTCCTTTCATAGGCAACCCCCCAACAATTCCTTTAACGGATGGCAATTTCCAAGCCCCCTTCTGGCTTGAAGGAATCGTTTCATAGGCGTTTCTCGATATTGCTCGCGCTAGGTCCGGCTCGCGCTAGGTCCGGTCCCATGCAACTCGTTGACTCAAACACCCAGCAATGGCTACAAAGTTTGCACGTGCGACAAACTGAGCTCGAGTGGTTTCTTAGTACGCCGACAAAAATAGCAAGAGTGTCCAAAACAAGCACACACACAAGCATTGCCCAAGTGCTGTTCACTACGCATCTCTGAGAAGGATTCAACAAAAGAGGGTTCCCTAATAAATAGAGTGCAGAAAAAAAAGGGTACCCTTATTCTAACCTCTCTACTGGAGGACCTAGTCATCCTATCACGCTTTTGGTTTCATGCCCCCTTTCCAGGAACCCCCCCGTGGAATGAAAGGGCTTGTCGCATTCGACGCCCGTGCACCCCGAGCCCACCCGTTTACCCGGAAGACTTTAATTCAGGGGTTGCCCTTTTCTGGAGGAGCCAACCACCCGTTTTTTCTTTTCCGTCTAGCCTAGTAAACGCAACACATAGACCCCTGCTGAAACATGGTTGCAGATCACCCACGGCCCTTGGGAGAGCACGGCATGTAGGGAACTGACACCTGGACCAGAATCAAACATACTAGTTTCGGCGGGTGGGGGGGGGGGGCAGAAGCTGGTATGGTGGGGGGTGGTTTCCCCAATGGACCTCATATTGAGAGCTTTCTGTGCAACGCATAATGAGGGTCGACATCCTGCCGTGCATGTTCCATAGCTTCCGCAGGGCTTTGGATTGTTTGAGCCGTGCAGCATCCCTGAGTAGAACGACCCCCCAACCAAGGACAAAAGAGATTGGCTTTCCATGGAACACGCGTCTTTCCGTGGATTGTTGAACCGCTTGCTTGTGCTCAGGCAATGAGAGAATACCCCCCATAAACCATCCAACTGCTGGTGTCCTTTGAGGGAACCCCTGGGTTCATTCCCTCATTCCCTGAGTACCCCTTGTTTCTTCAGGCTTGTGGGTTCCTCTTAGACTCAAGCGCAGACTGAGACTCTGCGCACCTCAGTTGTTCAGCGGCACCCTTTTTCCCTTTGTTTTTGGTGGCTGCCTCACTAAAGAATGGCCTTCCCCAGAAAGGGTTCCCTTATTTTCCAGGGTCACTGAGCAACTGAGTCCCCTCATTCCCTGAGCAGCGAGAAATCGCCCGGGAAAGCCAGCGCCAGGTGGCCGCGCTGTGCCACGCGCTGCTCTGGCGCCACTTCCGCCGCAGGCGGCGCCTCTGCCGCCTGGACGCCGTGAGCGAGGGCATGCGCCCGGTGGCGGAGCGCCGCGGCAAAAAACGCCGAAGCAAAGGGGGGGTCCCTGTTGACTGGGTCACCCAGTACTGCCCTTCTACCGGTTTTTTTGGGGAGGGTTACCCTACTAAAATAGGCTAGAGAACAAGGGTACCCTTATTCTAACCTCTCTACTGGAGGCGGTTTCTGGCAGAACGGGCCAGTCCCTGTTGAGTTTTGTCTTGGGCTGATGAACCCAGGCTTTGGTCCCCTTCAAAGGAACCCACCAGTTGGATGGTTTAGAAGCTGAGCACCAGCAAGTTGTGGGTGGCTCGTCTTTTTCAGGGGACCCCCAAAATGGTTTGTTTCCTCTTGGCTTGCCTGCCTTCAGTTTTAGCAAAGGACTGAGTGTTGGATTGAGTCTTGGTACCCGTTTCAAGGTTTGCTGAGTCAAGACACGACAACACCACTAATTTCGGGGTCCCTCCCCCATATAGTTGAATTTGTGTTTGCCGCGGGGTTGACTTGATTCCCCGTTGCGTGCTGCTTGTTTTTGCATTCGTTTGTTTTTTGGGGGGGAGTTGGTTTCTGTCAAATATTAACCCGGATGTGTTTTGGGTTTTCTTCATTCAGGTTCCCTTTGGCCTTGCCCGGAATATGCAAGTTGGAGAGCCTCGTTTTGAGTCTGGGGCAGGCCCAAATGACACGCCCTCGCACGGGTCACTGAACCTGAATTCCAAGTCCACCTCTACCTTGCAACTTCAAGGGGCCAACCCAGGCGAATTTTTAGTGGTTCTTAGCTTTCTTGTGGAATCTCTGGGTGTCATTTCGATGCCTTACCCTGATTTTGATTCCTTTTCCCACGTGGGCCTTTACTCCCCCAAAAATTGCTGTGCTCTAAGCCCCAAAGGCAGCAAATTCCACTTACAGGGTTTATATCTAGTCAGAGTCCTTCAATTCCTCTTTTTTGCTGCAACCCATTGAAGCAACCAACCCTCACTGATCTGGTGAGTACCCCTTCTTCACCGGCTTCTTGGCCGGGGTTCTTCCTTTGTTCAGCTGCTTTTGTAAAATTTTCACCTGCTTCTTGGTGGAGTTTTCCTAATTTTCACCTGCTCCTTGGTGGGGTTTTCCTTTGTTCAGCTGTTTTTGTGGAGCCAAGCAGGTCCCACACACTTGGAGGTACTGGCGCGCCTGGTCGCGGCAGTCCAGCGAGACGCCGCGGGTGGCGGAGCACTTGGCCCAGGCGGACTCGCGTTTCGAGGAAGGGACACGAAGCGAAAACCAAAAGGGGCGAAAGGCGAAACACATGGCTGTGGGTCAAGACCAATGTTTCCATTTTGGAGTAGGTGCACCACCCATTTTAGTCTATTTTAGTGGGGATTGGGATATTCACTGGGGGCACGGTATTTTGACCCATGGCCACATAAACTCAGTCCCTGGAGCTTCTGGACTTTCTACTTTTTTGGGGAAGACCATTTTGGCGGTACATACAAAGGTTCAAGCTGTTCTTGGCCCATTGGTGAGCGCAAGGTGGCCCTCAAGCTCGTGCTGCAGCAGCAGCTGCCGCTGCCGTTGAATTCGGCATCCGTTGAAGCAGTGTCTCAACCTCACGCTGATTCAACATTGCATGCGAGTAGTCAACTTCTCTGAAGGGGGAGCGGAGTTGCAACTGTCAAGGAGAACAACCTTTGGCAGGGGATGAGCTGAAGCAGACATGTGTGCTCTCTTATGGGATTGTTGGTAGCTATAACAAGTCTCAGCATGCCAAAAGCTTGCCTCCGCGGCTACATCCCTGCAGACTAACATGGAACCGAGGAGCATCACTTGGTTCAGGTGATTTTGTTGTTCGTTATGAGAGGACCTTCCGGGGCTTTCCCAGCCTCAAAACAAGAGAGGCGTCTGGCGCCCTGGGGCCTGGCTCATCAAGTCAGGTGAGTTCACGTCCAGGCGAGTTTTCGGCCAAAAACCCATGCGGCAGTTGATTTCTTAAGGCTCTATATTTTTTCCCCCCGCCATGCGTTTGTTTGTGGCTTTAACCATATTTTGTTGGTAGCCGATGTAGGTCGAGTTTTTATACGTTGGATGTTAGACGGTTTACTCGGACCATTCATATATGCCAGGTTTATGTAACACAGTTACCAGCTTTAACACACTTGTTTGAAAACCCACAAATGCCAACCGCGGAACCAAGCCTCCCGAAACCCATCTTTGGGGTCAGTTTGACCCCATGGCTCAAAAACCAAGTGGGATACAACTTTGATACCATAGGCGACCATAGGTGTTGTTTTGATCGGTGAGTTTGGTTAGAAATCGATGGCTTCCGCAGGTTTAGATAGGGTTTTGTGCCCCATGCGACTAGGTCCCCCAGTAGTGCCCTTTCACCCTTTTTTGGGAGAGGGGTTCCCCTACTGAAATAGACGACAGAAGAAAACTCGGGTACCCTTCTTCTAATCTCTCTACTGCAGGACCTAGTTAAGGACGTCTGTGATTGATGCGCTTCAGCTGTGTCTTTTTTTTGTTTCGCCCTCGGTTTTTTTTTTTTTTTTTTTTTTTTTTTTTTTTTTTTTTTTTTTTTTTTTTTTTTTTTTTTTTTTTTTTTTCGCACGGACCCAAAACTAGCGGTTTGCTGTTGAGAGGCGGCGGCGGAGCTGCTGACGTCCCAGTGGCTGCGCGCCTCGGTTCGTTTACGCCATGAACACCTGGGTGGATGGAGTCTCCATGACCCGCAAAAAATGGTGTCGTTACCCCAGACAAAGGGGTCATGACCCCTATCTTAGAGTCAGGACTCCAGGTGCATGGAGATTCGGGAGCAATCCACTCCATGAGGTGCGGCTGGTGCAAAGCTTGGTTCCTTGAAAGAAGCCCTAGGGCTGCGGGGTAAAACTCCGCTTTTTTGGTGAAGACAAGTCGTCGTTTCGGATGTGGTGGTTTCAGGCGCCTTCCGACACGCGGAGAAGCATGGGGGTGCACTGCCGCATCTGGAGGAGGACGAGGCCATCGAAGCCTTCGATTCGTGGATCGGTGGCGTTTTGCTTCTTTTTTTTTGGGGGGGGGGGGGGAGCTTTTTGTTTGGACTGGTGGGTTCACGTTTCAAATAGTCAACGTTCCAAGTATTTTTCTACCACGGCTGACCTGAAGTCAAGGAGTCCTTGCGGGGCGTCCCTATGGATCGGGCATGAGTGGTAGCGGGCTGCTGTTTACAGCCCCTGCCCCTTGCTTTCCCCCGATATGCTTGTAAGGTTCCTTTCTTGGAGAAACGCAGGGTAAAACCAGAGGAGCCTTTCTGAGGTTATAAACCATCTTCGCCAGCTGAGTTAGAAGATCAGCATCCATGTAAATCGGATTGCTTGTGCATGCATTCTTTGAGAAGCCCTGTGGATTTTCAATTGCCGTGTTTGATTCCCAGAAAGTAATCAGGTGGCTGGTCATGTGGCTACCGGCCACAACCTATAATGTGTGTTACCCTTACTGATGGGTCAATCTAGGATCGAATTGATGGCGCATTACTGGATGGTGATCATTGACTTACGTGGGTGCTGCGTGCATGGTTGAGTTGGCCTACTAGCGAGATGTACTTCACGTTGGTAGGCTGCTAAAAACTGCAGATCCGAGCTGGTACCATGTTCTGACCAGCCTGGTTGCAGTTTGGTGTGGTTGCAATGTGGAAAGTGGTTGCTGTGATGGCATTTTGCACTTCAACAGTAATGGTATGGTAATAAATTGTTAGGCTGCAAACGATTCACCATGATTAAATTGTTAGATGGTTGCAATAGGATGCAATAAGCAAACTTTAAGCCTCACATATCTCAGGCAATATCCATCAGTCGTTGATGGTCAATGTCAACACCACTAGGTTGATTAGTTCGGGGCACACCCGCTCTGATGAACACATAGATCACTCAGTACTTACCGAGGATGATCACAATAGTCGGATAAGTAACCATTTGGTTCTAATACAAGATATTCCAAATGCTTTGTTGGGGATTATCATCATCAAATATTTGCCCATCCACGAGCAAGTACATTGGAGAATAAGGATAGTTCATATCACGCTTAAACGATGAAACACCGGATGGATCGGATGAACCAATGGCCGAAAATGGAACGTGGCTCTGCGGGTGAGTTGTGAGTCTTCTTGTTTTCCCACTGGTTCTGAGAATCTGGTATTTTGAATTAGTTTTACCAATACCATAGAGGAAGCTGGCGCGTTTACCTGCAGAACTAGGTTGTCTTCAGCGTAAGGTAGATGCACTTTGAAATGACGATCTGGTCATAGTGTTCAAGTTGCGGTGTTCCATCGAAAAGACTCTCCTATTCACGATACTTATTCTGGAAACGGGCGATTACTGTAGCGGCATCCTGTAGGAATTCTACCAGGAATTCAACTGTTTCTGAAAATTCCATGGCCATCCTTACATTTCGCAGAAGTCTCTATGAGCGTCTCGAGCCTACTGCTGCAAAGTCTGCAGCATATTGCCTGTGGCCTCCCACAATGGCACTGGAAGCCACCCATCTTCAGCATGTACTGGATGGCCTTCTTGGTATTCTTGGCATTGCCTTGCCAGGAAACAGTATGAACTTCTCCATGACAAAGGGTGGAGACGAACTCAGCCTTAACTTGATCCAGGAAGATGATGTGCTTCAGGAGGAAATGCTGCCAATTAGGAAGAGGAAGAACAACAAGTTGAAGACTATATGACATACCGGGAGAAGTCTTCAAGCGAAAGGGCGTTGGCGTGTCATCCTTGGCCGCGAGGCAGACTTGAGATTGCAAAGTAGCATCAAAGGCTACAGGGCCAAGAAAGTCGAAAGAAGTGCTTTGCCTTATTCTTGCCCTGGGGATGATCAAGAGGAAGGTCAGTAGGCGAGACAGGACCACGAGGCAAGTCCACGACGTTGGTGGCATTCAGGGCCGTTTCCAGAGAGATTTCACTGGTTGCTGACATCATATCTACTGTACAAGAAAAACATATACTTTGAATGACCTTGTTTGAGCTTCTAGCAGCAGAGTAGTATATAAAGGAAACTGTGTATGAAGTATAGGTCAGTGACATCAAAGCGACAAATGTGCATATATATATATATGCTCACCCGCTACTCTTGAAAGTATCAGTTTTTCTAGACTGTACAAGTGAAAAGGTGCGCCCTGGGGGGGGAGCATATATATATATATATATATATATGTATATATATATATATATGTATAGTCATCCCCAAGAAGATAGAAAAGTGTTTCCAAGGGTTGGCATAATGGATTTTTCATCATATTTCAAATGTTCCCCTCACTTTTCTATCTATTTGGGGTGACTATATTCACATACGGCATCCGAACGTCGCTTGCTTCCTTTTCTCGAAGCATCCCAGCAGCGCGCCTGGTCGGTTCATGGATTCGCCTGGGCGGTCGGGTTGAAAGCTGTCCGGGACCTGAGCCGTGTCTGAAACGATGCACCCCTGCATGAAAATTGCGGGGGGGGGGGGTGATGGATGATATATAGGTGCTTATGCTAATGGTTTGTATCCCTATAGCTATGTAATGACTTAGATCATGATGAATGGTTTTTTCCTATGTGGGTTTGTTTTAATATACGGAGCATTAATGACCCATTAGTTCAGGATCCCGATTGACCAACCAGTATAGGATTGGTGCTCCCACTCCACAAATCCAAAAGGTGGTCAAGGTACAAAAGACGTCCGGCAGGTCATTGAGCGTGACTTGTGCAGTAATGGTTGGGCACCCTTCATCATCATTTCCAAAGCCATGATCAATTTAAGTAGGTAAACCTCCAGTTTTTACCTTTTACCCTTCTGTGGGGGAGGGATCCCCTTCTAAAATAGACTGCAGACAAAAAACAAAAAGTATCCTTACTCTACCCTCTCTACTGGAGGACCTAGGAATGGACCCGGACTGAAGCTTCCAACTACCCCATGCCGATGGCAGAAACCACGGGACTGGCCGCAGGCGGTGATGGCGGAGCTGGCACCAGGCTCCCCGCAGCTGCAGAGGTTCCAGGCGTGCGAGGGATCTGCCGATGCTTCAGGTTTGTTCCTTTGTTTCCGAGTTTCTTGTGTTGTTTTTTGTTGGTTTTGTCCATAGACCAGGAGCTAATGATCATTTTGACATCTTCCAGCTGCCGATTCTGAAGGTTGGCTTATGTGTCAGGGGAGTTGGACCCGAAACTGCTTCGGTATTCCTGTTGCTTCTGTTGGCTTGCAGAAAGCCAGAACCAAAACAGGCACCGGGCCTCGAAAATGTACCCACCGGGAAACCAACAGGAAAACAAAAGCCGTTTTTGGGGTGTGCCCGCCACTTTGACACGACCGAGGCCATGGGATTGGAATCACCCCATCCAAACTAGCGGATTTACCGCATTTCTTTCCATTTCCAGAGCCTGCAATGGCAAGCTTTTCCGAACGAACATGTAGGTCCTTTACTTGGGTATCCAAGTCTTGTTTCAGGTTGTGGAACTGGAAAATGTTAAGAAAGATGTGGTGCCAGAGTGGTGTTGCAATGGCGGTTTTCTTTGGTCCTTTTTCGTGATGAGTTTTAAGTAGGACCTGGTGGATTATTAGGGTGGAACTGGAGCAGTCTCCAATTTGAGAGTTCCCCTCTAAAATGGCATTGCCTGAAACTACCCGTCTGAAAACAACATGGAACCAGATGTTTGTAGAGCCAGTTGCTTATATTGCGAAGATCGCTTGCCAGGTCCCATGAGTCGCTGGGAGGGCATCTCCAGTTCTTTCAGTTTCGGTTCCAAGGATTTTAAATCCTCTCGATCCTCGGAGTGCACTGACTTCCCACCATTGGAACTCGTTGGCTTTGAAAAAGTCCGGCTTTCTCGGAGCCCTTGAGGGATGCCCTTTCCCGTGGCAAAGCAGCTTGGGTTTCGAAGTCAACCCTAAACCCTTATACAATATCAGATGATATAGTGATTTCCCTTGCTGCGGCGGTGTTCCGCCACGCATTGCGGACATTCTCATAGCATGTTGAACAACCCAGGAAGTCATGATGGCAACCAGTCGAGGGGGGTTGGTATCCAATTTCCACGAGAGCCAAAGGCCAATTCAGATGGCAATCCGCAGGGCTGGAAGCCCCAAACACCCATAGGAATCCTTTTTGGCGGTTCCAACCATGTTTCTCATTTGTCAACGGTCCGAGGGGAGGAAAACATGAATCCTCAGGGTTTTCCCCATGAGGGTGGATCAACATTTCGTTACGGACATTTGCGCCAAGCGGCATGACAAGATGGATGATGTTCTACAATACTAACAAGTCTTGCACAAGTCATACCCATCGGGAACAATGGGAGCATTGGGAGCTTTGGGAACTAGGTTGCTTTTCCTTGCGGATTGACGGAGTTAGGTTCTTGGTTGCTTTGTAGTTGCCTTTGATTAGGTCTTTTGATTTTCAAACAAGAGCAACGGTCAATACTGTTGAACTGTCATTTGTCAGCAGCGCGCATGGCCACATTCGTAGAGTCCCACCTTGATTTTGTGGGCTCTTCCTATGAATTGTCATGGGTTTATTGCCAGCCTCAACTGACCTGTTTGCCCTTTCGGCCTTCTGAGATTTCCACTAACAGGTGAACTTTTTGCAGGGGATCGGATCCGTATCGGAGGGTGTTGTCTTGACACATGAAACAGAGGTCGACTTCACCTGCGCAAGCCTTCCAAACTCAAGCCTCGCTCTTGTCTTTGCCACCTCGCCATCATGCGTGAGCTCGTGCACGTCCAAGCAGGTGCCTTGGATGGAAACGTGGCTGTCGAATCCATCCGACTCTGAGCTTTGAAGTGCTAGTGCCAACAAGTGGTGAAATGGCTTATAGCTGGAAGCTCCCCCAATTGGCCTCTGCAAATGGAACCCAAGTCTTTCAAGGGGGTCCGTTCGGGAGCTTCCAGGTCAGTCTGGTGGAGGGTAGGTGGGTCATTCATGGAATGCTCTGGCTTTCGAAGTGGTTTATTGGCTCCAGTCAGTCCTCCAATCCCTTTAGGGTACCCCTATGTTGACAAATAACAGCGAGTGGTGTCGGTATAACTTAATCTCTGCTTACGAGAAACACCTTCCCAACATTTCACCTTCAAAAGGCTCTCTTCTCGATGTTGCTTGGGATTTGGAGTTGCCACGTGGTTACACTACTGCTGGGGTTCTCCAAAAACCGTGATCACCGAAAGTGGTTGGTCTCCTTCTAGTTTCTCTTTAAATACCAACCAAAAGGAGGGCAACCAATTTGAAAGGGATGTCCTTTTTTCCCATGGAAATCCACTGGGCATCTGAGTGATTATGGCTCTAATGATTCTCTAATGTTCTTAAGACACTGCTTTCATGGGGGTTGGGGGGGAGGGATGGGGGGGGGAGGGAGCCCGAATAAGCCCCAAATAAGACCTTATTGGGGGCTAAATGAGGGCTTATTAGGGCTCCCCCTCCCCTCCCTCCCCCCAGCCCCCATGATGCTTCGCTGGTCGAGGTCAGTGCGGCAACCAGATCGGCGCCAAGTTCTGGGAGGTCATTGCTGACGAGCACGGCATCGACCCTACCGGCCCCGCGGATCGGTTTTTTTTTGGTCGATGGATGTGTTCCGTGGGTGGTTTGTGTTTTTTCTTTAAACTAAGTTCTTGGTGATCTTTGGTTGGTGGGTGTTCCCTTTAACTCGGTTCTTGGCGATTTGTTTTTTGTTGGTTTCTTGGTGTGACCATTCACCTTTCACGTGTGTTCCCTTTGTCTGGTGTGGTTTCCCTCCAAAAAATCCTCCAAGTGGGCGAGTTGTTTCTTTTCTTTTTTGTTTCTCCGGCCGAGCAAGTAAGGCACCTATCATGGCGACTCCGACCTGCACCTCGTCCAGTCCGGTCGAAGTGTTCGCTGCACCGCCACGTAAGACTTCAAGCACAGCATCGGGGTAAAGAAGCCTATTTCATGTTCCCTCCCACCAATTAACATGGAACCTGACAGGGGGGGGTCCCTGGAAGATCATTTTCCTTTTAAAGGGGCCCCCTGTCAGGTTCCATGTTAGTTGGTGGGAGTGTATGTACCCAGTGCTTCCCAAGCCATTGGTCGGTGTTGCCCGTGCCCATGATGCGTTGGACCGGCTGGTTGTGTTCTGTTGCGTTTGCTGCTGCTTCCTGTGTCTGGTTTGTTGCGCCCACTGCTGCTGCTGAATCAAAGGGCACTTCAAAAGGCCGAGTGTCCTTGGGTTGATCTGCTATTTCTTTATGACAAGGGTAAAACCAGCTCCGTGAAGGTCCCTTACTTGGGAACCATTTAGTATTTCTGGTTTTGGACCTATTGTAAAAAAAAGAAGAAGGTTACACCCCCCCCTTTCCTCACCAATTCCTCGCAGGTTTTTATTCGCTCCCAAGGCAATTGGAGCGCATCAACGTTTATTTCAATGAGGCCACCGGTGGCCGCTACGTTCCCCGTGCTGTGCTGCTCGGCTTAGCTCCAAGTGGTCGGTTTCCGTGGTGCGCGAGCCGCGCCGTATCGCGTCGTATCGCGTCTGCCGGTCGACTTCACTTCCGCGGTTCGTTTCAGAGCCGGTTGGCTTGAAGTGGGTTGCTCTCTGGTTTCGTGGGGGGCTGAACATGCGACAAAGATAATTACCTGTTGTGACCATATGGGCTGAGCCAAAACGTCAATGGGTTTTGGACATGCGTGCAAGTCACTCGCATGAAAGGAATCAGATGGCACAATATCCCATTTTGGTTTAGTCATTCCCTTTACATGTGCCATCTGCTTTCACCCTGGTGTACTTCTAATTGTTCTCTCTCCCCCCCCTGGCCCTCAGTTCGCAAGCCGCTGTGACAGTTGCGAAAGTTGCGAGGCTGATGGATCTTGAGCCAGGACAGGGTTGGGCTTTTCTGACCCAAGAGGTTTTAATTAGAACATATGCTAGATGTTTTGGTTGAGTAAATATGAAGGATCTGGTTGGTGTAGGCCAGAGTTGGAAACCAGGGCACCGCACTAGGGCCCCTATGCAGGTCCCATTCAACGTGCTCACCCCTGAGTTTTTCTTGGCTCACGTATATTCTCCTTGCACCGGGTGCGTCATGATGACTTGGGCTTGCTGCTGGTGACTTAGTCTCGAGTTCATAAATGAGCTTTGTTTTAACCTGGGTGCTAAATCGCCCACGTTTCTGACTTCCCGCAAAATGACCGAGTCCATTGAGAAGCTGTCTTTATGTTTCGTTGCGAGCAAATCCCCTGACAGGAACCATGGACAGTGTGCGAGCCGGTCCGTTTGGCCAACTCTTTCGCCCGGACAACTTCGTCTTCGGGCAGACAGGGGCTGGCAACAACTGGGCCACTTGGCGGTGCAGCCAGATCTTGACCGGTGCCCTTTCTGTGTCTCTTTTTTGGGAGGGGGCTTCGGGTTGGTGGCTCCCCTGAGAGACCGATCATTGGCTAGGTCACCCAGTAGTGCCCTTTTACCGTTTCTTTTTTGGGGGAGGGTTCCCCTACCAAAATAGACGACAGAAAAACGGGTATCCTTATTCTAACCTCTCTACTGGAGGACCGAGCATTGGGTTTCCATGTATATAATGAAATCAACCAACAAGCGGAGTCCTTCTTTTCCCAATGGCCACTCGCCGGTTCAGCCATATCTTTGGACAGCAAACCAACGAGCTAGCCCACTTTGGGGGGGGTCCCTTTGCAGGGATCTCCTTTGCGGGTAAAGAATCACATTTGTAATTTGCTCAGATGGCAACGACTGCCTTTTTTCCCATGGCTGGTGGATGTTCGGAGTTCAGAGTTTGTACCCAGACTATCAAAAAGAGCGCCTTTTCTTTGTTCCATGAAAACTGGAAAGGGGGTACCCCGAGACGTTTGCATGTTTACAGTGTCGACGTGAGGCCAAAGGGCACTACACGGAAGGCCAGGCTACTGCAAGCGTTCCCAGTCGACAGGCGTTGTTGCAGGTAACCCATCGCTTAGTGGTTGAAGGGTGGGACACCCCTGGGGAAATGGAAGAGGCATGGCTAGAAGTCTCATTGCTGTTGCCAATCACCACGTTTCCCGCTGTATTACACGGCAACTTGGAATCGAAATGAGTGAGGGCGATATAAATCAGGACGATGGTGGCTGGCATCGGATGGGGGCTTACGCATGGAACCAGGGTCCATTGGTACTACACAGGTCCTTCCCAGTTGCCCAGTGGTGCCCTTTTTCCCCCTTTTTTGGTAAGGGTTCCCCTTTAAAGTCAACCAACCAAAAAAAGATGTCCTTTTTTCCCATGGCTGCTGGGCATTTGAGCCTTGCTTTCATCAAGCAGTGTCGCTTCAGAACATGATTTCTCAGGGCCAGCAGCTTTGCTTGCCCAACCTCCGATGTGTACCGCATGTCCTTGCTGTTTGTTGTTCAAACCTTTTTCTTCTGAGAAAGACACGTGTCTCGGCCGGCGTTGTTTGTTTGTTTGTTTCTTTGTTTTTGTGTTTCTTTTTTGTTTTTTGCTTAAACACAAAACACCTAGTCGGCCTCATTTGTTCGATACGCCCAGCCTTGATCGTGACTCCGAGTCGCGAACGTCGTCGGCGTCCCTGAGAGGTGCCGAGTTGATCGACTCGGTGCTGGACGTGGTGCGCAAGGAGGCCGAGGGCTGCGACTGCCTGCAGGGCTTTCAGCTGTGCCACTCACTGGGAGGAGGCTGGTCGGATGCGGATGCGGATGCAAGAGGGACCGAAGGGGAAGTGGTTTGAGGAGAATGTTCTACAAGAAAAGGTCTGGTTTGGGATTCTTCACTGTTCAGCCGGACTTTTTGCGAGTTGTTTTTTGCAGATGGCCATGGTTTGGCTTGTGATCCGTGGTGTCCCACTACGGATTGGATTGAAGAACAGGAGGAGGGATCCCCTTATGTTCAACAAGCCGTGTACGGCGATGTCAACCTCGCGGTTGTGGCCTCGAGCTTCCTGGAAACCATCGGCCTTTTCTGCAGGAAGAAGCGGTGGATGGGAAATGTGCGACCCGGTTATCAGCTTATCACCTTTGGACTTGGTCGAATCCGCCAGGATTTGCTCAGGGAACGTCACCTGCGGCGGCGGGGTGGGGGTTTTCCTTTGTCTGAACCAAGCTGTACCCTCAAGAATCACTTCCAAATCTGTGATTTGTGTGCAAACTGTATCCATTGGTTGGATCTAACTGATTGAAACTTAAAGAAATTACCTAGCCTTTGAGTTCAGCTCACGTTCAACACCTGTTCCAGAAAGCCACGGAAAGCAACTAGAGGATGCCTGTGGAAGACTCAGAGATATAGAGCTAAACACGGCTAAACAAGAAGCTGGCAACAGAAAGCTAGATGAAAAACCCAGAGGCACAACTAAGTAGCGATAAAGCATAGTGGGTAGAGAAGAGCTGTGGTTACAGGTACCTACATGGAGTCTCCATGACCTTCTAAAAATGGGTCCACGACCCCTTTTTTTATTTTGGGTAATGACCCCCATTTTTAAAGTAAAGCGCAGAGGTAGAGAAGAGAGTGGTCACAAGTAGCTACTATGCAGGTCTTGCATTGTCGCCGCCCGTAGGCACCGGCGCTGGAATGGGCACGCTGCTGATTTCCAAGGTCCGTGAGGAGTACCCCGATCGTGCCGCGGCGTTGACCGCCGGGGAGTTTCTCAGTTGCCTCAAGGCCACCTGGGGCAGCCACATGAGCCTGGCGATTTCCAGCTATCTTCAGCTGTTGTTACTTCCTGAGTTTAGAGGGATTAGGATCTATGACGTGTCCCGCTCAAAATATTCGCTTTAGCAGGGAATCACTCAATCACTGTGAATTGGTTTGTTTGTTTGTTTGTTTGTTTGTTTGTTCGTTCGTTCGTTTGTTTGTCGGATTTTATCCGACGACCCATGTCACGAGAAGTCAAGGGAACCCCGTAGAACGGCTTTAGCTTCATTGATTCCTTGGTTCAAAGAAGAAAGGAAGAAAGGGGTTATGCAGAAAGCGTTGCCTTCAGTTTCGATATCATTTTTGTGGGCCACTCATCTGCATTCAATCCCCCTTTGGTGGGATGTGAAGGTGGGCGCGATACGGCCACTACTGCCCACGCTCGGTTGTTTCATCAAGGCCATTTTACCGGGCCACCGACAAGTTGAGTCGTTGCCGCCCCAAGGGCTCTGGAGATGTGCCGTTGCGCCAGCACCACTCTTGACTGCAGTTTTAACCATGTTCACAACCTGAGCAACTGACCGTACCTCTGACCGAAGTACTGGTAGTTTATGGGCTACTTTGCGGAGGACGCTTTTGGGGGCCGCGCAAGTTTCTTGCACAACACCATGGGGTCCACTCAAATCTCCCGTCGTTTTGGTGAAACCAGTAATTTTTGCCTGGGGCTCAAGTGGGAAAGCTGGCCCGAGAGTAAAGCTCGGGAACGTTTGACCTGCCCCCAGAGCGACTCTGGAAAGCTAAGGTATCATGGAAACGTTCTCCGTGATTCCGTCTCCCAAAGTGTCTGACACGGTGGTTGAGCCATACAATGCCGTCTTGAGCTTTCATCAGCTGGTCGAGAACTCTGACGAGTCCTTCTTGCTCGACAACGAAGCCTTGCATCACTGCCGGGCTTAGCTCAACTTTTTCAGCCCTTTGAGCCTTGTTGGTGTTTCTCCTTTGGCCCTTTCAACCAGCAACACGGATTCTTTTGTACAGACTGCAGCCTGGCAGAGGTACGACATTTGCTTCCGCACATTGAAGCTGACGACTCCGACCTACGGCGATCTGAACCACTTGGTGTCGGCAGCAATGTCTGGAGTTACCTGTTGCCTGCGCTTCCCGGGGCAGCTCAATTGCGACCTGCGCAAAATTGCAGTGAACCTCGTGCCGTTCCCCCGCCTGCACTTCTTCATGACTGGCTTCGCACCCCTGACCTCTCGTGGTTCTCAGCAGTATCGTGCACTCACCGTGCCAGAGTTGACTCAGCAGATGCTCCTTGGATAAAAGACTGCCCCAATTCTTTGCCATGCATGCCTGGAGGGTTTGAGATGTGGGCCTCCCTTGTAATGTTGACCCCATATTGATAATTGTTCCCCTCCAAAAGTGGCCTGATTCCAAGCTAATTAGACCCTGAGTGGTTGAAATTCATATGGGCTCAACATTTGCGTGTCTCCAGGTTCGACGCTAAGAACATGATGTGCGCCGCTGATCCCCGCCATGGTCGCTACTTGACCGCGGCAGCCCTGTTCCGCGGCCGCATGTCAACAAAGGAGGTCGACGAGCAGATGCTTAACGTGCAGAACAAGAACTCATCGCATCTGGGCTTGCTTTATCTGGCTGTGGCTCAAGAAAAAAGTACCCAAAGTGGCCCCTTGGTGAATGAAAACAAACACCAACACCTGCATAAACCTGAGTCTTAATTTTGAGCGACGCCCATCTGCCTGGATTCCATGGCTACCACTATGTGTAACCTTCTGGGTTGCACTTGCCAGACTTACGTGACCGCATTGCCAGGAGTTGGAAGGCCACAGTCCCCCTGAACGGGCCCATGCCCACTTGCATGCTTGTGCAAAAGAGCGTATATCCTTCACGCATGTGTAAGCAAGGTCTTGTGGCTGTCGTTTGCATCAGCCCACATTTACATCTCTTTCGCTGCCGATTCAGCACACTGCTTGTTTAGTTGGGCCATCTTCTCATTTACCGGTACAATGCATTTGCGTTTCCAAAAGAACACCTGCCAAACCGTAAGCCACAACAATCACATCCCCTAAAACATGCCCAAACAAGAACTCTCCAAATCCAACCCCGAAAAAAGGCATGAAGCCAGACCATCGTATATGACTCCGGTTGAGCGCTTTGCGTCTTGCGAGGTACTTTGTGGAGTGGATCCCCAACAACATCAAGGCCTCCGTCTGCGACATTCCGCCCAAGGGCCTGAAGATGGCGGTGTCCTTCGCTGGCAACTCCACGGCCATCCAGGAGTGAGTGAGTGAGTGAGTGAGTGAGTGAGTGAGTGAGTGAGTGAGTGAGTGAGTGAGTGAGTGAGTGAGTGAGTGAGTGAGTGAGTGAGTGAGTGAGTGAGTGAGTGAGTGAGTGAGTGAGTGAGTGAGTGAGTGAGTGAGGGCCCAGTGTGTACGGTCCTACCCGCGGCTTGCCTCGAAATCAGATGGAGCCCTGAAATGTTCAAATGGCTGCTTTCTTTTTGGTTCTTAACCAACCTGAAGCTCCAGAGCGATCGCGCCCGGCCATGTATTTACCTGACCTGCCGCGCAGGGATTGCGGGTCAAAGTGATGGCTTCCTTGAGGGGCCCTGCCAGTGGGATCGAGTGGGTTTTGCGTAATGGCGCTGCATTTTGGGTGGGTCTCAAAATTACTTTTTGGGGTGGTCGGCTTTTGACCACTACTTGAAGATGTCACTTTCGTGGACTCAGTATGCGGGGGTTTCGCAAAATTAGGCATGGTGCTTGCAGGGAACCAGAAGGACAACATTGCCACTTGCTTGGTGGTCGTATAATTCCCAGAGGCAATCATCCTTTTTGACAGAGGTCGCACCTGGATTCAACAGTTGCTCAATTGACTGCACTCAGCTTGCGTGCAAGTGCGGGGGAGGGTTATTTGTTCGTACGTGTCCTTGTGTTTGCAAGTGAGGTAATCTCAACTCTGCGAAGAACCTTGCATACACCTCAAAACCACACCGCTCGTGTATAACGGAAACCCTTATGTAGGGTCTCAATAGCACCAATTTCCGGGGGTATATGAGATTATGGAGCGATAGTTGGGTGTGCCCAGCTTTGCTCTTACAGTTGTAAAATGATTTGCACACATGGGTTATTTCAGAAGTGGAAAGACAACTCCCCCAACCCTGAAAGATCTTAATGCATTCGCGCAATCTCTCCAAAGCACATCTTGGCAATATCCGATGTCAGGCATTTCCCGCACCCAATGCATCCCAGGCAAGACCCGATCCACTGCACCTAACTGATTGTCATGTTTTTTAAAGCAGCGCTTGATGTGCCAATTATGTTTTTTTTTTTTTTTTTTTTTTTTTTTTTAACGAGGAGATGTTCAAGCGGGTGGCGGAGTACTTCACCGCCATGTTCCGGCGCAAGGCCTTCTTGCACTGGTACACCGGCGAGGGTATGGACGAGATGGAGTTCACTGAGGCGGAGTCCAACATGATCCGTGGCCGGACTTGCCCAAAAAAAGAACGTGTGGGTCTTTCAAAAGATATATTTTTTGTTGCCTACAAACATGGTGGATTTTAGGTATGATTTTAGGTCAACGAACCAAATGGTGGATTTTAGGTTAATGAACCAAAATGGTGGGTTATATTTGGGTTCATCCTTAGGATTTTCTTTTGGGAGACCCTTTCTGTGGTGGCTTCATGTTGATTCGCAGACAAATCGCCGTTTTGCCCTTTTGCCTTTTGCCTTCTGTTTCCATGATTTTTCCCGCATGACCGGTGACCGTGCTGAGCCACGTTTTTAGTTGTATCGTTTCCCATATAGATGCAGCAGGGAAATCGGGTCAAGGAATGACCTGGTCTCAGAGTACCAGCAGTACCAGGACGCTACGGCAGAGGAGGAGGGCGAGTTTGATGAAGAGGAAGGTGAGTATCTCCATTGCGGTTGGATAACATTTTGAGATTTGTTGTTTCATGTTGGTTTTGTGCTTTGGGACATTTGTTGGTGTTGTGCGTGGATACATTTTGAGATGTGTTGTTTCGTTTTGGCTTTGCTCACTTCCTGTGGTAAGGGGGCCCACCACATTTGTTTGCCCACCTGCAGACGATGATACAGTGTAAGATTTGTTGAATCGTCTGCTTCAAGTGCTATGAGAAGAAATGGATTCGTTTGGATCGTGCTTCTGCTTAGATCACGTGACATCTGATCTGTATTGAAAGGCCTTGTTTTCGGGTTGAGCGGGGCACGTCGCAAAAATAAGAAGGGTTCAACGATTACTAGCATGTTCCTCCTACTGGGGATGGACAAAATCCTGCACCACCTAAGGAACCCTGGAATGATGATTCCCCTGCAAGTGCCAACAAACAATGGCTTCCCATGATTTCAAAGTGGTGCAGGATTCCGTCCATCCACGGTATGATCATGACTTAGTTTGGTTCAAAGGCACCACCCAATGTAATTAGTTTGGCCCTTATAGTATTTTGCTTGCACTGAGACACTGCTACAGGTATGATGGCTGAAGCTGACCATACGCCTCTATCCCGTGACGGGTGGAGACAGATTTCACCCAGTGGATCTTGTGGCCCGTGGATTTCAACTTACTCTTTTGTGGGTTTCAAAATGTAAGCAACTCACCGGTATGTTGGACTTCTTGGGATGGGCTGTTGAAGATCAAACGACCCACCGGGAATTTTGCTTGCCTCCTTGTCCACTGGGCGAATCAGCTGGGGCCCATCATACGAGGTGAGCATGTTGGATCGGATACAGTCCATGCAGCTCGCCCCTCAAATTAAGCTGCTCGCCATGTGTCGACCGACGCATTGCGGGTAAATGATCTTGCAACTTGCTCGATTCGGAGCGAGAAACAAACTTGGTGCTGCGAGATTTGCAAAGATCCCATCTAGGCCACATGCAAACTAGGGTTACACGTTGCAAGTAATTGGGGCGGGCGTTTGGACCCTTTGATCAGATGCCTGTTCCCTAAGGAACTACAAGCAGAACCTAAGGAAAAAGCGGCCAGACTGGACCGGGGGGGGGCAGCCCTGGCAGCCCTTCCAATGATTGCTGATCACCCGGAAACAAAACTGCAACCCCCCCCCCAATTGTTGGGGTCCATCTAGCAATCCTCCTCCCATTGCCAGGGGAAGCCTCAAAAGTGACTTCCCCTAGGTGACATTTTCACTTTGTGGGATGGGCAGATTATTTCTGGTACACCAAAAGTCTGTGACAAATCCGCTGAAGTGAGAAGCTCACCCGGAAGACATCTAAGTCAAGGGAATTCGAGAGGTCTGGTCGCCAGCGCCCAAAAACCGATGGACCAATTAGCCACAACCATTTTCGGCTCCCAACCTCAGGACACTTGGCCAATCCTCCGAAGTCATCGGTCGCCTCCCGGCGCTCGCCTTGTCGGCGGGTCGCTCGGCGCTTCGCGGGAGGCGACGTTGGGCGCGCTGCGGCTCTTCCTGCGGAGCCCCAGCTGGGCGCAGCTGGCGCAGGCGGAGCAGATCTTGCAGCAAGCCCTGGGGGAGGACGTCCGGACTCGGATCGACGTCCGGAAAGTGAAGTCTGAAGTGATCCTGGCGCGAGTGCTCCCTGTAGGTGTGAATTTGTATACCTGGAGTCTCCATGACCCTTGAAAAAATGGTGTCCATGACCCCTTTATGTTGGGTAATGACCCCATTTTTAAAGTCTCATGGAGACTCCAGGTAGGTCACGCTTTGCTAGACATCATTTAGGTGGGGATTCGTGTCCGCCACTTGTGAGGTGGTTCCCTCTTTAGCTTTATGGCCACATGGATGTTTCTCAAAATATGGTGCTGGACACACAAAATGGTAGGCGCCCATGTTCTGTCCCTTGAAACCGAGCTGAAAAGGGCACGTGTGTTGGGCGGTTGTGAGCAGTAAATCAGCTTGTCTGATCTTACCCGAGTTGGCATGCTTGAAGCTTTTTGTTGTTTTACTGTGTCACTTAAGTCGAGGCCTATGAGTTTGAACGGTTGAATGGCCATTTCATCTTGGCAAGCACGTGGCCGCCCAATGTTTGCCGAAATAAGTGTTGTAAAATAGGCATCCCAACTGGGGCAACGCCGGTTTATAAGTGGCTTGCTCAGGCTTTTTGATGAGTCATTCATCAGCTTGCACAATCCACTTGTTCATGAAGAGTCAGGTGCATGCAATGTGCTATGGATTGTTTCAGGCGTTTTCAGATTTCATCCGTTTGCCGCAAGGTGAATGATGGTGCATGTTGAATACGCTGCGGTTCCCGGCCCGGTTGGTACCTTGATAGCTCGCATGCGCGCATGCACCGAGGTTGCACTGAATGGAAGCACAAGAGCAGAACATCGGCGTCTCCTGTTGCTACCTTTTGCCAGGGGAAACCATAGCTGTGACGACAGATTGATTGCAGACGCAAAAGAAGAAGCAGGCAGCGAAGTCTTCTTTTCCTCGCTGGGTCTTGGTCCTCTTGATGATTTCAAGAAGGTTTTCCCCTTGGACAGGGGACAACAAGTTTGCTTTCGGTCAGGGCTCCGGGTGTTTCTTGCAGACAGGGGACCACACCAAGAGTTGTTCCTGGAGTCTCCATGACCCTTTAACAACGGGGTCATGACCCAAAATAAAGGGGTCATGGACCCATTTTTAAAGGGTCAGGGAGACTCCAGGCTCTTTCAGGTGCAGGGCCATGTGACACAAGGCCCTTTGGCCGCGTCAGGAGGAGGGCCGATCAGTGGCGCAGCACCTGTGGCGGCTGAGACCCTGAGGCGAACGAGCTCACCAGCCAGAGCTATGGCATGGTGCTTTCAGCCAACTTGTGAGCCTCAAACCAGCACACAATCCGGCGAAGTGAAGGTTTCAGGGGGACAGTCCCGGCCATAAACAGGGGCAACAAGAAGCCCTTGTGTTTGATTGCATGGTTTTTGGGCAGACACCTGGTGTTGGTTCTGACTCGTTTTACACACCCGGCTGCCCCTTAAGGTTGCTTTTCTTTGGACGTCAGACTCCTGACAAATCAGCTCGCCTCAAGGTTTCACATGAAGGGCAGGAGGCCCTTCACAATTATGGCCCGCACTGTAGAGAGCATTGGCCAAGCCCGCCGAACGTTTTGGCTGAACAAAAAGGGACCTCTGGTTCTGGGGCTTGGGTTTACGCCCCAATCAAGGCGTTCGGCGGGCAAGCAGTTTTAAATTGGGCGAGCCGGGGGGTCGCACTCGAACTCTCCCTGGATGAGCCCGGGGAAGGCTGCAGTTTGTCATGGACACCACCCAGTTCGACCCCCCGCCCCGGCAGTACCCTGCTCACCGGAAGCCAGATGTTGCTTGCACTTGCCATAAGTCCAGACAGTTTGGGGTTGTGCAAATGGGTTTGTCTTATGAGGAAGTGTTGCTTTTGGTGTTGGTGTTTTCTTTCCAGCCCAAACAGGGATTTGCAAGAAGAGCAGAAAACCCAGGAGTGTTGGTCAAAATGGTTGGCCCCCCTTTTGGTCGGTATGTGAACAGAATCCAAAAGGGGACTACCTATTTTAGGGGGACCTTTTTTTTGACAAACCTATGAAAAGCCTGCCAAGTCCATCTTCTTGCAATCTTTAAGCACTCCGCAGATGGTAATTCGGGGACCCAAATGGGTTCCAATAAACGGGCAGCTGGCACCCAATAAAACATGTATGTAGCACCGTAGCATGCTAGAACATCCTAGGACCCGTTTGTTGCATTCCACGGGTCACCCGAACTAGCTTACCTTCCCTTCAGAACCAAAAGGAGAGAGGACTATTGATCATTCCGCAAATAGGTTTCTTGAATGGGCTGTTTGACTGCCAAGGGAAGCCAAGCGCAACACAACTTGAGCGAACCCTGGAAGTTGACCACAAACTTTTGCTTCGGCTTAGGTGTCAAAGGGGAACACACAAAAAAGGGTGAGTTTGCCTCTTGGCTTCCCGTTAAACCAACCCAAAGGGTGCCCTACAAAAAGGACACACCCGTATTGCCCAGATCCCAGCTCCTAGTATGCTAGATAACCCGATACATGTTCCTCTTAGTTGTTCAAGGGTAGCTCCCTCGGTCAATTACCATGCAAGTAGAACAGGGTTGAGTGAGGGCACTATAAATCATGACACGCCGGCATTTGATGTTTGGGATTACATGTGCCATATGATTGGGTGACCAGGTCCAGATGGAAACCGAGCAAATGGCTGTGCGTCAGATATTGTGGTTCGTCCTAAGGTAGCTTCCAGGAGTGATGCATGAATTTTGGAGGTTGATTTCATTGCACATCATGTTGGTGTCAGATTTGAGCATAAAGCTGATGGGTTTCTTGTGATAGCTCTCCTTAGCATTGTTGCCGGGTTGCTTCGTTACCATTGCATCAGTCTGAGGCCAAGCAGTTCGAACTTTTTGATCCAGTCAACTCAGGTCAGTTTGTTCTTGTACACAGACCCGGTGGGAGGGTATGCACTCATTCCCGGGCGCAACGTTTGCGTGTGTTGCGGACTCTTCTTTTGACATCTTCAGCCTAGCCTTGGCTAGGCTCAGGACGGATGCCAGTGTGGACAGAGCCCAGAGTGCCTGAAAAGCGTGGTATATCTTGCCTCTTCAGTACTCAAGCTTACTCCCCTAACATTGAAACAACAAAAGTATCCCCCTCCTTCAAATGGGGATGCCTCTCAACATTGCTTGTTTGGGTTCCATGTGTTTAGTTGTTGTGTTGGGTCAACCTTCTGTTCATGCCTGGTGCGCTGCAAAGATCCATTTGTTGTTTCCTACCATGCCAAAGTTGGGAAGCATATCTTACCTGTTCAGTTCTTAGGCCCTCAACTTTTGGCTGCTAGATTTCTTCGCCAGGCTCGTCAGGCCAAACAAGTTCAAGCAAAATTCAGGGTACTCAGCTCACGGATAAGATATCGTCATCGTGCTTGGTAATTGATGATTTGTACCAATTGGTCTTAGAGGTAGATGGTCATCACTGGTTGCGATTTCAGTTGCAATAAACAGCTGCACGTATAGATGTATGAGAAAAGACTGGAGTGCGGCTACGGCATCACGGCTTATTGCCCAAATGTGGCCCATGAAAATGCTGATTGCATCTTTACAAGCATTGGTTTAGGCTCTCAGGCCAACACTACTTCAAATTCATGTTTCTGTTATCGCCTGTCGAAAGGCTTGCCTCAAGTAGAAACTAGGCGAATGGTTCTCTGCGGCTTCCGTTTTCAAGATGGCCACTTTTTAACATCCAGATCGGGAGTTTGCCCAAGGTAAGCAAGTTGCAACCCTAAGGCTGCGGTACTGCTGAGGGAACCCCAACAAGCGGGACCGATTCCTGAAAAATATTCCTGTGCTGGATAGAGTTTAGGGATTCCAGATTCCAGGTGAACTCAGTTGATTAAGCGGAACCCCGGCAACCATATCAAGCGAAAAGAGTACCCCCTAAGCATAACACTCTGCCAGGTTGATGATTATGACATCCCACGCCAAACCCTGGAAAGCCACAAAAGGGTGAACAATGCAAAGAACACGCACACGAACAACACAAACAATACCAACACAGGCGCAACATCCTCCTTTCCAGCCGCGGCACTTGAACAAATGGGCGCTCGAGGCGCTCGAGTTGGGGCCTTAGCCTCTGCTTGGCCTCGCCTTTTTTACTGGCAATCCGTCTGCCTGCGGACGTCTATCCGTGGAGCTCGTTTTGAAGCTTTACCAGCGTCTTAATCGAACATTTGTGCACAGGAGTTAAGAAATGCCGCCTCAACCCGTTTTTTGGAAGACCTACAACTTCTTTGGCAAGAACGCCTTGCTGGAAAGGCCGGCTCAACATGCCAAGCCACCTGCCCAGATCGGGACGTGGATGTTTGTCTATTTTCTCTCTCTGGCTCCACAAAATTCACCTTCACATTTCTAGACTCAGTCTTTGCCTTTTTTGTTTCCTTTATTCAACCAGCGAACGCGCAGCTTCGTTGCAACCAAATTATTGCCCAGTTAGTGATTTCCGAAGTCTATGTTGTTCACCCGTTGTTCTTTGTTTTCAATGTGTTAATGCTTTTAGGTGATTGGCTTCAGGTTAGACATCCAGTTGGACCCCTCCCTTCACGTCTTCGACGGCAAAAGGCCCTCGAAGGGAAGAAGGGGGAAATTCACGGCAGCAGGCCCTCGCTTGGGCCCTTGCGTGGGCTGTCGGGTGGCTTTCGGTGCCGTGGGTGCACGACTTCCAATGGATCTCCAAGCGTGCGATTTCGAGAAGTCGGGTTGCGAGTCGCACTTTCGGGTCGTCGGATGCGCAAGCTGACCACTTTCGCATGCTGTGGATGGACGATGCTTTGCTCCTGCATCGGTTTGACATGAATACCGGGATAAACCACCCACCAACTAGTGCAGGATTTGCGGTATTGGGCATAGTGTGATGTCCATTTGATTGAGATGAGGGTTCTTTGGGTAAGCTTGTGCTGAAGATCCGTTTTCCGGCGCTTTCAGGTACGGGCCGTGTTTTGAACCTCTAGGTTTACCATGGCTGGTTTGCTTGCAGAAGGGCTCAAGGCCAAACCTGCACCAATCCTTAGTCCCTGTGAGTCCCGTTTTGGTGGTTCTAAACATCACCTGTTTGGCCCATTTTAGGCGAGCTTCCCTTGGTGGTAGCAGGATCTCACTTCAACCTGATTTTCCTGTGAGTTTTCACGGAGACCCTGGAGTTTCACGCCTTTTGATGTTTTGCGCCTTCGGTGGCCGAAGCAGTTCGGAGACATATGGGTTTGGTTACAGTCTGGGTTGTTTTAAAGGGAAACCAAAGGGAAACTCGTAGTTTCGGGGCAACCTTTTTAAGACACCTGGTAAGTGCAAGCGCTGGCTGGAAAAGCACCTTCGCCTATACCTTTGGCTCTGAGGTATCGGTAGGAACTCTTAACACCCATGGAGCCTAATTTCTGACCCATCGCATCAGAAACCGGCCCAGATGCAACAAGCACCTGAGACAAGAACATGGATTCCAGCAACACAAGCTTTTTTCGGGATGCGAGTTTCTGTTTCTGTTTGTTCTTGGTCACTGCAAAACATATTTGAAGGACTGAGATGGTTTTTACTCCCAGAACGACACCAAATGGACAAACAAATCAACTTCTGACACAGTCTTATGATGTCCTATCAGGGGCGTAGCTTTTTTGGTTTTCATCGGTCACGAAGTTAAACGAAAGAGCGCGCGCGAAAGTGCGCAGCTGTGGCCATGTACGGGGTGATGCCGGGTCAGGCAGGCCGTACAGACGAGATCGACCGATGTGAGGGAAGAATTGGTCTTGTCCCCGCCCCTCTAATTTGTGCGTGTGGTTTGTTTGGAGTTCGTTTGATTTCATGGTGCCCCAACTGCCTCGGGCCCTTGTCACAGAGAAGCTTAGGGGGAACACCACCATTTTGGGGGTCCGATTTTGTCATACCGGGCAAGCCACTGTATGTTCCCTTCGCCGCTTTCCTTGCTGTTTTGACGGGTGGGACGCCCCTTGGTTTCCTCAGGCAAATGTAATTGTATACCCGAGTGATTTGCGGGGCTATAGACCCAGGCGTCCCACTTAGGAGCTTTAGGCAGGCGGTTCGCGCCAGAATCTCCCAGATGTCACTGGCCAACTCAGCACCATTCAGACAATTCATCTGGACGTTTCCCTGGATGGTTTGAGTTTCCGTGGAAAGGCCATTTGGTGAGGTGATGCTCACTTCCTGAGTTTCTGAACTTTATACATTTTGACCTTTTTGGGAAGACCATTTTGGTGGTAAGCAAAAAGTTTGAGCTTGTTTTGGCCAGTCCACTCAGGAAGTGAGTTTAGAAGGGGGCAGCTAAAAAAAATATATAGGAAAAATAAAACAACAACTGTGTGGCTATGAATCAGGTACAGCGACAGCCTCTGCCCTCCGAAGGAACCAATTGAATTCCACGCTCTTGAAGTCGGTCGCGAGCCCCAGGGCTCTAGGCTCCGAAAAAGCACCGGCCTTTTGGGTTTGGCCTTGGAACCCCAGGCCCCACGCCCGCCCCTGGAGATCCAGGATTTCCCCATGGCAAGTAGGCAAGTAGGCAATTCCTGTGGGGTGAAGGCTTCGAATCCAAGTTGCTTGCTTCTCAAAATGTTGGTCCCGACCCCTCCAGTTGGTTTCCAGGGTTTCGCCGGATGACAATGACTTGTTGGATTCCATGGTATGCTGATGGGAGGGGGGCTTTCCTAACAAATTTGCTTATCATCATTTATAGTAGGGTGTGTGTAGCGATTCCTAGGCGAACCAACACCAAACACCAATAAGACTCTGGCAACGCCTTGAGATACCTGGAGTGAGTGAGTGTCCATGATACACAACTCACATTGCCTTGTTCACGTCGTTGAAGGAAAGCACCTGGAGTCTCCATGATCCATTCAAAACTGCCCCAAAATGCCATTTTAAAGAAGGGTCATGGACACTTCAAGTAGTCATTGGCCCTGTGTTTTGGTTCCACGAACCTTCGTCGATTGGTTACTTCCCCCGATTGGCATGGTGCCCAAAGAAACGAGAGCCGCGGCTCGGACAGGTCGAAGATCCCACGCCAGCGCACAGCGTGGCAGGAGTGGAGCCGGGGAGTTGTGTCTCCGCCGAACATGTTGCGCATTTTGGGGTAATATTTTAGACAGGATCTGAACATGATTTTGGCGTACTCAAGATATGAGGAATATACATAATATTATATATATATATGCACATTGTACTGTATCACCAGGCGACCATGGCCATCTGAGCTTGAGAGTTATATTGTGCAATCAATGTGTAAGTATGGCCCAGAAACAAGGCTTTACTTGCGTTTTGTTAAGCTGTTCCAACTAGGCAGCCCTGGAGAAAACCAACTATTTTCAGCGGCCGCTATTCTGAGCAGCCCCAATGTAGGCTTTGTATTCTGTTTGTTCTGGGGGTTATTTACGCTGATTGAATTTCCCCCTTGGCTTTTCTCCCGAGGAGGACCTGTGCTTTTCACAGGGTCTTTTTAAGGGATCGGGTCTTTAGGCAGCCCTCTAAACAGGGTGTCAACAAGTGGAAACTTTTTGTTTGGCATTGCAGAAGGTGATTGGCCGGAAACCTTTTTTGTCCAGACGTCAACTCGCAGACATAAATCCCCACCGCTTTCTGGTGTCCACCAATGGGTCCCTAATTGAAATTCAGGCCCACGTCAATCTGCAGTACCTGGAGTCTCCATGACCCTTTAAGAATGGTTGGTCATTCCCCAAAATCAAGAATTCGTGGACCCTTCTTTTAAGGGTCAGAAGGAGACTCCAGGTAGTTCTCTTCTTTACTTGCCCAAAGGACAATTCTGGCACCTACCCTGGTGTATTCCTTTTCGTGTGTCGTGAAGCACGAAAAAGACGATTCGGCCTTCCCCTTCCATGGAAACCCGCGCTGTTCGCCTTTCGCGTTTCTTTGTTTCGTTTTTGTCCTCGAGGAGACCTGGAGATGGGCGCGACAGCCCGGGATCTGCGCGAGCGCATGCCCATGCGCAACGTGGTGCTCACCATCGAGCAGAAGGCCGGGGCGCCCGGGGCGCCTCGGGGCACGGATTCGCCGAAGGGATCTGGGTGTGTCTCCAAGGGGGAGCCCCAAAATGGTCGGTTTCCTTTTGGTTTCCCTTGAAAAATCAACCCAAACTGGACCCAAACAGGGAACCCTCAAAAAAAGACATCCCCATCAGGTCCCAAAGTCTGGCGTCGCAAGGAGAAGGAAACATTTCTATAGGTCCCCCAGAAGTGCCCTTGTACTTTTTTTTTAGGGGGGGAGGGTTACCCTACTAAAATAGACTACCGAAAAAGGGTACCCTTATTCTAACCTCTCTACTGGAGGACGTAGATTTGGAGGTGGGCGAAAGTTTGGAGCAGAATCAGAAGATGACACAGTGTACCCCAGATTTGCGCCAACTTCAAAGCTTAAGGTGGGGTGGAAACAAGGGTGAAAAGACAAACACGCAATCAATGACAATGATATTTAGGTGCTTCGAACATTCCGGGCCTGAAAAGGAGGTCCAACTTTGGTAGAGGCGGGGTGTCAGCGGGGTGTCCATTGTTTGCAACAAAGGAGGGCTATCCAAACGCTAAAAGCAAACCAACCTGACTTCCTTGAGATACTCGGGGGTGTCTTGAACAGGTTGCATTCTGCACCAAAAATAAAATTCAATCAGTTTTTCAGCCCCAAATCATTGTCGTCCCCAAATTTTAACCGGGGGATGCCCTTCAAACAATCAGACTTCTCAGACTTACATCATCATCCGTGACCAAAATGATGGTAGTAGAAAATACGTTTATCCTAGGTGTAGGAGTCTCCATGACTCTTCAAAATTGGGGTCATTACTCAAAATAAAGGGGTCATGGACCCATTTTTTAAGGGTCATGGAGACTCCAGGTAGCTGGATTTTAGCGCGCTTCTCGCGCGTCGCAAGACACCAACCCCCCGAGGGCCTGAAACCCACGCGGGAAGAGGTTTATGCCCTCGGTACGGCCGCCGGAAGTCGTTTCGGCCACGGCGGGTGGGAACCCAATTCTTCAGCTGTGGGACTTTGGCGCTGGAGTTTCAGAAATTGGCTGCAGTTGACTCAGAGTTTTTGCTTTCTTGTCAGGGGTTGGACGGCCAGAAGATTCAGGGTTTGGATTTAGACCTTGGAGATTGTGTTTATCGAAAGCCACAACATGCCATGGGTAGCAATCAACACGAGGCTCGGCGGGTTAGATCCTACTACGAGACAAGGGAAGGGATAGAGGAGTGCAGAAGTCAGTTGCAGATTCAGGACAAAACGTGTATCAGTTCGGTATTTCTCATCTTATTGTGTAGATTTTGCGAACATGATGCTGGTAGGGTAGATTTTGATCCCAGGTGTGGAGGGCTGGACATGGGCCAAGCGGAAAGGTCAGCTGGCCCTTGAAGCCCCCTGCTTGATTCTCAACGTGTCCCATGCATCAACCGCCCGCCGAAGCACAGCTCGTGAAAAAAAAATCCTCGGCGTCTTGAGCGAGCCCTTTTTTTCTCTGGGGGGGAGACATTCCAGCAAACCTCCTTCTTTCTAGAATCTATTAGATTCCTTTCGAAACCAGGGGATCGGGGCGCTTTTCAAAAGATCAATGGTTGAACATCATGGTATTCTAATGTAATCCTTTGCTTGTGGCGTGTTTTGTTTTTGAATCTTGCCCCTAAGCCTTTGGAAGGCTGCTGTTGGAATACCGCTGTTCCCTGCATGGTGTTTTTGGGTGTGCGGAAGAACCCATCCGTGCCTGAAGTCTCCTTCAAAAAATTGGTGGTCAGCCCCGAACAAAGGCGTCATGGACTATTCTCAAGGGGCAGAAGGAGACTCCAGGTGGGGTCCCCATAATTAGTTCCCCTTTTTGAGTTTTTGCTTTTTTGGGGTCCCCATTGTTTTCCACGAACCAGGCAAACAACTTTTTTTTGCCGGGGTCCTAATTCCAGCTAAGAGGCTGAGGAGGGAACTCGAATTCGCCAGGAGAAGTTGCAGCAGTGGCAGCAGATGGCAGAGCACGGCTTTGAGATCCATCGCCGCGCGGAGCGATACTACGCGCCTCAGCTTGCACGAGCGCAGGGGGAATTGAAACAACCGGGTGCGTAGCTGGAGTCTTTCTAAGGACCCTAAAGGGGTCCATGACCCCTTTATTTTGGGTACTGACCAACCATTGTTTAAGGGTCATGGAGACTCCAGGTGGGTGCATACAAAGTCTCCCTTTCCAAGAGGACGGTAATTTGCCCAAAGGCCCACGCGCCAAGCCATGCTTGGAAGGCATCCAAAACAGCCCTCGCTTGAAGGCCCAAATTGATGGACGCGCCTGGCAAGTGTCTTGTTTTCTCAATGCGAAGAGTGGTTTTTTCCTTCTGCAATGATTGGTCTGCAATGCAACAGTGGGGCAGGGACAGGAGACGATATGAACCCTTTGCAGGCTAATTAACCTGTTGGAAAATGCATCGGCAGCTTCTAAGCACGGTATCCGGTTTTGTCTTGGGGGTATGCCAGCCTTCGGCAAACGGACCTGACTTCCTTTTGCTTGGCCGAAAGAGCAGCCAGAAGGAAATCGGTGCATGTTGACACCAGCTCACGTGAGGTTTGGTCAAACTTCCAGGTAGTCTTTTTTTTGAAAGGGACCTGGAGGAAGTTGCTAAATTTCCGACACGAAACAGCAGACTCCTGATATTTCCTGATGCTTGTTCCTCCATGCTCCTCTTTTGGGGGAAGAAGCAGTTTTGACCGTGGCTCATGGCAGAGTCCCCCAAAAGGAATGGCTTTTCGCTTGCCAATTGCGTTCAGCAGACTCCAGCGGCCCGGAGTGCATACTTAGCCGTCAAACGGGTTTGGTTCTATCTGGGCTAGCAAATGAGAAACCAAAAAGAAACGCAGTTACAACTAGAGCCCCAGGTACACCCAACATAAGCCCAGCAAACCCACCAAACTTCAGTGACTTCCGTCTGGACTACTACATCTAAACTTCAGGGAGGCTCTCTCACAGCTCTCTGGAGGAGAGTGTGAACTTCTGGACCATGTCTTTGCCCACTGCCGGGGGCCTTAGCGCGGGTCATGGGTCCCCCAAATCTGGGTGAATTCTGAGCTGACTGGGTTTCTTAGCGCGAGCTCTTGCGGATTTCTGGTTTGGCCTTTAGTGAATCTGGGATTTCAGCCACACACCTGGGAGTTTCATAGTTCCAGTTCGCGTGGCCTTGGCCTTGGCGACACACACTCAGGGCCACCCGTTTCGCTCCCTATCAAAGCCAGAAGATGTGGTTGTTTCCCCGAACCCACCACTGGAGTGACTTTGATCATTGTAAAATGATGAGGCCAGTGTGCAAGGGGTTCTGTCAAAACCGGGGGCAAATTGTGGCGAATGCTGGGCCCAGCTCTGGAATCCAAATTCAAATTGCACCTATGAGGGTTCCATATCTTATTAAAATTCATTTGTTTGTTTCTGAACTTCCTTGCAAGTGCCTTTCACAAAGCGTTGCCGTCTTAGCTTCCCTTTTCAACTTGTTGCCTTGTCGGTTTTTTCTTATTTGTCTTTGTGGCCCCTCTCGTTTCAAGTTCCTATTTAACGCTTCAACGGCTAACTGTCTGTTACCGGCGGAATCCGCGGCATTTTTTTGTCCAGCGAGTCTGGTGGATTGGAGGTTGAAGGCGCACTGCCTTGATTGATGACTGAGGCAAAGCTTGGATACACGTTACATCTAGGTGACTAAATGTGAGTTCAACTGGATTTGTTTAGGCTTGGGACTGCCCCTTGGACATCTGCCTATACTTCGCTGCAAATTAACCCCCGACAAGGGGGTCCGATGTCCAAAGACAGCTTCCTAACAACGGTTACATTGAAAAGAAGGTTTCCTGCGTTTTGAGTGTGGCTCAAGCTCATAGGCTTCTTGGTAACCTACATGTGGTCAGAATCCAACTCGGGTACTAAGGAGCTTGCCCAAAACCCGTGGCAAAGAATCAACAGGAGTGACATCCTCACCTATGTTATGGCACGGGGGACCTTTACTGTTCTTCATCCACTCTCGTGTGTATTATGGTCATAGTGTCAAAACAACCCCTTACTTGGGGTTGGCAGAAACGGTCATGAACCCTTTGCCAGAGTTGCAGACAGCTATTGCAAGGGTTCCTACTAAGTCACGACTATGACTGACTTGGTTGTTGTGCTTAGTCAAACTGTGTCTACCCTTGGTATCTGTACTAGATTGTTGGCTTCTCTGTTGTTTTTGGGAAGATGTGACCATGGCCCATGTGCTCGGTCCAAATGTCCAACAGTCCACAACCAGGGGACGAGCTCTAAGTTTCCAGTGTCCTTAAGGGAACGTGCGCAAGTTTGACTGCACCTCACATACCAGGGACACCCCCCAAAGACTCCCCAAACGTTTTGCCGCCTTCGGACACTTTTCCGTGTATTGACGTGTGGCTCCACTCAGTATAGTTCCTTTGTTTCGAAGACATGACCTTCAGGCTTCCCAATATTTCCCCTTTCAACATCACGAGGAAGCTCATCCATTGGCAGCCTAATGCTAAAGTGTCAGACCAGCAAAAGGGGGGAACATGGGGACATGTTCCGGGTGTCTGTAGGGAATTTCTGCACCCCATAGGAAAATATAAGTACTTAGGGAATTGTCGGACCCCCAAAAAGAGAAGGGTGGACTTCCCCCTTTTGCGGGGGAACATTTTCGAACCAAGTCGGGCCAGCGCCAGGTGGTGCTCTCAGCGGCGGCATCCTTGTGGACCTTGGCCACCGAGCAGACCCAGTTCCCCCAGAACAAGGTGGGCATCGCCTCCATCTCAGGCGCGGGAAGGACCGTCTCGCTCGGGTCGAATCGGGTCGAAGGGGCAGGCTGCCGCTCAGTTTTTCCTCTGCTTATTTTTGTAAGGGAAGAAGGTCGCGCTCGGATCGAGTCCGGGCGAGTCGAAGGGGCGAGTGGGCGAGCTGCCACTCAGCTTTTTTGTTCGCCTCGGTTTTTGGTTTCTTGTTGTTTTTGCGGGGAAGCTCTCGCTGGATGCGTTTTTCCTTTTGTTTTGTTGTTCTGTTTGTCTTCGGAAGACTCTCGGATGTTTCTTCTTTTTTTTTTTTTTTTTTTTTTTTTTTTTTCGACTGAAGCAAATGGAGGGTGAGGGTTTTGAGGTTGCTTTAAAGGGAACCCGAAAGGAATCCAGTCATTTTCTGGCAACCAAAACCTGCCTCGGATTTGGATGCGAAACTCATAGATTCGGCTTGTGTGTTTTCCTCGCGGCGAGCGCCTCCGCCGATTCGCTGGGGTAAAATACCAGTGCAGAGCCATGTACAGTACCTTGAGTCTCCATGAGCCTCAAAAAAGGGCCCATGACCCCTTTTATTTTGGGCAACAACCCCCATTTTTTAGGGTCATGGAGACTCCATGTTGATCCTTCTCCTGATCGTTCATATTTTTGGTTTGGTTCTGTGGATGGTTGCGCAATCCGTTCACACCACGAAGAGACACCAGGGGAAACCATAACGGCTGTTGGTATTTACAGGATAATCATTTTGTCCAGGGTTTCTTAAGTGGTGCAGGATTTCGTCTATCCCGTATTATTATAGAATAATTTGCAGATACGTGCATTGGCGGACATAGATAAGAGTCCCGCTCAGGCTGGTCGTCACATAGATCCTGTACACGCTGGGTTGATCGTTTGTGTGTCACTATATGAACTAGCTCTTAGTCCATTGTAGCTCCACATTCTCTCGCGCAGGCCTTACCACCGTCGTCACCTCGGTGGGCTCTTATTGGCGCTGGCAAGCCCGAATGGAGAAGCACCTCGCTTGGCAGAATGGGCTCGAAGTTTCAACAGCCGCCTACTCCGTTGACCACCCTGCTTGGTAATGAATAGTTGAAACAACGACCCACTCATTACACACAACCCGTGCATACAACCCACTTGGGCACTTGGGCACTTACAAAAACAATTACCTGGAGTCTCCATGACCCTTTAAAAATGGGGTCATTATCCACATAAAGGGTCATGGACCTACTTTTTAAGGGTCATGGAGACTCCAGGTATGAACAACTTGCAAGCTGGGCTGGTCATCCAAGTATTGATGTTGCCTCATGCGAACCCCGGACTAGTCATCCTGGTGGATGAACACGGAGGGTGTTTGAAAGTGCCCAAACATCGTTTGCGCCGGCAAAGTCTTTAGGTGTCCCCTCGGTTACGAAAGGTGTGCCCGTGGTCCCAATTGCGCAGCGAGAGACGCTCATGAAACAGGGTAAGTTGAGGGCTCTCTTAACAAGGCCTCGCAAATGCTAAGACGCAGTGCACGCATGCACACCAAGCTGTGGTCGGAAAAAAATCCCACAGTTTTGATGTACGTAGCCGTTTTTGGCTTCCTTTTCGGGCTTGCTCCGCCGAAATCCAAACTGCAGCCTATTTCCGCGGAAGCTGCGGTTGCCTGATGAAAGGATTCCCACGTCCTGTTTGATGCGCTCCTTTGAAAGTCCAACCGCCGAAGGAAAAAAGGAAAAGAGCTTCGCAGCCTAGTCCAAGCAGATGGCCCGGTTAAGCAAACCCGCCGAGAAAGCTCCGCGAAAGCGATCCTCAACTGAAACAAACACAGTTTCTACCTGAACCTTTGTGTCAAGGCCAATCTGTTAGGGGGCGATTCCTTTTGGTGGATGGCTGCATTTTGGTTCAGCCCACCCTCTTTCCAGCATTCATGGATGTCGGAAACGTCGGGTTTTGGAGAAAAAGCCCCCTTCCCTATGTCTCCTTGGGGTGCTCGTACCTCGCCCCAGGGTGTGCCACTCACACCCCGTCATTTTGGGGTTTGGCCAGGAGACACTTTGGGGCTTCCTGGGGCCTCCAAGATTTTAGGTCCACGCCCCGCGACACCCCGAAAACCGGGGCTGGCTGACACTCATGTACTCAAGCTGTGAGGGTCCAGGGGGCAAGATGGGAACATCAAGCAAAGCCGGCTGCGGCTGTCCAGGGGGCAGGCAGGAACATTTACGGTAGCAACTTCATGTCTGCGGCTGCGCGGCAAGATGTGCCAAAACCACTGCTGCAAGATTCAGAATTTCAGCGGTTGCCTAGGTCCATGAGGTTCACTGCGCCCTCATCGGTCGCGAGCAGGAAAAGTCTCCGATCTTGAGCTTGCTGCGCGTGAGACTTCGGAAGATAATGAAACTCCCCCGTCCCCTGCCGACAACCGACGCCAGCCGACGCCAGCCGACGCCAACCGACGCCAGCCGACGCCAACCGACGCCAACCGACGCCAACCGACGCCAACCGACCCCAGCCGACGCCAGGCGACGCCAATCGACGCGACCCGACGCCAGCCGACGCCAACCGACGCCAGCCGACGCCAGCCGACGCCAGCCGACGCCAACCAGCGCCAACCACAGGCAACCGACGCAAGACGCCAGCCGACACCAACCGACGCAACTAGACTAACGCCAGGAAGCCAACCGACGCCAACCGACGCCAACCGACGCCAACCGACGCCAAGACGCCGACCGACGCCAGACGACGCCAACCGACGCCAACCGACACCAACCGACACCAACCGACCAAGGGCGCCAGCCGACTGTTCAACCGACGCCGGTCAACCGACGCCAACTGACGCTAACCGACGCAAACCGCCATCCGGCTGCAGCTCTTTTCAGGTTTGTCAGTGGCAAACACGCGACTTCTCGAGACAGTAACGCAGACACCAAACGCAAATTGGTGTAGGGATCTGGTTGAGTTGCTGGTGGTGCCTGGGAACCTGTCGGGAGTTCTTCCTTGCAGGTGATGGAGGGGGTGTTGCTGGGGATGCTGGGTTTGGCGTCAGTTGGCGTGAGTTGGCGTCGGTTGGTTCGACGTTTCGAGCTGTCGGTCAGCGTCGGTTAACGTCGGTTGGCCTCCTCTTGCGTCAGAAAGCCGTCGGTTGGCGTCGGTTGGCCTTCTTGGGGCTTCAAACTGTATACTACATGTCGACGCCCCCGGCATCAGAAAGCCATCGGTTGGCGTCAGTTAGCGTCGGTTGGCCTCTTTGGGGCTTCAAACTTACTACATTTCGACGCCCCGAGCGTCAGAAAGCCATCGGCCGGCGTCGGTTGGCGTCGGTTGGCCTCCTTGGGGCTGCGAAGTTACGACACTTCAACGACCCGAGCGTCAGAAAGCCGTCGGTCGGCGTCAGTTTGCGTCGGTTGGCCTCCTCAAATTTCGGGCTTCAACAATCTACGCCATGACTCCCCGAGCGTCAGAAAGACATCGGCGCAAAAATGATCCCCTGACAAAACCCCAGTTTAAACAAGCCCCAAGCACCATGCTCTGGGATCTTGCGGATGGGCCACGCGTGGATGTCTGTGTCATGAGACCTGTTTTGCGCTTTGTTGACCATCTGCTATTGACCTGTATGAGGGGCTGTTTCATGATTGTTTTTTGACTATGCAGGGCTTGGCTGCAGGGTGGCACGGATTGCATCACCCACGACATCTGCCGCCCCCGAGTTCCGAGAAACTGGCAAAGCTTTGAATGGATCAGTGCATACCTACTTACGCAGAGCAAACGTTTTCTGTGCTCCTAACTCCTCGCCACGCCTAAAAGGCTTTTTGTGACTGGCAATGCGCCAGTGTGCCCGCCAACAATTGCATGTTGCAGCTGCGCTTGATTGTCGTAGCCTTCGCCGCACCTTGAGTGCTACACGCCCGCCGATTTCTTCAAAGGCAGCTGGCAAGGCAACACCCTATTGGTTGGCCGCCGTGTTCTGAGCTAGCTCAAGCAGTTCGTATTTGCGCGGTCATACACAAGCGTGTGCTGCGAGCATGATGAACGCCCAGTCTTGTCGCAGACCGAAGCAAATTCTCATCACGGCACGACGCTGGCTTAAAACCGAGCTTTTGTGGCTGCTCCTGCCAAATTTCCACCAAGCGGTTATTTTCTTTAACTTTGCGCTTTTTCGGCACTGGGCATGCAAAATGGGACTGAGTTCACGATTCTGTTTTAGTCACCTTGAAACCCTGGCTGCGACTGGTTAGGGTTTCGCGGGGCGAAGCAGGCAACTTCGCGCGCTGTTGAAAGGAGAAACGCAACTTGTACCTACCAGGTAAACGGAGGCACAGGGAGCTCCTACAAGTCTTGCTCACCTTCCTCTCTCGCCTAGTAATTAGTGCGTTACATGAAAGCAAATTAAATGATGTTCTTTTGGGGCCTCGCAGGCAGGGGTCGAGAGTTTGGGGTGTGTTGGGGTGTGGGGGGTTGTAGCTGGATCAAGCGCAAGACCCCGAATTGGTAGTCCGCCCCGTGGTGAATCGGGAGCCTTAGGGTTGTCCAATTCCATGATGTTCCTTCGTTGGATGAGACGTTTTGTGTCAGTCATTTGGATCGTCACTTTGCAGAAAAAGCTCTGAACTCCCCGGATGCGAGGAATCGCTTCGCCTCAGAGCGCTACAATAGCGGCTCGGGCCGAGAGGAATGGTATCTTTCGGAGTTCCACAGTGGTCCCTAAATGCCCCTTTCGACTTTGTCGACTAAGCATCACTCTTTCAAAATGAGTTTCCTCGTGCGGTAATGTTTGAGAAAGGAATATAGGCATGAGTTTGACCACCCCGGAGCTTTGCACGCCCTTTTCGTTCCTGGCCGGATTGTCTGAACTCAGTTACAGTTGTTTTGTTTCGCAGTGCAACTAGTTTTACTAAATGAACCCCAGCATCAAAGATACGTTTGGTGGAGAGAAAGCTAAGGCAGGTGTGATGCTACTCTGATCGCATTTCGAAGCTGGGAGCCAAAACAAGCAGACAACTTTTATTTACTCTCCGAGCGGGAGCAGCAAGAAACGAAGAAAACGTTGTGTTTCCAAGGGTCCCTGTTTGATGTCAACCCCGGGTTGCACCTAGTGGATTATTGGGGTGCTCCCTCAACCGGGGTTTTCTAATCCTGAAGTCCCATGTATCCAAAACCTTCAAGACGACCTGAAAAAGGAACCCTCCAAGAACACAGACAGCCATTGCCCGGTCTTCGGAGTGCTAGAAGCCACTTCAATCGGTTGGTTGCGAAGCCAGCAAGTTGCATACCAAGTGCCATCGTGAACCATGGTGACGCAGAGGTCCAAGTTGGGAAAGCCCATGCTTCACTCCTTCACTCCGTAAAGCAGTGTTCCGCCTCCATTCTCAAGCTTTGCGGTGGTCGGAAATGAGCCTTTCGGCTTGCGTCTTTTTCCTCCGCAGTTTCTTGGACCGTCATTGGCTGTGCCATCAAGGAACTCTTCTTGAGTGATGGAGCAGTGTAGAGATATGTTTTGCTTCGGTCTCAAAAGCATCGGGGCCATTTTCCACCTGCTGTCTGATCGATGCACGGATTCCAGGGGGGTGGCCATCGCCCTCTCTGGATGGACGGCAGTCCCTTTGCGCTTGCAACCTCAGGAAACAAGGCGTTCAAGGCTTCCAGTTTGCCGGGATTCGGTGGTGATGTTTAGTAATCGGGCAGCCAGGGATCAATTTGTTGGTCGAGTTGCACCCCTTTCTGAGTTCATCCGGGCGGAATCGTGCCACCGATTCGATTCGGCTGAGGTCTGATAAATCGACTGACTCTGCTGAAAGCTCGCCTCCAAATGGGGGACATCGATTTTGGCCAAGTGCTCCAGGAGAGGGCAGCCACCGGTTCTGCAAGAGATCTGTACATGTTTTCTGTTTTTCAGTGAAGGGAACTTCTAAAAAATCCGAGTTGTTCAGACTCGTTGATTCTTATGCTAGATGGTAGTGGTTTATTTTGTGGTGGTCTCCCACTGCGGATCGGCCAAACTTGCGGACTTGCGGTGGGCTACTGAGCAGCAAGCCTTGAGAGGGTCATCCGTGGTTTTAAGCAGGGGTGTGTGTAGTTTGCAAAAAAAACAATACGACATCATCCGCACAAACCATCGACCGGGATCCTTTTTCGTGATTCTTGGTGTTTCAGAAAATGCGGACCCCATCGAAGGTGTCCCAAGGTTTGGAAGGAACCTTAGAAAGGGTCAAGAGCATTTGTAGGGTGACAGGGAAGGGAAGGGAAGGGGGAGAAATGAATGAGGGAAGCAACGGGAAGGAACGGGGGTGCGGAAGGAAGAAATAAAGGAAAGAAGAAAGGATTAGGGAAGGACGGACGGAAAGGAAGAGAGGGATCAACAAAACAAAATTATGGTTTGCCTTTGTGTTCCCTGACCGGATCCAGAGCAGTTTAGGGTTATCTTATATTTAGAGAGACATTGGAAGGATGAAAACAATTGTTAAGGAATAATTGCCTAAGAAAGCAGCAACTTACGCAAAAAACACCTCTATGATGTTGAAGCTATATAGATCTCGTTTCTTCTTTTCCGTTCCCAAAAACACCTTGACCACCCCCCCTCCTCCCCACCCTCCCCCCCCCGTCCCTCCTCCCCCCCCCCCTGCCAGCCCCACCCCCCCCAAAAACGAGCGAGGAGGTGGAGAGCACCATCCACGAGATCCTGAAGACCTGCGGCCCCCCGGACCTCTGGGTGCAGCAGCGCTTCGAGCGCCTCGGACGAAGCCTAGCCCGTGCCGAGCTCACCGGTCAGGGGCAAAAAAGGAGCTCGCGGATGACTTGGCCGTTGGTTCCCGGGGGTTTGGTGGTTGAAAATATAGAGATGTGTATGAACTGGCCAGATGATATATACCTTTGCGCTGGTCTATGTCAGGATGGTAGAAGGGAAGTACACAAGACCTATTTGTTGAACGTTGACCAAGCGCAACGTAATGAAGGCTTTCAACCTTTTTAACTATGGTGTCCAGAATAAAAAGGCAGCTTAGGCTGGGTTTGTGTTCGCAACCCCCACCGAGAATTCAAGGTCTTTTGTTTGTCGGCATGTCGTGCCCTTTGAGTTGGGTGAAGCTACATCTTGGAAGAAACACATACATCCAGCGGTGCCCGTTTCCTTGGCGGGTCCCTTGTAAAGCGGCTACCCAGAGGCGGGTCTCTTTTCTTTCTCGTGGGATCTGGAGGCCTGGTCACCCAATCAGCGACTCGGGCAACGCTTGGTTTCTTTTTTTTTTTCTTTTTTCTCTCTAACACATACCCAGTTGACCTATTTTTGCGGCTGATCTGGGGATATACCCTGATGTCTATTTGTTTTGTCTGGAATGCATCGCAGGGTGAGGTGTTTCGACACATACCCATTTCACTTATTTGTGCGCCTGATTTGTCAGCATAAACTGGTTCACTAACCCTCAAAGGAGCACTTGACTTGAGACATGATGATTGTTATCTCGACCTCACGAGGTGGGAGGAGAAGACCAGCCAGTACGAACTCTTGGACCGTTTGGCCTCCTTGAGGGACGTGTCCCCCTGGGTTCGCTGCTTCTGCCCGTGCTGCCGCTCGGCAAACGAGACAATCGAGGCGCTGGGGATGTGGCAAAACAAGCATTCCCTGCCATTTTTTCGTCATGGGGGAAGTGTAACCTCGGAAATTTCGGGCCCATGTTGTTTTGCAAGCCTTCTATGTTTTGGAGATTTGGCGGTTTGAGTTTGTTTGGAGGCTTGGCGGTTTGTCCTTCCTCGGATTTCGGGCCCATGTTGTTTTGCAAGCCTTCTATGTTTTGGAGATTTGGCGGTTTGAGTTTGTTTGGAGGCTTGGCGGTTTGTCCTTCCTCGGATTTTAGGCCCATGTTGTTTTGCAAGCCTTCTAATCTCTTCCCCCTATTAATAAATACGCCCCCCCCCCTATTATAAATAAATCCTCCCAAAAATAGATTATTTTTTTTAATTGGGGTTTTCGGGGTTGGGTTTTTTTGCTTTTCCAACAATGTGAGGGTTCGCGTAGGATTTGGAGGAAATGGATTGAATTGTAAGGTCCGCGAGTAAGCGTTTTAATAAGGAAATTTCATGTGTCATTCTATTTGTTTTTCAGTTTACTGGTTGTTTGTTGGCAGCCAGGCAGGTTAGCCAGCATGTATGGGGGAGAGACAGTCGCAGCTTAAAAGTGGGGCTGGAAGCTTGTTAAAAGTGCCCCCTAATAAGGATTCCAAGACTTTAGTATTGGTTTAGTATTGGCGCAATTAAAAATCAATTGTGCGGAGTGGAAATCTGGTCTCGGGCCCCGGATTTGCATTTATTATTAATGGGGGTCATTCATTAATTGGGGGAGGAGATTATGTTTTGGAGATTTGGCGGTTTGAGTTTGTTTGGAGGCTTGGCGGTTTGTCCTTCCTCGAATTTTGGGCCCATGTTGTTTTGCAAGCACTTCGATCAGTTTCTCCTTGGTTGGAGGTTTGGCGGTTTGACTTTGTTCCTCCCGTTGCTTGTTTTTTGGTCGGCCGTGACTTTCCCGGCCTTTCCTGTCGAGGCTGGCAGTCCATCACCAAGATGTGCGCCCGGAGGCGGATGTCCCTTTAAGCGAATCCGAGGAAGACGGAGATTTCTTCGGGAAAGGTTTGGGTTTAGCCGGGTGACTCAAAGAAGTTGCATTTTGACTAGGTCCCAGTAGTACCCCTTTACCCTTTCTTGGGGGAGGGTTTCCCCTACAGAAAACAAAGGGTACCCTTATTCTAATCTCTCTACTGGAGGACCTAGTTGATGAGTTCTCAAAATTATTTTTGGGGAGTGTTTCCTTTGAGCTGCCGTTTACCCGGGTTGTTCAAACTGGATCCTTAATCCTATATGCCGGATGGTAGTGTTTTTCTTGTGGTGTTCCAATACAGATTAGGGATTGCGAAGCCCTCTGTTTAGCACAATCCACTCGAAAGTGGTTCCTTTTCTTCTGGTTCAACATCAGGCAAGCCCCCTAGAAGAGATCAAGGGCAGAGATTGCGATAGAGAGAGAGAGAGAGAGTTCCAAACATTCGAACTTTTTGCTGGTGCTTGCTCTTGGTGGCTGCCTCCAAACAGTCAGCACTTCAAAAGGCAGCAATGGGATTTGAACGGCTTTGAGGTGGAAAAATCCCGTTGGAACCCCTTGAAAAGAGGATTTCTGCACCAAAAATAAGTGTCCTGTGTCTTTGTGCGATAAATATTAATTCTGTAGATCTTTTTCCTTCCCTTTTCTCCATCTATGTGTCCTTCTCTTTTTGCCCATGTCTTGTTTGGACAAATGGGAGCGAAAGGAGCGGAGAGTGATGCTTTGTCAGAGCAAAACAGCTCCTTCGAGGATGCCCATGTTGGTTTGTTCAAGGGAAACCAAAGGAACAGCACCCGTACTTGGGCTGGATCCGGAGTCTCCCAGAAATCTTCCTGAAACCCGCCCAGAGCCCATAGCTCCCATATCCTCGCGTAAAAATATGCCCAAGTCAGCTTACACAAAGGGCACTCCCAAGCGCAGCCTCTAAGTGCTTGTACCAAATGTTGATTGGAGTTGGCTGGAAAATGATTTGGTATGCCATGAGTTCATCACTTTCTTTGAGGTGAGGAGGGAAGGTCATCAAACCTTTGGTGGGAAGAGTCTAGTCTGTCCTTGCCGGTTGTTCTTTACAAACCACTTATGACTTAGAACCCCTATTTGTCCCCCCCTCCCTCATTTTTAGCGCCCATTTGGACCCCACGTAGGTTTGTAAACCATGCGGCGGCCAAGACGATGGCTGGGTCTTGCCACTCGCGCCAGGAGGAGGAAGGAGGGCGAGGTCCGCTCCGTTTTAAACGCCTCGCATTCGATGGGAGGTTGGGCCATCAGCTTTGTAGCAAGCGGCTGAACCACCTGGCGTCTCAAGGACCCAAAATAAAAATGGTTGGTCAGCCCCCCCAAAATAATGGTTGGTCATGGACCCATTTATTTTTGGGTCAGAAGGAGACTTCAGGCACTTGTTTAAAGAACCCTTGGTCAACTTGTTTTTGCTGTCCGCAGACAACCTCAGCATTCGCGGAAGTTGTCCGGCACTTGTTCAAACAACCTCCTTGTAGTTTCCTCTAAAAAGGGGCCAGGGTTGGCTGTTTAAACAATTTTGCCCCACCCTGGTGGGAAAGCTGGCGGAACGGCGTCGAACTCTTCCCAAGCTAGGTACTCAGATTAGCTCAACTGATACCATGACTGCTAGTCTTTGGCTTATTCCGGGAGGACATGAATGGGGGTAGCTTCCCAAATTAAGTATTAGGCACGTTGCTCATTAGTGGGCACAAGCAAGGTTCGGGCTTGCCCCCAGACAACAGCGAGCTGATCAAGTAAAGATACATGCGACCTGGATGGGGGGTTGCTGGGTAACCTCGAATTTGCAGATGATGGAATTTGGATATCACCAGACCGCGGCCAGGTTTGCTTCTTGGATTGTGTTTGCTTGTTTTTTTATTTGTTTTTTCCTCCCTGCCCCCTATTCGAAAAATCGCCGCCCCCCACCCCCACCCCCACCCCCACACATTAATATGTGGGGAACACATTTTGTTTCTGTGGTACTGTACCACTACGGTCCTCGTCCAAATGGGGTACCCCCTTTGCCGGGCACAAAAACCATGAAACATCGTCATTTGCCGAGTAAGGAATTTGAATGAAATTGCTCAAACCACTTTTGAAAGATTGAATTTGAATTTACAGGGCGAAATCAAGATTGCAGCTTACAATTTGAGTTTACAGTAAAAGGAAGGAAAGTGCTGAAAGTACCCTTATAGTAAGGTCAGTGCATCGTCTGTACACGCGGAATTCGGATCGTCTGTACACACGGGACCGGATCGTCTCTGCACGCGGGCCTTTTTTGCCCCGGATCGTTTGTACACGCAGTGCTTACTGCTATGCACAAGCCCTCCCCAAGACCCCACCCCGTCTGTTGCGCGCGAGCGGGTGTGCGCTAGGTAGCAGGCATGCACGCAGTGCTGGGCGGGTGCACGTGAGCGGGTGCGCTTTTTAGGTGGGAGGCGTGAATGCAGTGCTGCGCGAGCGCGCGTGAGCAGGTGCCCCACCCCGGACCCAACCCCCACCCCCCCACCCCCACCCCACCCCCCCTCCCCAATACCCCACCCATCTGTTACGCGTGAGCGGGTGCGCTTGCTAGGTGGCAGGCATGTGCGCAGTGCTGGGCGGGCGTGTGTGAGCGGGTGTGCCCCACCCCACCCCAACCTCCCCAAAGCCTGACCCCAGCCCAGCCCACCCTGAGCAGGCGCTCATTAAGGCGGCAGGCATGTGTTGCACGTGAGTGGGCGTGCTTATCAGGTGGCAGGCATGCGTGCAGCGCTGGGCGGGCGCGCGTGAGCGGGTGTGCTTATTAGGTGGTAAGCGTGGATGCAGCGCTAGGCGGACGCGCGTGAGCGGGTGTGCCCCACCCCGCCCCGCCCCAGCCCCCACCCCCACCCCACCCTTCCCCAATACCGCACCCCATCTGTTGCACGTGAGCGGGTATGCTTATTAGGTGGCAGGCATGTGCTTACCATTCCCCCGCCTCCCCACCCACCCCCCACCCCTTCGGGCTACTCTTCCGCATGCGTGGAAACAGCGCTGAGCGGGTGCACTTGAGCGGGTGTGCTTACCATTCCCCCCTCCCCCCCACCACCCCCCCCCCCCCACAGTGCTGAGCGGGCGCACTTGAGCGGGTGTGCTTACCAATCCCCCCCCCCCACCCCCCCACCCTGCCAAAAGTGTGTGTGTGTACAGATGAGCCAGATGACAGAAACCTTGTGTGCGCAGATGATCCAGAGTGCATGGCGCAATAAGTGAGGAAAGCCTGTGTGTACAGATGATCCAGATTTGTGTGCGCAGATGATCCCCTGCCCTTATAGTAAGGGCTGTCAGAAGCTTAGTATTGGTTCAGTATATTTAAAGCAAAGGGGCAACATGTTGTTTTTCGCCCTGAACAAAGAGATGTCATACTAGGATTTATTAACAGGGGAGCGGATTTGCGGGTGGACAAACATGATCGGCCGCGGCGTTTTGTTGTTCATTTGGGCGGAAAAGGTGGCCCCCCCCCCCTTTCAATTAGTTTTCCATTAAACCACTAAAAGTTAAGCTTTTAGCAGGGGAGCAGAAAGCAACCGTGGTTTGGTCATGGAGCAGGTAATACCCTCGTCTTAAGGGTGCCATCCGTTGTGTTGGGCTGGTTCCTAAGGACGAGCAACCCAGACGGAGATTTTAGCACAGAGAGTAAAATAGGAAGCCAGCCAATTATTCATTTTGTTTGTTGTTTGTTGTTTGTTTGTTTGTTTGTTTGTTTGTTTGTTTGTTTGTTGGTTTGTTTGTTGGCTGTCTTGTTCTGAACATAGGACCCCAACAAAAAAAACACCTCATGTTTTGAGGGATCCTTTGGGAGGGGCTCTCTTTCCAGGGTTCTTTTAGCCACTGGTGAGCAGTGGGCGCGACAGGTGGAGCAGGTGGAGCCCATGAGCATTTTGAACCAAAAGATTCGGGAGTTCTCCAAGAAGACCCAGGATGTGCCTTGGCTTTGGGGGCGGGAGTTCTTCCGACTCAGCCTTCTTCGTGATTTGGTGACGGACGTACACCCAGCAACCCCCATGCAACCACCCAGTTGCCATGAAGGCCAACTTTGGATTCATCCGGATGACCATACAACTTGTTCGATCCTCTTGCAACGAATCACCCCCTCCATCTAAAACGGGAACCAACCGATTGGCATGCTAAAATGTTCTTACTTAGCATGCCATCAAGCGAGCACTCTTCCATCTTGGCTGTTGGAGACTGTTTCAGATTCCTGCCACAAGTTGGAGTCCTGTGAGCGGAGTCCGCGAGCTCGTAGATTCATCTGGGGCTCAGCTATTCTGGCGATGGAGGTGGCCCCACGAAGCAAACCATGCAGGCAAGCACCATCCACTTAGGCCCCTTGGCCTGAAGGCCAAAGTTGTCACAGAAAGAAATCGCTTGGCTTTGAATGGAAACAATCCTAGACCACGAGTGTGGTTTTTGTGTTGTTTCGGAGGGAGACTCCTCTGAAATCAACATAGACGGCGCCCTTTTTCCCGTGGCCACTGGAGGTCTGGGAATTGCTGTCTTTGCTTGTACTGCAACACTCGGTCAACTGTCCGGCTTCTTTCGAACCTTTGAAGTACTTGCCCTAGGGCAATGCCCGCAACCTTTTTACCCTGCAAGAGTCAGGTCAATGCTGATGCACTGAATGCCGCTCGAATGGCAGTCTCATTTCGAACCAAAAGCGTCAAAGGCAAAGCTCTGCCAAGCGCCACTGGCCGTGTGTGGCCTTGCCTCGCGCTCAGGTGAGCAGCACTCAAACCCCGCAGTGTCAATTTTAGCAGGGGGGTCGACTATCCGTTTCCATGAAGATTATAGTAAGCCTATACAGAACCTAGAGCCTCACTTGATTTTGGGGCACTGAGGTGAGTGTTGATGAGTTCAAGGACTACTTCTGGCAACTGTTTCGGATGGCCAGCAACAGCAACAACCTGGAGATGTGCAAGAATTTGGTCAAGGTGCGTCCGCCGAAAGCGGATCTGCAACCTGATGTGGTTTTGGTTTAGGGGAAGACCGATTGTGGACCCGAACTGACCACTTGTTTGTAAGAAAACACACCAATTCAAGCTCAAAATACAAGCTTGTTTCGGGATTCCCTATTGCAGATGTTTCAATTTCTCCGCCGTAGATTCACCAAGGAGCTCCCCAAAACTGAAATCCATTTGTAGAAGCATCTCGTCATGGACCGACCCCGGTTCGGGTTCGATGGAAGCTTGCAGGCGAGTATGAGTCCAGTATGAGAGGAGCTTTTTTGCGGGGAGAATCACCAAGCTGTGGGAAGCGACCTATGCGTAGAAGCCTGCCAAGTGGAACCACATAAGGGGGACGAGGCGACGTGTGGATGACTTGAGAGGTCTTTGAGGTCTACTTCTGATGGAAGCCCAGGATGAATAAACGACAGTACCTCGCTCGGATCAGAGGATGCAATTCACGACCTGTCCGTGTTTGGTGCTGCAACATCATCATTATGCGCGTTTGCTTGCACGGGCTGTCACTGTTTGTCACTGAGTGGTTCCTTGCTTTCTCAACTCGCAAGCAGTTGCACCGTCAATCACTTGATCCAGGGAGCACTTCAGGGATCCTTTCGCCATCCCCAAGACCCCTCTCCAAACTTACTTTGCCTTATGCTCATGCCTTGCGAAGGGTCCTTGGCTTCACCAACTCTTTAGCTTTCTGCATGAGGCTTGCTGCAGTTCTTCTGAAACCAGCCAGCCACCTTTCCCATGTAAGCCCGTTTTTGCATAATTAGGGATCCGACTCCCCCCCCCCCCAAAGGTTGAGGGTTGATAAGCCGTAATAAGACCAAGCAAGGCCAATACGTCACCAAACCACAAAACACACCACTCCCCCAAAGACACCTCCAGTCTTGATCTATGTTTGTCTTCCTTAAGGAGAGTCTGTTGGGGGCGGGGGGTGCGCGCGTCGCAGGGGCCCCCAAAGTGGAGTGCGAAGACACACACACACGGGCAAACACGCAGACACACTTTGAAACCCATCCGCTCACATTGTTGAAACAGAACAGCCACAACAGAACTACCAACAAAGCACGGTGTTGATCAGTATTGGACAGGTTCAGGGAAGCTTTCAAAATGGTTGCTGTTCTTTTGGTGGCTCCAGACCGACCGAAGCACGATTCAGGGCTATGTGTGTGTGTGTGTTTTTTTTTGGTGTGTGTGTGTTTGGTGTGTGTTTTGTGTGTCCTTGTGTGTGTGTGTGTGTGTTCCTGTTGTGCATGCATACCTATTTGTGTGTCTGTTTGTGTTGTTTGTGTTTGCGTCTTTGACCTTCTTGTTTGTGTTGTTTGTGTGTCTATTTCGCACTTGTGTTTGGGACCTGTGTGACCTTTGAGGCTACCCTTCTGGTGCTTGGCTTCCAGGTCCCCCCAAAAGACGTGGCTTTCTCGCCTCGCCTCGACGCGTGACTCGCGAGGCGGTGCCCAACTCGCTGAAGGACGGAGACGTGGCCTTCAAGTCCTTGGAACCCTCCAAGAAGTCCCCGCTGCACTACTCGGTGCAGGACCGCGAAAACTCAACCAGGGATCACTGAACGTTCCACCACTGGGGATCACTGGGGGAGGGGGGAGGGGGGTTATCAGAAGCTTGGGGTTGTTTTTTAACTCCCCGCTTCTGTACAAGGCAAAAATTGCCCCCCAAACAAAAAGGGGGGTAATTGTCTTTGGGAAGATCTCCCCAGGAAAAAGGCGGCCTTCGTCTTTGAAAAGCCCTTTTTAGGGAAACATATTCCCCATCTAACAACGGTTAGTCTGTTGGAAGCCCTTTCTTTTTGTATCACAGAAGTGGTCAAATTTCCCACAGCCCTGAATTCGAGTTGAATTCGGTGGGAAGCCCATGCATTGATTCGAGGTAATTGATGGGCCCATGGGGGTTTCATGGGATGCGTTCGATGGCGATGGGAATCGGACCCCTTCGGGTTGAACAGATCGCCGTTCGTTTGACTCCAAAACCTTCTGAAAACCAGACCCAAAAAACAGTAGTGACCCGAATGGCAGTAAAAGAGAAGCCTGTTTTGTTGGTTGTCTCTGATTACGCCTGATCTACCACCCTTGACCAGAGCTGTCCTGGAAGTTGACATCGAAGGAATCAAGCCTTCAAGAAACAATAAGCGGTTTGGGACCCTTCTTGAAGGAATTGAACAAGCCTAGCGGGTCCCCTTTCCTGTTTTATTTTGGGGAAGGGGATTGGATGGTCGAACATGTTCAGCAGTCTATTCCCATTTTGATAGGGCTATGGGGGACTAAATTTCCCGCAAAAGCACGGTTACTGTGTTATCGTCCTATTGTCTGGCATATTTTGACCTTATTTCTTATTGGGTTTCGGGTGTCGACTCCTTACCCATATTCTTGTTTGTGTGAACCGTTGGCGGGGCTTTGGTGGACAAACCCGCATCACACCATTTTACTATTCCGGTTGTCTTAGGGAAACGGCATATTTCGGTATGTGTCTAAATAGGAGGCCTGAAAGAAAGTGGTGTTCCTTTGGTGTTCTTTTCATCCATCCCGAAAAAGGGTATCACCCAACCAAAAAGCGAGGCACAGCCCTTTGGATTCCCGGCGAAGTCCTCAGGATAACTTCCATCAGCTCGGCCAGTGGCTCTTCGAAACCTACCCCGATGACATGAAGAGACACTGCCTGATCCAGGCGCCGAATCGATTCGGAACTTAAGTTGGTACGATTTAGATTGGGAGTTGCACTTCTCCCCAGTGGATCCATTTAACCAAAGTTGGTGGTTTAGAGGTTGGGACTTGCACCTTCTCCCCACTGGATCCATTTACTTGTGTAGGGAAATGGGAACCCGCCTTTTCAAAGCCAAAAGCCGAATGGCTGGTTGCCTGCTACAGTGGTATCTGTTCTCTGGGCTCCTTAAGCCCCTCGAGCCCAAGCGAGGCTCAGAGAGCATCGGGAACAGATCGGGCTCGCGGAGCGGGCTGTGACAAGCAAACAGAACGGAAACCCGTGTCTCAAAGTCGGGAACCCCGCGGCTTCGTTGTTTTCCCTTTGGTTTTTCTGTTGAAACCAACCGGAAAAAAAGCGGAACCCCCAAACAAGACACCCAAGTGGCCACTTGCCTTTAGTCTTCCTGTAGCGACCCATGTTTTTCTTTGGAGCAACCCTGTTTCATGTTCCTCCCTTGAACGCCGCGCTTTACGAAGGGCACCCTTGGTCAATCATGAATATGAATTATGAGCTTATGATTTTTTGAGCTGGTCGTGATGTGTGCCTTCGGTTGATTGATGCATGTGTTGTTTCGCTGAGGTTTTTTTTGATGTTTTGTGCGGTGCTTCTCCCTGAAAAAATAGCATCGTACGCAAGAATGCGGCCCCCAAAAGGAGATGCCGCTAAAACGGACGGAGTTCTGGATTCGGTGCTAGTTACTCTGCGGGGGAGTATTGTCGTTTAGATTCTTTTAGCCTTGGCTGCTGACTCGGGATGTAAAACCAGTTGACGGATACAAATGGGGGCAGTGCCCCAGAAGTGAATGATTCGGTTGCTCCAAGCAAACAGGGGTGAGAGTTGAAGGGCTCTCCTTGCAAGAGTTGCGCTTGGAAACATTCGCAGGGCCCTTACTCCTGTTTTCCGGGATTTTTTTTAGTTTTTTGGGTAGTGGCACAAACAAAGTTTGAACCTTTTTGACCAACCGACATAGGATATATGAGGTGTGGCAGAGTGTGGCACTTCTGTTTTTTGGAGGTTGTAGCTTGCAACAATGGACACTCATGCATGGTGCATGCTGGAACTCATGCGTTAGAACTCGTTTAGAGTCTTCCAAAGCAATTGGAGCGACGTTGGTACTTGCCTGTTTGGCTTCCACATGTTCTGGGGAAGAGCTTCGCATGACATTGAGCTCAAAATGATTTATGTCTCTGGTATGCGTGTGTTGTTTGACTGTGTAGGTGTTGGTTTGTGTGTTTATGTAGTTTGTTAGTTCATTTGTGGCGATTGGTTCTGTGTTTGGGAATCCAGATTCCTTTGGGGTACACCCTGCCAGCTTGACTTAAGGTTGGGGAAGTCTGGGGCGGGGGTACATCGGCTGGGGCACGCATATCACTTGCTTGCTGGGCATGTGTCCAAATAGGGACTTGGACCTCCAAACAGGTAGTTTCCCGTCGGGTTTCCCTTCGAACCAACCCCAAAAAAGGGTACCCTGAAGATCCCTGAAGTACACTTTGGTGCATTTTGCTTGGATGTAAGGACTTTAACTTTTTGCTTCACTTTTAGCAGGGGAGCAAATTTCGCAACCGAGTACAGACCCCCTTGGTCTTCGGTCAGGACTGCCACAGCAAAATTCCGCTGGACTACTACATCCCCAAGAAGCGGGGCGTCTCTGCTCCCCAGGAAGGCCGGATAGCGGAGTCCGGAGCGGAGCGGCTCGGAGCGTCGGACCGAGCCATTGGGGTTCAACGGGGGTACCCAGATTGGTGTACCTGGAGTCTCCATGACCTTTAAAAATGGGATCATTACCCAAAAAGGGGTCATGGATTTTCTTTTTTGAAGGGTCATGGAGACTCCGGGTACAGGGAAACATACAGGGAACATCGCGGGTTTCTGGGGGTCCGGCTAGTTTGACACATACCTGGAAGGGACCATCATCGAGCTTTGCCGGCATTTCGACTGTGGTACCTGACTATGGGGGTTGCGATTCCTAATTTCGAGTTTGTGAATGATAGTGATTTGCTCAGACCTATATATGATTATTCGAAAAGGGCTAACAGCAACAGAACGGCGAAAGGCAGACAAGTTTCCAGGCACCTTATTTTGAACAATCTCTATACTCTGTATATGTCACTTGGGGCTTTGCTGCCGTGGGGTCCCATCATGGGGTTGGGTGGCCGGCCTCAATCAAAAAGGGCGGTCAAGAAAAGAGCCAGATTCTCGGAAAGCGACGTGGAAAAAGAGAAGAAGACAAAACAACGGTATTTCAAACTGACTGCTCCCTGATGCTTTGAATAATGACAGGCAAACGACATGAATCATGGGTGATTCCACTTTGAGCGTTGCCCATATATCATCATACTCCAGGTATTTGTTTGTGCAGTCTACGCCAACACCCTTCAACCTGAAACAGCCGCCACAAAGAAGTGGGAATCGAAGCCTCACTTGTGACCTTTCACCTACATTGGTTCCTTTGCTCACGCCTTTTCAACAGCGGGTGTCCCCCTTGCTTGGTGGTTTTCTGCAGGATCCCTAAGAGAGTCATAATCAAGCTCGTTTTGGCCCTCACCAATTTTTGGGCTCGGACATTGTGCCATTCTTTTCAGGAGGTTTCCATGTCTCCAGTTTAGCGGTCGATGAGCTCGCCAGGGGGTTCGGCGTTTTACCCGAAGCTTCTCTTCGAGACCTTCCAGCAGTGGTGCCGCGCGGCGAGAAAAAGCACGGTCTGCTCTTTAAAATGGAGCCATAGCCCCAAACATGGCTGCGGCTTTCCATTTGGTTTCCCTTTAAGACACCACCCCGAGAAGGTTTATCCTCAAAAAGGGGACAAACCAAATGGGTGTGAATTTTAACGGTTCCGGAGTCTTTGGTGGAGACTAGGTGGAGGTTCATGTCCACCCACATTGGAGGAAGCTCCCAAGGACAACCACATTTTTGTTAGTTCCCCTATTTGGATACAGACCCATGTCTTTTTCCGGGTAGACTATGACTTAGGCAAAGTCTGAAATTATAGTTTGTGAAAAGAAAACAACAATCTGGGCCAGCATGTTCTGGACATCGCCTTACGGTGAAACATACGCGAATCGCCCGTATTGTTTCGGGGGTTTATTCAGGTCTTGCTTCAGGGTATGGGATTTTATCCTGTTTCAGGCGTTTCCAAGTTGTCGGCGCTAAAGAGTTGGTGTTTTGGGGTCTTTAGGGTTCCCAATTTGGGTCAGAGGAAAAAGCGCAAAGGGGGTTTGCTTCCCATAGTTCTGGCCGTTGTTTTCAGGCCATGGACAAAGCCTTGGGTTGGTCCTAGTCGGAAAGCATTTGTTAGGGGGGCTGAGAGCCCCATTCTGAACCCAGGGATCCTTCCCAGAAACAACAACACGCCAAAACCTAACACGCCTTTTTCAACAAGCGATGGTAAGGAATGGAAGCAAAAAAGAACGCCTGAGAATCAGGCATCTTGTTGCTCAGTCAGCGTCATTGCATGGCTTGTTGGGCGGCACTTTGGGGTGCGACCTGAGGCACGGAGATGGGGGACTTGCACAGCTTTGAGGACGAGAGAGAGAGAGAGCTACAAATGTTGGCCAGGGAAGAACACCCCCCAAAAGGCCAGTTGATCTACAGGATTGGGTGAGGCCAGCTGATGTAGAGGATCCGAATTCTTGTAAAGCAGGTGGTTCTTGGAGGTACTAGTATCTTGTAAGGAATCCTGTGACACCTGTGTGTTGTTTTGTTGTTGTTCTCTGGTATGACCAAGCTAACCTTTCAACGTAGTGGAAGATGACAATGTCCCCAACGAGCACAAAGTGAACACCGGACAACTTGTTGCAGGTGCTTTTTCTGACCAGCCAAGTGTTGAGGGCATGTTGAGGCTGTCAGTAGGAATTGGACCGAGAGGGCGTGTCACCCTTCATGAGGCCTTCTAAGGGGCTTATCTAGGCTTCTCCCAGGCTTATCCAGCGATAGCCCCCCCCCCCAGCCTCGTGGAGGTTCATGAGAGTGAGATACATTTATCCATGAGTATCATATTTTTCGGCTGATTTGGAAGGTGTCTTTGTGAATCAGGTTATTGGTGGATGTCTTCGAAGAACCCTGTTCGAGGATGCGCTTCGGGGGAATTGAGAGAACACCCTGTAGGTGTCGCTTCGTTTGGATCCAATTTCCTATTTTGAGACGCGCCTGTTGGGGTGTTAGTACAGACCAGCTTGGTCAAATGTCTACTAAAGCCGCCTGAAGATGAGTGCGTTTCCTCTTCGAGATATGAACTTGTTCACAGAGAAAGGATTCGGTAGAAGGACAGCCGGCAAGCGGTGAAACCTGTGCAGTGGGGAGATGGTGTTCTCCCAAATGGCTAGCTAAACAAGGGGTACGGCAAAAGGACCACTATTTTTCAACAAATTGTAAAGGAAACTGTAATCATGGTGTCCTTTGGGTTTTTAAATTGCAATAAGAGAAACAACAGTCCCAGCCTCGGGATAGTTTCAGGGCAGGTGCCATCTCTCGCCCCCTTCGACTCCGGAAGCACGCGCGATGTTTCTCGATCCCACTGACCAATTGGGCAGTTTTTGGTTGTGCAACAAAACGGAGTGCCTTTGGATTCTGAGGAGTGCCTGTAACTCTATATGCTCTTCATTGGCCCTTCAAATTTTCAAACTTCATTTATCTTCAGAGCAGTTTTGCATGATATTCCCTTATTTTCCCTTTTAGTCCCTCCATAGCTCCTTCGTATTTCCTTCCCCCCCCCACCATGTTAGATGACTGCAAAACCGGGCACAAGACCAGCCCGGTAAGGACAAGGAGCGCATGAAGCGCATCGGCGGGCAGCTTTTGGAGTGGATCAAGGACTGGGGCCCCAGGCCGGGGGCGTTCCGATGCGCCGAGGTTTCGGTCGTTTCGGGGAAGCGGGCGGGGGGTGGGCGGGGGGTGGGCGGTGGGCGGGGGGTGGGGGAGGGTGGGCCTTTGTTTCACCAAGTGCCTTTCCGAACCCCAAAGATTGAAAGTTGTAACCAGAGCAAAGAAAGACAACACATATTTTTGAAAAGGGCCCTTTTGAGGTGCTCTTCAACTTCGATTGGGTGCAGGGTAGCACAGCAGCCCCCCCTCCCCGAGCCCTGAACCAACTAAGCAAACTCTTGACGTCGCCCACTACCCGATTCTGTTTGTTTGTGCCCTTATACCTGCATGTAGTGGAGACCCAAATAGTTTGAACCTTTTCTGGTCGCAACAACCCACAAGGGATGCCAACCCAAGGTGTCCAGCGCCCCAACAAATGCCACGGCAACTAGAGGAACCATCCAAACAGCCTGTGGGTTTCCCTTCAAAGCAAGCCAAAGGTGTACCCTCCAACAAGCTCCACAAGAGCTCAACAAGACGGAACTTCAAGCCCAACAAGATCAACAAGAAAAAGAACACCCCCCCAAAAAAAAAGAAAACTAGTAATAATAAAAACAAAATATAATAGATAGATAAACACATCCCAACGGTTCTCACTTCCGTTGGGTTTCCCTTTCGACCCCAGCCCCCAGCCGCCCCTCGAAGCTCGCTTTCCGCTCGCTTTGCGCTCGCCGCGCCAGGCACGTGGACGTCGCCTGCTCGAAGCGCCACACGGTGCTGCATCTGCTGGCGGTGCATGGCGTGGAGGCGCCATCCACACGCGAAGCCACGTGGATGTCGCGCTTAGTTTGGTTCGAACTCGATGGGTTGCACAGGTTTAGATAGGGCTTCATGCCCCATTCACGACAGCCATATATGTTTAACTAGGTCCCCCAGCTAGGTGCCCTTTTTTACCGTTTCTTTTTCGGGGGAGGGTTCCCCTACCAAAATAGACTTCGAACCTCTCTACTGGAGGACCTAGTGGATGTCGGTAAGCTGAAATGGGTAGGCACTTGTCTGGCTGGTCGGTGTAGTGAACTCGGGCTGGGGCTGCTGAAAGACAAGTTCAAGTGTGTGTGTGTGTGTATTGTGCGTTGTGCGTTGTGCTGTGTGTGTGTGTGTGTCGTGCGTTGTGTGTTGTTTTGTGTGTGTGTGTTGTGTGTGTGTGTGTGCGTGTGTTTTCCTTTTCTGGTTGTGTACAAGCAAACAAAATTGGAATCGGAATGTTTTCAATTTGATTGCCTATACGGCCAACTGGAATCACTAGGTGTTGGATATCGTGTTTTTCTGTCTGCTAAGATTCCGGTCGGTTGCATAATTTGGTTTTAACAAAATTGTTTACCGGGTCCATGGACGTGAATATGTCAGGATTCCTTGTGGGATGGTTTCCGTAAGGTTGAGAACAATTGTATTAACCAGAAGCCCTTTCACTCAGGTAAAGCAAAGGGAGCTCGTTCAGACCAAGCCCGCGGGCCTGCTGAACGAGTTGGTTCAAATGTTTGTTTCCTTTGAGCAGTGTCCTGAGCCTTCGACTTAAGAAATAATCTTCACTCAAATGACCAGTCAAGGTTTAGCCAAGTAGAATACAGGTAGAATCCGTAAGACGGGTAATTATCATTATTTGATTTACTCAGTTGAATCCCCCACAAGCCAGACGCCTTCAAATGTCCTCTGGCAAACTGGCATTTGACCATGTAGAATGATACCCTTGCACAACTTGCATTGCATATGCCGGGAGTCCCATAAATGAGGTACAATCCCCTAGCTAGAACTTAGCCAGGTAGAATCCAGAACCAACCATCCAAGCAACCAACCAACCATCCATCCAACCATCCATCCAATCCACCAAATCCAAAGGCGTTGTTGTCTACAAGTGGTTTCTTCCGCTGTGGGCCCAACCGGCCAACTGTCGCGTTCTCTGCGAGGAGCAGGAGGTGCTGGACCTCGCCAACATCTCCTCCGGGACGGGGCCCAACGGCTCGCGCAACGAGGTGCCCAAAGAGACCGGCGCCTCGGATCGACGATCAACTCGCTCGGGGCGACGTGGGTCGAAACCAATGGGTTTGCCGGGGGGGGGGGGGGGTTTTCCGCGCAGTGGCTTGCCGGGGAGGGGGGTTTGCCAGGGGAAAATATGGCTGTCAAAACCAATGAATGGGATCCCATTTTGGGGGATTGGTGAATTCACCGCCCATTTTAGAAACTATTTTAGTGGGGATAATCCCATTTTGGTTGGTAATGTGGGTATGGGTGTGGGGGACCGCAGGGTTTGGTCCATTTTTACCCATTTTGACCCACAGCCAGATTAGAGCTTTCACACATGGCTGTGGGTCGAAACCGTTTGGGATACTATTTTGGTTGGTAGGTGAATTCACCGCCCATGTTAGAACCTATTTTAGTGGTTGGATTGGGATGTTCACTGGGGGTACGTTTTGAATTTTGACCCATGGCCATGTGAGGAGCTTGGGGTGATGTTCATGAGTTACTTGCGGTCGCTGCGATAGGTATATTCCAGTCCAACGGAGAACCTCCCTGAGGGGTCTGAGAAGACCATTTTCCTGAAAAAGGGACCCCTGATTTCCATGTTAGTGGACCAGAGGGAAGATAATGAGAAACGGAATGACCGTTTGGAGATTCCCGAAGAGAGGAAGCCATGGGAAATGGATGTTGTTGTTTTTTTGGGGGGGGTCATTCCAATTTTCATTCCGTGCCTAAGTAAATGGCTTCTGGGCGCTGTGCAAGTGAGGCACGTGGTTGCAAGAAAGACCCAAGGAAGACTCCTCATTGGCAACTCCCAGTCATTAATCACTACCCCGGTGACAAGTTGGGGGGAGAAAGAAGGCGTTCCGACTCCAGTTTTAGATCCCCTAAATAGGATTCGGTCATGAACCACTGAGCACGTGGGGTGGTCATCCAGGACTTGCAAAGTAAGTAAATATATATATATATATATACATATGCAATGTTAGTTCAAAGGACAGCGTCCCTTAAAGGATGCATGTCAGCCAAAAACGAAGCCGCCTCTGCCAGTTGATTTTGTCAAATCCCGGAAAAGCAGGTGGCTATTGGATATATTTTGTCAGGAAGTCTATAGAAGGGCTCGCTTTGAGGCAATGAACTTTGGGCAAAGATCGGACATAGGAACCCCAGCATGGGAACGCCAACAGGTCAGATCTGATTGAAACTGGCCGTCGAAAGGTTGGGGTTTTGGGCGAAGCCTCCTGGGGTGCTGGGGGCCACGTTGCGACTGCCAAAAAGCATCGGGCAAGTTGAGACTCAAGGGAATGCCCACCGACCATCCCACTGGTGGTTTCCTTCAAGGGCATCCTCAGGTTTCTTCCTAAAGCCGCTCAAAAGATTCACTGCTGAGAGCCAGCAAGAACAAGGTGCCCTGATTCTGTGAATCTTCAAGTGAGCATTTTGTAGGGTTCTCAATGAATTTCTGGGTTGTCTCCTTTTAAACCACAATTTAGCTCTGGTACCTTTCGAGATGTCTTTTCCCCAGCCCAAAAAGGCTTTCCTTTTTGTAGCCGCGTCACTGCGCTGGGCAATGGCTATGGTTGATATCGATGTTGGGTTTCAAGCTTGCTGTCTGTGATGCCAAGGCACCCCCCCTCGCAGTGATAAAGCCATTGCTTTCTTCCCACAGCCACGGCAAAGGCACTCTCTTGGCGCTGCTGGTGAATCGGGAGCGCTTCGATCCGAACATAAAGGATGCGGGTGAGAGCAAGGCTCGTTTTTTTCTTCTTCTTTTTTTCTCCGGAGCCCGGAATCGGGACGGTTCGGGGACAGGGAAGTATGCATCCTTTCACATCCTGCTTTGTTTGGTAAATATACATTGACATGTACAATATTATATGTATTGTATAATATGTATATATATATATATACATTGAACAATAAAGCAACAACACAGACTGATAATACAACAAATATGATCATAAGCGCACACTATACCAAATATTCACGCTTAACATATAGATGGTCGCGAGCGGCGAGCGGCTGCCCCTCCCCTCCACTCGTATCCCCACACCTTGAGATGGTACCCGCTCGGGATGGACACCCACCGCATGTCCTATCAGACAAGGAGAAGGTTGTGAGTCAAGCTCGGGTATTGGCTGATCCTAAAATGCTGTAACAGGTATGATGCTGTAAAAGGTATACACCCCTATATCCTGCACTGTTTTGGCCAGTTCCTTCCCCCCCCCCCCCCAGCAATGAGGGCTTGGCTCACCACTAAATAATTACATAGAAATAATAGTCGTATGTCACATGCTAAGCAGCTACATTCCTCACGCAATTTTCCTAAGTCAAGTATATCTGGAACTTTGAGCTTAAAGCACACCATGTGGCGAAACCAACCAGTTGGTTGGTCGGTTGGTCGGTTGGTCGGTTGGTCGGTTGGTTGGTTGTTGCAAAGTCCAAGAACAAGCTAATTGGGCGCAATTCAAGGGCCCAGACCTCCACAGAACATCAACGGCCTCGGATGGACGAACTCCGGCACCTAAAGAACTCCTGAACAAGTTGATTCCCCTCTACCTGGAGTCTCCTTCTGACCCTTACAAAATGGGTCCATGGCCATGACCCTTTTGTTTTGGGTAATGACCAACCGTTGTTAGCGGGTCAGAAGGAGACTCCAGGAACCAAGCGCTTGCGGACGGATCCCGTCGAACCCCCGCGGAGGCGCCGCTGGAGCTGGCCGCGGAGATGCGGCACGGCCGCGCGGTGAAGCTGTGGCTCGGTTGACTCGGAGGTGTTTCTCTTTGGCGCAGTTCACTCTGCCAGGGTTTGTCAAGCTTTGGCGCCTTCCATTCCAACACTTTCCTGGGGTGGTGTCCTATTTTGGAGGGAATCCAGATTCTTTTGGGGGAAAATTCCAGCTATAACTCTGCCAGGGTGTGATCATTAAAGATTCTTGAGGGGTGGGGAAGTCAAGGGACGTGAAAGGGGTTTGGGTGGTGTGGGGTTTGGGGCAGGGTGGGGGCACATCGGCTGGGGCACGCATACCACTTGCTTGCCGGGCATGTGTCCAAATAGGGACTTGGACCTCCAAACTTTGGGTTCCCCTTGGAAGCAACCCCAAAAAGGGTACCCTGCAGATCCCTGAAGTGCATTTTGCCAAGGGATGTTGGGACTGCATAGCATAACCTTTTGGCCAAGTTTTAGGGGTGTTCTGAATTCAGCCACTGCGGAGCAGCAAGCAACCGAGTCTCCGCGCGGCTGTTTGGGGGCGGGGACGAGCCGCGAATCCCACGGGGGTGGTGGGTCACCCCCCAAAAACATGGTGGTTGTCTTCTTTCGGCCTTTGGGCTTGATTTTCTTGTTTGGGAGAAGCCAGAGGGAGAACGGTCATCTTTGGTTTCCCCCATGTTTGAGACAAACCCATTAGGGACCCTTGTTGGAATTGCCTTTAGGCGGCAGAAGCTCAGAAGGTGGCACACAATGTACAAACAACATAATTTCGACCACCAGCAAAAGTTAGATAGATATGTTGATAACTACAAAAAGTAAACAAATGAACAGTGCATCAATGCAGAAGTATGTGTTTGTCCTTGCAAAGGGAACTCAATTTTGAAGAGACATGCCAGTCAATTTTGGGAGCTTTGCGGTTTGCGTGTTGGTTTCCCTTCAAAACCGAGAAATGAACGCTCCCAACAAATGTTGATTCAGAGCCATAGCATCTGTGCTGCAAGCATGCCATGAGGTTGCTGGAGAAGATGCTTGAGGAGATGAAATCCATCCAGCACAACGCCAACTACCAGGAGATGGGCTGCATCATCGTAGTGATTTCAATTTTCAAGCGTTGTAATAGTCCCAAAACCAGAAGTAAGAGGTCCCCAAGTAGAGGGCCTCTATCTTATAGTGAGCTCATTTCACACACGCGCGGCGCTAGAAAAAAGGGGCGGAGTAATCCAGTGGAACAAACTGATCGAATGAATCCTAGAGGCAAAAAAACATTCCGCACTAGAACAACAGCAGCAAACAAGTTTTGCAGCGCCCCTCCTCAATCCAATGTTGACACAGCAGATGGTCTAGCATGCACGCGTCAAGGTGTTCGCTGCCCGATGTGCAAGTCGTGTGCTAGAAACGCCGTAACTGCACACGAGTTCATGGCTCAAAACGTATCGGCCATTGAACGGCTTGGCCTTTTGGATTTGGTTGCCCGTTTCCTAAAGTGATCAAAAGGTCAACCTGTTGTTTCCAGATACGTTGGGGTGAGGTTGTTTTGTTTGGGTGTCGGTGAGCACCTCAAACAGCGAAAGACAAGGGTTCACAGCGTGTTTCAGTGAACTTGTCCACTTTATGTGGCTTCTTCTTTGTGTATTTTCCCAGCAGCTCTGAATCCCCACATGGCCATGGGGCATCTATGTTGATGTTCACCAGGGGTTTCCAGGGTTTTTACCCACAGCCACACTGCTTTTTGTTTGCACACAGCGGCCAAAAGATCAAAGACCGTCAGGCCATGAGGCATTCTGTTGGAACATGTGGTGAGAGTGAGGCTCCCACAACACTATCGCCCGCGCCCCAGTGGCCTTTTGGGGGGGATTTTGGTGGCGGCGTCGGACCATCGGGCGCGCATCCGTCAAGGGCTGGTTTTTCTGGGCCCCGGTTTCGGTGGTTTCTGCGCAGGAGTGGTTTTCGGGGTGGTTCGGTTTTTTTTTGGGGGTCTGGCAGGTGTGCAAGCCCCATGGAGATTCAGCACAATGATTGTTGTCCGGTGATAACCTTCCCATGAATGAGTCTTTTGAGAGGGCCTTGCAGTGGTATTACAGTTATCCCGACCTCCACAGAGTTCAGCACACTGTCCCCCTCCCTGCAAAAAGAACTGTATAATTGATGGCACCCGTAAACTAATATGCTATGTCGTTATGAGGACCATACAAGCCTCATTGTATAGGGATGATACGGCCTGTGAGAAGCTTTACCATCGTAGCAGAACCAAAAGTACAATACAAGATTAGATATACTTATGTGTATCATTATCTCAGGCGGATTTATAGTACCCCACCGTGTTCTTTTCGCCCACATGGGCGTCTTTTTGCCACCTTTTGTGAGAACATGGGCGACCGCTTAAGCAAGGGAATCCTTCACTAAGAAGGGGGGTCGATCAAGTTTCCACACAAAGGTGGCAAAAAGAGACCTCCCCGTTCGCCGGGTTCGCCGGGTTTGCAAAGCGGGCGCTTCGACTTGGGCCGGGTCCCTTCGGCCCTTTCGATCGATGGATTTGCGAGGACCGGTTCAAAAGTCTGAAGGCGGTGGTGGAGCAGTCGCTGACGCAGGCGCCAGGGAAATCCGCGAGTTCGGCGAGATCTTTGGTTCGGTTCGAGCAACGGGTTTGTTAGAAACACAATCCTATGTGTATCTTTTCCATGGTAGGGATGCGCGTTTGTTTATGTCCTCATTGGGGTTCGGGTTGCCATCCCATGTTGGTTCAACAGAGATGCAAATTGCTTGCCTGAGTTCTATGGGGCTTCCAGTCGGGCTGTCTGAATGTAGCCGGGGGAAACCGAACCCGAAGCTTGTTTGGGGACCCCATGTCGGGGTGCACAACGGGAGCCTCCTCTACAATATTCATTTGGGTATGGCTCATTAGTAAAGCGCCAGGGGACTTCAGGTTTTAGTCCTTGGTTCAAGTTACCAGGGTTCCATTTTGGGTACTTATTTTTGACCCACAGCCATTTGCAGATGGAGTATCCTGATCAGTCAGGGAGCCTCCAGAATGGTTGGTCCGCACTCATCAGCCAGGAAACAGCGGAAAAAAAAGCAGTTTGAGAGGGATTGACCAACCCGCAGATGATCTAGCACTGGCTTGGACCCACGGTGAGTCACTTTCTGTTTCCCTTAAAGTGAGCATGTCGAATGTTCTCCAAGTTGTTTGGGTCGGTTTTCCAAGAATCGGCAAAAAATGGCTCGGGTAACTGATGTTCATCTTGCTGGTGCGATAAGTATGGAATGAGGGAATGAATTTGGGGGTCCCCTCAAAGGAAACCGCAAGGGATGGTTTTCCTTGGTCATTGCGACTCATTCCCGCCTATGGCACCAGCAAGTACTTTGGCTGAGTAAGAAGCACTCTCAGGCTTCTACGACTGCCCTATGGCTCTGAATCGCTTCTTGAGCTCATGCAATACTATCCCCGCTAACTCATGTAAAGCGGGGGCCCAACCACGTCCGTGCAGCTGGAGGCCGCTTGCTATGTTCAAAGTAGGAAAGGTGCGTGTAGCATCTCGGCCTATGGACATGTACCTGGAGTCTCCATTGGTCCATGACTCTTTAAAAATGGGGTCACCCAAAAGAAAGTGGTCGTGAGCCCATTTTTTAAGTGTCAGAAGGAGACTCCATGCCACATCCAGTTCGCTTGAAGGAGTTCACCGCGGGATGGTGGGAGTTTTTTTTAGGACTCGTGGGATGGGTCTGGTTCGGCCAGATTTGGAATGGGGTCTTGAATTGGTCACTCAGGTCTTTTCCTCAGATCCAGGCCGACCTTTCATTTCTAGCCCTGAATCTGGGTGTGTGCTTTTGGAGTTGGTATGCCCTTTTCAGGTTGGTTTTCCAACCCAGCGGGGCTGTTCTTTGTTCCACCCACTATTTTTCCTCCTCCGAAAAACAGTCAACCTTGAAATTCGTGGAACCCCCTCCACTTTTGCCCTGCAACCTCCAGTTGCCCCCTTTCGTTTTCCAACCTAAATGTGCTCCAACCTGGAGTCTCCACGACCCTTTAAAAATAGGGTCACCCAAAATAAAGGGGTCATGGACCCATTTTTAAAGGGTCAGAAGGAGACTCCAGACCTTTTCCCTCCAGTTTCCCCCATGTTTTCCAACCAAAATCTGCTCCACCCACCCCAGCTCGGGCCACCTCTGCTCCCCCCCCCCCCCCGGTCCGTCGGTCCGTCGGCCACGATGTCAGCTCCACGAGCACCTCCCGGCCGCGGGCTCCGCCAGCGAGCCCGAGGAGACGGAGCTGCGCCACTGCTGCTCCTGCCGCCTGGATCGGATCGAAGCTCGAAGCCGAAGCCGAAGGGACGTTGGTGGACGTAAATCTAGGTCCACTGGTGTCCTTTCTGGTTGTGTTGGTCGAAAAATGATGGGTTTCGATTCCTGGTTTACCTGGTGCCATAATCATCTACCAGGGCCATCTATTTCCCCTAAAAGGACACCTATGTCTAGGTGCCCAATTTACATGCATACCTGGAGTCTCCTTCTGACCTTTTTACAAATGGGGGCACACGGACGTACATGCACCTTTTACAAGCAAGTCCTTCCATTTGCTTAAGAATATGTTCTCCCTCTTGGTTTTAAAGGGAATGAATCACTACTGGAAATCGTAAATACACCTGAAGTCTCCCTCTGACCCTTTAAAAATGGGTCCATGGCCCCTTTTATTCTGGGTAATGACCAACCATTTTTAAAGGGTCAGAAGGAGACTCCAGGTAGGCCCCCAATTAACATGCATACCTTTTAATTATTATTTCGCTTCCACTGAAAAAGTAGACCCACCGATTTCACAGATGATGGTCCTTTCCTTGCAATTCAAATGTCAGGTTGTAGGCAAATATGGAATTTGGTAGATGTTTGGTGTCCCTTCCTATTTTGAGGTGGTTTACAGCTGAATTAATTGCCGTTGGATGATTCCCTCTATCCCCTAAACTGCGGTCTTGTTCGAAATTGTTCTGCATTTGAAGCATACTACATACGGTTGCCAGAGTCGAACATACGTACTTTATTTTGCCGTGGGGGAAGATGCGAGCTTTTTGTTGTCTGGAACTTTTTTTTGAAGAGTTCCGGCTGGCTGGCTGGCTGGTTGTTCCCCATCACCGGTTTGGGATTGGGACGCTGCCCCCAAAAAACCAAAACTCCCGGTCAACAAGGTCCCGGGAGAATACCAACCCAGGCTGCAGATGTTGCCAGCCCCATAAAAGCAAAGCAACATACACCTCCAACGCCAAAGCCGAGGGACTTTGAATTATATACCAGGGCCTGCCAGATGCCGGGGGCTATGTTTGTTCGGGGTTACCCATTTGCGCGCAGCCATGTTAGTTCGGAGCTTTGAAAACCACAAACGGTGGATAAAAAGTTTGGTCGGGTATTTTTGGGGCGGTGGCGTGTTTTCGGCCTTTCTTTTGTCGGGGGCTTTCGACTGCCAAGCAAAACGGGGATGGCGGGGGCGGCGTCGGTTCACACGTTTCAAGGTGCAGAGCTGGAACGCATCCAGCAGCGGAGTCGGCGCACCAACGCGCTGCGCGACTTTGTGGAGTTGAAGCTCCACGTGGCTTGTCCGAATCCGGGACGGAACCATGGGGCATCTCAACACTGAGTTTGTTGTAGCCTTTAAAGGGCAAACAAAAGAAAGACCACGAAACTCCCAGAGTTATGTAATTAAGCCCTTTCTGGGCTTTATTGCAAGACTAAAATCACAAGGAACCTCCCAGTGTCTATTTGGGTGTCTAATCAAGTGAACCCTTCGATTGCCAAGCCCCGTGGCCAAGCCCCATGGCGCCCGGTGCGCCGGGTCAGGTAAACCCCCCCCAGCTGCCAAGTTCCATCTGTAAAGACAACATTTAGATGGGAAGATTCCAACAGGGGAAATCTTAATAAAAGCGATTTGAATGAAAAGAAAGAACTAGAATAAGTGTCAGTTGATGCACAATTTGCGGTTCCATCCTTCAGCTTTTGTGTGCCAAATGCCAACTATCTTGTTTATCCTGGGAACTTTTCGGGAACCCCGGGCTGGAAAGTTCGGGCGATGGGCGGGGTCACTGCTTCCCAGACACCCTCCACGATGGATTGGGGGGCATCTTTTTTCAAATGCTGTGTTGTGGGCGGCCTTCCCCTGTGAAATCAACCAACCAAAAAGGGCCGTGATTTTTTTTCTCCGTCGAGTCACTGGAGGGTGCACTATGCGAGTGGGTTGCTGGGCCGACTGGTTTGGCGTTGCAAGTCCGAGTTCTTTCAGCCTAGCCGATGGTTCTTGTTTGGATCTTTGGGCTTCCCATGTTGCATCCCCAAAACAACCGGTTCAGTGGCGTCCCTGTTCCTTACTTCCTGAGTTCCTGGGAAGACATCTTTGGTGGTAAACACACAGAGACAGTTTGGATTTTGCTTGGGCCATCCACTCAGGTTGTGCGGTTCTTTGGGGGTTTTCAGGGAAGATGGAGAAAAACTTAAAACGGGTTTCCTTTTGCCACCGGGCAGGGCGCTTGGGATGCAAGGATGAACGGGGTGTTCGCTGGGTGAGGCCCAATCACAATCAAAGCCGGGGTAGATGAAGCTTAGCAAGGGATGCTCCCAACCATAAATAGCTGTGGCCGCCTTCTTAATTCTTTGCATGGTTCTGGGTAGACCATTGTATTGGCCGGGTTGAAACCCAGGCAGGTGAAGATTGGCAAGGGGCAGTCCCAACCAAAAGTCGGAGCAGACATTTGTTTGCCCTCTTGTTTCAATACATAATGGTCTTCTTGGTGGCTCCCAGCCATCCCCTTAACCTTTGAGATATTTCGGGTTTAGTGAGTTTTAGATATTTCGGGTTCAGTGGGGGGGGGTTCCCATTTAATCCACTGAAAGATAGTGACTTTCAGAAAGGGATCTGAAAACGGAGAGCCCAGTTTTGGGCAGACCGTGCCACATTTGAGCAACACTCCCCGCACGTGTTCTTTGTTGCATCTTGCTTGGATGTTAGGACTTTACCTTGTTGCCAACTTTTAGGGGTTTTCCGTATTCACCCACTACAAGTGTTACAACTCTTAGCCGGGCTTCGCAGATTTCGCCACGATTTTTTTGTTTTTTTTGTCGAAGAGCTTCAGCTTCAGCTGCTTCGGCTGCTTCAGGTGGCCCAAGCCAATGGCGAAAGCGCGGGCTACGAGGGCACCTTGCTGCACTACGCCTGCGGAGCGGCTGAGGGCTTGAGACCCGGACCGCATCCCATCCAGGGTCATTGCCCAAAATAAAGGGGTCATGGACCCATGTTTAAAGCGTCCTGGAGACTGCAGGTATATTTATATTTAGCTATGTGTCCCTCTTTGGTGACTTGAAACGTCACCTCTTGGGCACATGTAAAGTGAGTTTCACCTAAGTCGAGAGACATGTTGACGGGGGAAATACAGGCTAGAGCCCTGGTCTCCCCTGCAAACTGCTCATTTCCCCATATCGATGACATGCGGGGTTGAGGTTGGTAGAATGATGGGCCCTGGAGCTGACTCCTATCGACCGGGAAACCCTTTCGCGGACTGTGCCCGGTTGCAGAAGTTGGAATTTATGCCCCATAGATGTTGTTGCGAAGCCTTTGCTTGGGTTGCTTTGGGAAACTTCAGGGAGCCTTTGGGAGCCTAGAGTTCTCCAAGGCACCCCTTTCACTCCTGAAAGAACCCCAGCAACCCGAAGAAACCCCATTTACCCCGCTTCGACAGCCCTTGCGAGCCAAAATAAGTAGGGCTACGATGACCCGCACGCCGCACACCATACGCCCCCTGCTTCTTCGTGACTGGAGTCAACGCAGTGCGGAGCCCGGGGATAGAATTCTATGATAGGACGCCCTGTATACTGAGTCCAGGGGTCCCAGACAGAGGTCAAACGAAAACAACCTTGTAGGGCATGCTCGAATCAATGGGAAGCCAAAGAAAAGCCAAGCATCGAAGGTCAGAGGAATGCAGCAATGAACGCTACGAGACAACCACATAAATAAGAAGTACATCGATTCGAATCGACGTATGTGAACCAGTCACATCATTGGCAGTCTATGGTTGTTTTCGGGAGGACTGGGGGGAACCCAATTTCGCCAGAGAGAACTTAGGGGGATGCGCCCCAATGTCATGGTTGTCGGAAATGGGGTTTTAGGGCCAGCTTTTCAGATACCGAGGGAATCCCCTTTACGGTGATCAAGTAATCATGGACATGGTCCACATTGGTATCACGGAAATACTATTTCCCACAACCATGTCCATGAAGTCAAACCTTCTATTTCAGGCCCCCTTTGGGCCGAAATCGGTGCAGCCCACTCTTTTGATTGTTGCAAGGTGTTTGCTGGGCCCCGTGTGATATCAAGTTTACACTGAGTTGTGTGGTGCTCACATGTGTTGTTTTGAGGGTGCTCTTGTTGGTTCAAAGGAAACCCAATGGCAAAGCCACATGTTTGAAGGGTCCCCCTATTCTAAGACACACCCATTTCCCAAGTTGGAAAGGACCCCCCAACAAACCTGTTTGTTGGGCCCCCCTTTCCAGGTAACCATTAGTTGGTGTAGAGGGTAAATAGGAAATTGGCCCCAACCTCCAAACCACTCAGGGTTGTGGGATCAAGGGGTTTATCCCCACTTCCGTGAGACAAGGGAATCTCCCCCTTGCTATGGGGAGTTCGTCTTTGGAAAGCCCTTGTTGGTGTATCACAGCAGCGATTCCATTTCCCACAGCCCTGAAACCACCAATCCCGCGGAAAGCCGAGAATCCACAAGGTCCCCCAGCTAGGTGCCAACTTTTTTACCGTTTCTGTTTTTGGGGGAGGGTTCCCCTGCTAAAACAGACTACCGAAAAAAGTTGGTAGCCTTATTCCAACCTCTCCACTGGACCTAGTCCATCTCTCTGAGGATCGATGCCGCCGCGCTGAGCCGCGAGGCCGGCCCATGCCTGGCGCGGCGTTTGCTGGAGCAGCGGGCGGCCAATTGCGCGGACACCGTGGGGAGGCCGGCGGAAGTGGCCGGAAGGGTCTGAGGGCGCCCTCTTGGGTTGGCTTAAACCGGAAAATCAACGGGGAACCACACATAGACGTGGTAGGTCTCAGAAAAACCGATCTGAGGGTAGCCTCTTTGGCACTTTGGGGTTGGTTTGAGGGGGAAAACCACAAATCCACAAACCGCACCGCGCGGGATTGATTTCTTCTCCCATATTTATAGGGCCCTATCCATCCCTGGTGCTGGATGTTGTCCATCCACTTTGTGTGCCAGGGTCACAAGGAATTGTCGTCCATGTCATTTGTTGTTAGGCAACCATCGCTTTATGAGCTCATATTCAGAGTATGTTCTGGAAACTGCGGCTTTAGGGCCGCTTTCAGAGGGTGTGACGTTTGGTGTGTGTGCGCATGTGTTCTGTTGTTCATGTTTGGCTCTTGGTGTTTGCGTGTTTTATCGTGGTCCGCTTTTTGGCTGGGTTTTGTTTTGGCGTGTGTCTGTTCCGCCGCTCGGGGGTTGTGTGTGTTCTTGTCTGCCAAGGTGGCTTTAACCCACGAAGCACATAGTCACCCTCTTCCATTTGCTTGGCCGCCTCATGCCGCTGTTTGGCTATGCCCGGGGTTGTAAACCCGCTATGAGTTGGGAGGTGTGAACAGCCCATTTGAAGGTTGACACAGGGGGCCAAGTAAGTAGTGAGGCGCCTTTTAAATAGCGGAAATCCATGTTCTTTATGGGAGGCTAAAGGCACAAGTTCCAATGCTAAGAGCATTCCACAGCGCTGTCAGGCAAGCCACTACCAATCCGCGTTTGAAGAGCTGGGAGCATGAAGTGGCATCCTGAGGTGGCAAACTGATGTTTGTCATAGCGAGCAACCAAAAGACACCATTCATGATTACGCCTAGAGGTAAGCCAACTGGCTACCTGTGGCTGAAAGCACCGGTTGCTCCGTTTGTTCCCAAAAGTTGGGAATGTTCGGATCAGTTCGACTGGCCGTGGCAAAGCCAAAAAGCAAATTTGACCAGATTGAACACGTGTGGCGTCGGGTTCCACATGGCAAACATATTGTTTCTCGGGAAAGCAAGGGCATAAGAGATTCCGGGAAAAGGCAGGAATCCAAATGTGTTCGCAACAAATATCGAAGAAACCTAGCAAGCCGAAAGGGGGACGAACGGTTTTGTTCCATTTGTTTCAAGAACTTAAACACCCCGAGTTGTTTGTTCTACTTTTCGTCAAGGATCCAAAGTCGATCGCTGAACCTGTGATTCGCGAGGTGCTTTGGAGCGCGCAGAGAATTCCTGACCCACTGGATTTGGGTCTCGGAGCCTGAAGGGTAGGGAGGTTCTAACCTGGAGTCTCCATGGCGCTTCAAACATGGGTCCATGACCCTTTATTTTTGGTGACGACCAATCATTTTTAAAGGGTCATGGAGACTCCAGGAAGGGGGCTTCAACCCAACTCTTCCCGAGCTTCCGTTTAAAGTGCAACTGATTCCGGACGTGGTGTCCTTTTATCCTTTTTAAATTGATTTCTGAGTCTCCGGGAAAAAATGAAACCAACTACCAACCAGAATGAGTGCCCTTTGTGTAAAGTGTTCCTTAAATCTCCAGCTCTCAAAGAACGGGGCGCCCTTCTGCCCCCGCATTCCGCTCCGGGCGTTTTGCGTTTTGCTTTTCGTTCGTCTCGGAAGGACGCCTCTGAGCTGGGCGGTGAAAAACAACTTGCCGCAGATCGCCTGGGACATGTGCGCCTCGGGTTTTGTTGGGGTTTGGGGTTCGGAAGGCCACAGAGGTTCGGAGCTGGGGGTGAACTGGGGTCATGTGTTATTTCTTTTTTGTTTGTTTGTTTTTTTTTTGTGTTTTTTGTTTTGTTTTCTTTTGTTCTGCAGGTGATCAAAGTCAGACATGGACATTTTCCGGGGGTGGAGCCCTTCGAAACTTGGGTCGGGGGTCCCTGTCCCCATTCTCCTCCGGAACGCGGGCGGGGATCCTTCGGCTCGTCTTTTTGGTAACACCATTCAGACCCAGGGCCTGGGAAAGATTCAGAAGACCCAGGGCCTGGGAAAGTGTCCAGTCGGCCCATGGATTCATGACCATACAGCGAACCAAAGCCCTTGAGGAATTTGGTAGCTGGAAGCACTGGGTCCAGATGGCAGATGTTTGGCGCAACTCACGCGAAATTGGTTGCGCCCTGGAGCGACGCACACACGCAGACACACAAACACACACAACCTTGCGGAACGTGTCTTTTTCAATGAAGAAGAACAATAGGCTTTTGCATGGGCAACTGACGCCCGAGTTTCTCATGGATCAAGGAGCAAACAAGCAAATGGTTGAGATGTCCAAGCGCAAGCCCCCAAGTGCTTCCAGTTGCGAGTATTGTAGTTCGCCAGGTGGTTGTTTTTCCCAGATTTTACATTGGCGGTTTCTTCTGATTACATACAAGAGGAGTAACTTTCCAGACAACCGTATTCTTCAAGGAGCTTTGCGACACATGCAAAAGCAGTTTCCTTACGTTTCCGAGGTGAGTACGGTATTGACAACGACGTCCCGGATATCATTGAGGAGCTCCTTTCACGGCAGTCACAACAGGGTTGCTCGCTTCTCCTTGCAGCAATGACCAAAACAACAAGGGTAGAAGAATGGTACTGGGCCCTGTTATCATTTTCCATGGGCTTCAAATTTCTTTGGAGGAACCCTGCAGGTTTCCTGCACAGGGGGGCTTCCACTACAGTAAGTAAGCAGAGTAAACCGATCCCTACAGTTTTAGAGGCACAACAACCTTATTGGTTACGCTTCTGTGGCTGGTGGCTGGAAGCACTGTGCAACCCTCGTTTCATTTAGGAAACCCGTTAAGATCGGCTTACGAGGACACATCAGTTTGGAAGCTTAAGATTGTTTGCGTAGAGGGAGGCAACATGCTCGGTTGTCCCAAGCAACTCGACCTTTGCATCTTTTGGGGGTCAACAATTGTTTCCCACTGCAGGTCAACGTTTGGGACCATCTGACATCTTTGATATCTGACTGAAATGGGCATGGGTCAAATATCAGTACCCAAAATGGCTTGCCCTGGTACATGGAACCAAGGACTAAAACCTGCGGTTCCCTGGTGGCTTAAGTTTGACCCATACCCAAATGATGAACCCAGAACTGATTTACATCCTAGGTTTAGGCTTGAACCTTGACCGAAAGTGGTATCGCCTCATGGAGGCCTGTTAGGGCAAGCCTGGTCTTTGGATGACACACTAGGTCCCCCCTTGCCAACCACTGTTTCGGACCGCTCGCAACTGGAAGCACTGCGAACCACCATTCAGTGGACATGTCGTCATGTGTGCTAGGTCCTCCAGTAGGGAGGTTAGAATAGGGGTACCCTTTTTTCTGTAGTCGATTTTTAGTAAGTCTCTTGGCCGACTTGTATGGGTAATCCGCTTGAAGGTGACAAAATGGACATTGCGAATGGAATCCCATGTCGGTAATAGAGGTTATATAGGTATTCGGCAGCCATGAATCAAGAAGGCTGCCAGTTGCAATCCATTCCTGCAGGAGGGGGACGGTGTTTGGGACCGAAATCGGGTCAGAGTTTGGCAACCCTGTTAACGAAAGCTGGGTGAAACCCAAAGTGATCCCGATTTGCTTTAAGGTTAGAGGAAGCCCCCGAAGCTTCCAATTCAAATCAGCCGTAGGCGTCTTGATCACCAGGCAAGGGCCTCTTCCCCGCTGAAGCCGTTCCAAATTGTCTTGCACAACTGAGCTCCAAGTTTGGCGCGCTGGACACCTTGGCGGAATAATATTAGAGGCTGAAATATGATCAGTAGTCTATGGCTCGTTTGGGAGGGACGTAGAACTCACAACGTTCAATATGTTGACTGTGGCTGTCCATGTCTCCGAAACTCAGATGCAAGCGAATCGACTGGATCTAAGCATATCTAAGCTTTGGGTTTCTTCCACTTGGGCCGATTATGGGGTCCGCTTTTTGGAGGTCCAGTTTCCCCCATTCGGAAAAGCTATGGCAAAGATGTGGGCGTGTCCCTGTTGGGGGAACTCTTGCTTGGGTTTTAGTAAAAGGGAAACCGACCATTTTTTTGGGGTCCCCGAATTTCTTGCTGGTGCTCAGTAGGGAATGACCCGAGGGTTGGGAATGAACCGTTTGGAATCCCTTAAAGGAAACCATAGGGGATGTTTTTGCTTGGTGTCACTGCAAGTATCATTCCCTGCTGAGAAGCAGCAAGATTGTGGAAACATTACGCAAGTTGTTACTTATCTACTCATGGTTTGTATTGTTTTTTGTTTTGTTTTTTTCTTCAATCATATCAATCATGCGGAGAATGGGTAGAATTGTACCCCCATGTCAACCACCAGCCTTTCAGGACATCGAGCAGCATTTGGCTGATCTGCCGGACGAGTATATGCTCTTCCGCATCAGTCAGGACTCCAGCAAGGCTGAGAAGACGATGCCGCGATGCGCTGGGATTTCCGCTAGGTCATGGAGACTCCAGGTGATTTACATCCTAGATTTCGGGTTGAACGTTTTTCCCGAAAAGCGGGTACATCGCCTCATGGAGGCCTGCTGGGGCAAGGCTGTCCCCCAGGATCGTGCCCTTTATCACCTTTTTTCTTGGTTGGGAGGGTTCCCCTACTAAAATCGACTACAGACAAAGGAAGTTGGTACCCTTATTCTAACCTAGGGTCTCCCTATTTGACACCCGCGATCCGCGTCCAGCTCCTTCAACTCCAACCATGAACGTTTTGTGAAGACTGGAAATAAGCCGTGGTCTTGCTAGTTCTTACTGTTTAATGCTGACCCCAAATTAATCAACCCCAGTTGATTAATAGGGGGTGTTCCCTCCAAAAGTGATCATTCCCCACAACCCGGGGACACCCTGTATTAATAAACTGGGTTTGAATAATATGGGGCCAACATTGAGGTCCAAAATGTTGTTGAGAGACCATGGAATCCGAGCCGTGGAGCCACATCGAACAGTTGTGCCCCCTCCAGAAAGCTGAAAGAACTACTCGTCGCTGCCAGTGGACTCCATACCTGAACATCCCCTCCCGGAAATGGCAATGGAATTTCGGCGGGAACCGTTGGAGCAGAACTTGGCAAGATAGTTTGCTATGTTTCAAGTGTCTTCTTTCCAGAAAGTAAGTAACAACAGAAAAGAGCTTTGTTCGAAAAAGAAACGATGGGCGAAAAGAATCGTCCCTAAACGGGTTTTGGCGACAACAATTTTGGCGACAACAGCGCGCTGTGAGCCTCGACCTGGAGCTTGGGACATTTGTTTGGGGATCCAAGTTGTATTTCTTTGCAATTATTTTGCGGAACTTGCGGATGTTTGATGTCCTTCCTGTTTTGAGGTAGTTTAAACCTTACCATGCATGATCCCCTCCAAATCATGAGACAACAGCTAGCATGGTTGGAACTCTTTTGTTGCTAGTGCGTCAATTCGTTCTGTCGGTGAATCTGTGTGTGTGTGTGTGTTTTCAGAACAGGGCTTGTTTGCGCATGATTTAGCTTTGCATTTCACAATGTTGCAGCTTTCCGCATCAACTGGATTTGGTGCACAATGTAGATGTTTGAGCACACTTTGCATTTCTGCTTTATCCTGCGCTTTGTGCGCATTGCTTTGTTTTGCATGCCCCTTTTTTGCTTTTGGTGGATCCAATGGCAGTGTTCTGCCTATTTGATGGCAAGCGTACCTGGGGAGCCAGCTTAGTATGCGGGTCCTTTGCTTTGGGGTGGGTTGCGGATCTTTTTTTCCGCCAAGCCCAGGGAAAGGGTCTGGTGTTTCATTACATGATTTGGGTGTGTCCTTTAAATCCGAGAACCCACATGGGTAGTTTCCTCTGGGTGTTTTTGTTGTTGTTATAGCTGGCTAAGCCATGTAAGCCAAAGAGGGTATAGGAAACTATGCAATGCCTTGTGTGTCAAAAAAGTTGTTTTGTTTTTTTTACAGCCCCAAACACTGGTACCCTCAAACATGACACACTCATTAAGCTTTGTTTGTGCATGCTTTGGATGCGCAGGCGATACCAGAGGGCTGGCAGTCTTTGCAGCTGTGGCTCGAGTTTGCGCGCCTGGGCTCGGAGTAGCATTTTTTGTTTTGTTGTGTTATGTTTATGCTTGGTGATCGATATTTGGGTCTGTGTGTGTTTTGGAGCTCGTACAGTTGTGTTTTCCTTTTTTTCAAATATATTTGGCTTACATATCTGCACCCTGTTTTTTTGGTGATTAAGGGGTGTGGATAATAAAATCAGATGAAGACTACTTGGGAGTTCTTTCTGAGGATACGCTTTTCATCAAAAGGGGGTCCCAAAGGAAAACCCACCCATTGCGGGGGTCCAGTACTTATTGTGAATGTAAATGATGCTTATTGCGGTTTCATCATATAGTCGTACGTCATAGCAGCTTGCAAAACTCAATATTCAATTGTACTACATCAGAGTCACTCAGGAATGGCAGCTACACTCATTTAATTACTAAACTGTATGTGGCCATCTCCATCCTGTTGTACTAATCAAGATCGGTCTACCTTTCTGTCTGACCTTGTGCCGTTCACCCTTTGGAAAGTGGTGTGTTTCCTGCGAACCCAAGATGAGCTACATGGTTTCTGCATGCTGACCTCGTGTCGAAGTAGAGCCTGGAAAAAAGCATGGGATGCTGTTTCCAAAGAGTGAAGGATTTCTACCAACATCGGACATCCCGCTAATCACCAGGAAGTTCCAAAGTCTGAGACTCTCATTGCACACACGGGCGTATTGTTTTTGCTGGCACCCTTTTTGAGGTTGTTTTATAGGGCTACCAAAGGAAAATCAGCTATATGTCAGGCACTTCCTTAATTTGCGATGAAACCAACTGACATTAATCACAAGCCTTGTACTCGAGTCCATGCATTTTCCTTTGAGGGTACTAGGGCCCAGGGTTCGGGCGTCTCCACCGCATGGTTTCTTGGGGTCTAGAAAGCGCAGAGGAGGTACCAACCCGCCAAAACGCATCAGTTTCTTTGGCTGGGACTATCGATAGTGAAATCGGTTCGATTGTGGGTGTGGCTCAAAATGCAATCGCCAGGGCAGCGCAGGTGTTGGTCTACTTGTCCATTTACCAGGGGTTCCGTTTCGGGCCCCCATTTGGGTGAGCCACACCCACGTCAGTGACTGTAGTTGCTCCCAGGAGGTTTTGCCTCAAGTGATTGGCTTACCCCACTTTTCGAGGTTTCCAAGGCATTGCCTGGTCCTTGACACCATGCTTCAAAGGGTTTTCAGACACAGACACCTCCCTTCACCTCAATTCAACTTAGTTCGATTTGTCCCAGACTAAAACATCGGGGGGGTCATGTCCGACTCCCCTTTTGCACGATGTCCGACTAGCGGTGTCCGACTTTCCGCTTTGCCAATTTGTTGAGTGGTACCATAGTGGTACCCTTTTCAGAGGGGTTTTTTCACCGGAAACCTAAAGGACGGAGGACCCATTTTAAGAGTCTCCCTACTTTAACACAAACGCATGTCCTGCCCCTTACCATCAAGATACTTCAGGGATCAGAGTCAAGACTAGAAAGTCGTGCGCGTACCATCCGGTCCCCTCTCATGCCCCATCTCTTTAGGCCACCTCTGAAACCGCCAGGGCTCCTTTTTATTCTGCGTGTTGTGCGGCTTCGAGGGGCATCAAACCACTTTTGGAGGGCCAACACCACCCCCCAAGTTTCATAGACCGGGGTTGGTTAAATTATGGGGTCAACATTATGAGCGGGTTCTCACAATAGTGGTCCCCAACATGGCCAGTTTCCTTTTGATTTTCGGGGTAAGCCCCCACCTGACCACTCTTGGAGGGGCCAAAACCACCCCCCAAATTTAATAGACAGGGGTTGGTTGATATGGGGTCAACGTTAGACCGCCTGAACTCGCCTTCCCCTCTCACCAAGGAACGGGGCGCGAGCCTACCTGGAGGGCTCCCCGGGAGCCTCGCCGGACCCCACGAAGACGGTGCTGGAGCTCCTCGGAAGTGAAAAGACGAGATGTGGCTGTGGCTCAAAAAAGTGGAATTCCAAAATGGCATGGTAAATGGAGAAGAGTAAAACCCCGCGGTTTGCCCCAGCTCTTTAATTTTGAGCCATACCCATGTGTTTCCATAGGAATTATTCTTTTTAGGTTAGTGTGGTTAAAAATAGAAGGCACTGGATGGGCTTTATTCCATTTACCAGGGCCGTCTATTTTCCCAAAAGGACACCTAGTGTGTGTGTGTGTGTGTCTTTTTTCCCCGCTTTCAAGCCTTTGTTTCAACATTGGTCGGTTTCAAAGGAAACCCTTGTTAAGTGGTTTTAAAGGAAACCAAAAGGAAAGCCACAAGCTTTTTTGGGGGTCCCCTTAAAAAAAAACGCTCCCATGTCTTGCGAAACCCCGTAACACCGGAAAAAGGGAGTCCTTCTTACCTGCCCAAAGCGAATCGACCTTACTTACCTGTTAGTTTTTCCCTTTGTTCATTTTGTTGTCATGGCACCAAGGGGAAACCAAGGGGGGTGCTGAGCCTTCGGAATCAAAAACGGGTACGACCAGGCAGCTGGGATCCATTAGTTTAGTGTATGGTTGCTCCATTGGTTCTGCGATCAAAAGTTGGGATGAAGATCGGGGGACAGTCACAAGTGTTTGTAAGTAGGTGCAGATATCCGCGCTTGTTTTTTACCCTTGACGTGGTTCTGGGTGGCTCCTTGAAATCCAGTTTGATCCTGGCTCCATTGACGTTTCTCTTTTCCAGTTCGGGTTGATGTTTCTCCTGGAACTTATGGCCTTTGTAACGTGGGGGACCGGGGGTATATTTGTTGGTTTGGCTGTGAGAGTGTGACTACTTTCAGTCTGAGGGTTCAACGGGTCAATCGCTCAAAAGCAACGAGGTTGAATACCTTGGGCAGCCAGTCCGGACCTGTTGACTTTTTGGTGTACCAGTTTTGGTCTACGGCGAAACGCCTTGCCATTTTTCCAGACATTTTGTTTAATTGTGGTTTTGTGCCTTTACGCCCTTCTGGTGAGCAATCTTGTTCAGGTCCATTTGTGGCTCGCAATAACGGCCCAAATGTTCGTTTGTTTGTTTGGTTTGTTTGTTTGTTTGTTCGTTCGTTTGCTTATGTGTCAGCGCTGAACCAAGTAGTTTTAGCAACTGCTTTGAGTCAATTACCCGTGTTTGCCAACATGTCCAACTAAACAACTCGCGTTTTGGGCCGGAATCTGGCTATCTGATCTCTGGACCCTCTTTGGCTGATAGGCCCTATGTTTTGCCTCAGTTGGCAGGCGTTCGCTTCATCGTCAGGCCCAAAAAAGTCCAGGCAACCCCAAAGGTGATCGCCTGAGTGTTTTGTTTGAACCGGCACCGATTTCGGATTGAAGGAAATCCAAAAGGAACACCCATTTTGGTGGTCCAAGTCTCTTTTTGACATGCCCGTGTGGGCTTTTCCAATCGAGGCTTGGCCAAACAAAAGCATCATGAGTGAGAATTCTTAGTTGGAGGGAAATCACTTCCAGAGGGTCCAACTCTTGTTGTAACCCAAGAGGGAGGATAAAGGATTCATTTGTCCGCCTCTCTGAGCAGATTAAATTTGCGACCTCCATGATGAAGGTTGCTTTCCTGCGGCTTCGCCCAGCACAATACTTGTTTTTTTCCTAGATGGCAACCAGAAGTCGAGGCTTCGTGATTTTCCTGGGGCTGTTTCTGCAAAACTCGGATGGGGGCCCTTTCGCAGGGAAGATGCTATGGACCGTCGAACTTGTTGTTCTATGTTGACACTTTCTGCGATGTCAAGGAAATTTACATCCGCCTCAGAGTTTTCGGATTTCGCGTATGATTGTTGTTTTTCCTCTTCTGCGAATCAACATGGGACACCAAAACATACCCCCCCCCAAAAGAGGTTGTCTTTTTGGGTTCCAATCTGCGGGCGCCCCGGAAACGGGCGGCGGCACCGACACCGACAGCGGCCTTGATCGCAGGTTCCGCCTGTCCCGGGACGGGGTGGCGCCGATTGCCTTCAAGCTCAACTCGCGGCTTGTTTGGAGGGCCCAAATTTGTGTGCCACTGGGGTAGATGCTTCCTTTTCCCGGTTTTTGGATTTCTAGAAATTAACAATCCATGCATGTCTGAAATTTCAGGTGTTTGGAATTCTAGAAATGGCAGATGGAATGAAGCTAGTTCCTTACTTCCCGCTTGTTTCGTGGTGTGTGTTGCACCAGGATATCCACAACCGAAAATTTCCCACCCTTCAAAAACCACAGCGCAAATGAAAGGGATCCTTTGATTTGGGTTGATGTTATATCCACTGGTTGATCGATGAGACACATTCAAAGTTGAGTAGATGAAGATTGCAGTAGTAGGAGAGACTTTCAGCCATTTGATTCGGCGCATGGTGTTGGGTGGACCCGTTTGATACCAGGTGTTGGTTACGGCTGTGGGCTGGTCTACATTTGGTGCTTGGAACAACCTCTCAACACACGGAGTACATGCCTTGTGAGGGCCATGAAGAAATAAGAATGCAAGAACGGGCGCATTGGGGGAGCGACCTTTCAAATACTGGATTGTGTGTTTACCATCAAGCCAGCGTTGCTGATAATTGAATCACCTCATGTTGCAAGTCAACTGAGCTCGAACACGCTTGAAGGTATGCACTGACTGATATATATATATATATGATATATATATATAGCCATGTTTTGGCAAGCACTTGATCAGGGGTCCCACATGTTCAATAGGCTGTTATCATGAACCTTTGGGCTGGTATTGATGGTGTTATCAATTGTTTCAGAAGACGTCACACTCGAGAGCCTTCTCCCGACAAAAGATTGCTCCGAACTTCAACACAATGACCAAACTACAGTTGGTGTTGCGTCTTTTTGTTTTGTTCTTTCCAGGGGGCAAATGTCTAATTAACCTTGTGACAAGGTAACAACAAGGACTACCCTGGCCAACTTCTCCTCAATCCTTTCCCCACATGTTCTGCAGTTTCCCATTGGAGGTATGCCAAACCCAGTGCTTTGGGGCAAGACACGAAGAATCAACCAGAGGAACTTTCCATGTGTAGAATCCTAGAGATAAATAAACCTTCCTTACTGTGGTGGCAATCGCCTGAAGCATTGGACAAAAACCACCTACATCTTTCTTCGTGGGATTGGACGATCTTCGCGGGATGACCATTTTCTTTTAAGAGACCTTTGGTGGGTTCCATCTTAGTCTGTGGGAGTGCAGATTGGCAGATCAATTTCTGCTCAAGCACGGCCTTTGCCCAAACATGGCGTCAACAGGTCTGCCCCCTTTTCCATTCATCGCTGTAAGTTTAACGAACCCAAAACAAGGCGCTCATTTTCCCGGGAGCCCTGGAAACTGCCTCAAACCTTTGGGAAGATGGCGGTGAATTGGTGTCTCAAAGTTGGGTTTGGCATTTGTTTTTCCAAGGGAAGGCAGCAGGAAGCTAAGCACCTGTGGCGGGTTTCACTTTTTGGTTCTTTCCACGGGGAGCCAGCAGGAGACTAAGCGCCTGTCCGGGGTCCCAGGCCTGGATAGAAAAACCCTCATCGTTTGGCGACTCGGCTCTCGCGGAGGCCCACCATGCACTCTGACAAGGTCCGCGGCCGGAGCAGCTTCACCCTGGAGGGCCTTCGCCTGGGCCGGGGAGGCACGGGCTGAGCTGAGCTGAGCTGAGCTGGGGAGGTGGATGTTTCTCTCCAACTGGGTGTGGGTCAAACCACAAAAAAGAAAACAGACAACAAAAACACCAGGTTTTAGTCCATCCATTTCGCAGGGCAAGCCATTTTGGGTCCCTTTTTTTTTTCGACCCACGGCCAAATGCTCACGACACATAGGCGGTTTTTCTTTTGGTTCCCTTTGAAACCAGCGAACGGCCACTTTTTGTTTGAGGCTTTGAGACAGACCCAGCACTATCCACTCTTTGGGGGTATGACATCAAGCCCTCAACTCGCCTGACTGTCCCTGCAATGCAGTCCGGGGAATGATTTGCGAAGGTCATTTTGCGAGGCACCATGATCCAGCTGTCAGTCGGGGCTGGCCAAAAAATCTCCGGTGGGAAGCGTGGGGAGGTCCGTCGGGGAGAATTGTAGTGGCACTTGTGGTTGCCAATGGGTATGAGTGGGTATGTAGCAAATATAGAGGGACCCTCAGCTTGGTGAAAGGGGAACCACCCCCCATAACACAAAGCATCTAAAACTGGACACACTCATGTGGTCGTAAGTCATAGAAACTCCGCACCCTCAAAAATTGAAATTGTGGGCGGGGAAAAAATCTGGAGTTCCATTTGTGACAAGTTCAATTCCATTGACCAGGTCCCCCCCCTCCCACCTCCCCCCTCCCCAATTCCATGGTGGTGGGGTCTCATCTGAGGGAACCACCCCATTCTCCCTTGAAGGGGACCCCCCCCTCCCACCTTCCCTCCCCCAATTCCATGGACCTGAAAACAAAAAGCACCGGAAGCACCCCATGGTCACTTGAAGACGAGTTAACCCCCCCTCGGCTTCTCCCCCCTGAAGCCCGTCAGAGGGACCTCTGGCCTTCGGGCCTTCGGGAGGCGCCAAGGGAGGCGCGAGCGAGGCGCCGGTGGAGGAGGAGTGGGTCACGATCTGCGCCTCCGCGCCCCTGAAGGAGCCGCCGGAAACGGAAGCGCGGATACGCGTCGGACGGAAGCGTCAGAGAAACCGGGCGGAAGGGCCCTGAGGGGAAATGGGAGCTCTCGTGCTGCGATCGGGTGACCGCTAGGGAAGGAGAAATGGGAAAATGACCAGTTTTTTTTTTTGGGGGGGGATTCTGTCCGAAGAAGGGTAACTATAGGAAATGGATGGTTCTTCTTGGGGTCATTTCCTCATTCGCTGAGCACCAGCAGGGTTTTGGAGATCCCCGCGCCTTTTGGAGGGTTTGCGAGCCGTGTCCCGTTTTAGGAACCTCCAACAGTGGCGATGGTTTCAATTGAACACCGCCAGTCAATTGCAACTTTTGGCGGCCCCTGGTTTAGAATAGGGTAACCCACTGGAATTTTACTGGAATTTCATGGTATAAGTTAATCTTCCGGTTTGGGGCTATAACAATGGAATGGGAATGGGGGGATCCGGATCCCATCCCCAGCAAAAGTATCCTTGCATTCGGAACGGCGGGGAGTGTTGCAGTTTCTTTTTCAGTACATGTCCCTTCAAGTTGTGTAATGGGTGGAACTACGCTAAGATTGTCCGAGAGTTGGCTAAACGATTGGCTACCCTCCACGCACTGCCTCAAATGTTTGGAAAGTTGGTCCCCAAAAACCTACTTTTGGGTTTAGGGTGGGGTCTCGGGGGAGGGCAAAGCTAGGCGATTCCTCCCAGACAAAGCTGTTTGGCCAGGAGTGGATTAACACCTCAAGGGCCAAGCAACGGAAATCCTTTATGAACTATGACTCCAGCTGCGCCTTGGTCGATTGAGCCGCTCCGAATGTTGCCAAAAGCTGGGGCCCCTTAGAGGGGGAATCGGATTGGGGCTTTCCATGTGAATCTGGACCAGTAACATGCTGATAGTTGTTTCCCATTCTCTTCACGCATCGCCCTCTTAAAAAAAAGAAAGTTAGGGCAAGGTTTGAAGAGAAAGATCCTTGAAGAGAATGGGCAAGCAGGTATGGCTATGGCTTAATCAAGTTGCAATCCCACAACCCCGTTCCAATTGGATAAAGGCCGCTGAAGAACAACCCGAAGTCTTTGAACGGATTCAATGAATATGGTGTTCTCAAAGACAAACAAGTCCTCAAGATCTGCGCCCTTCCTTTCCATGGCCACTGGAGCTCTGGGACCTACCTCGGCCCAAAGCCAGCCGTTTGCCTCAGGTGTGCTGGCTTGGAAATAAGAATCCCTGGAAGGAGTGCGGAAGTTAGCCCTAGGGTTGCCTGAAACAACCATTGTAAAGAAGATCGAACATCGGTCATGTCATTGGTGCATTTTGCTCGGATGTTAGGACTTAAACTTTTTGCCAGCCAACGGGTTTTCCATTAAACCACTAAAAGTTAAGCTTTCAGCAGGGGAGCAGAACGCAACCGAGATGTGTGGATATCCCTACAATACGGGATGGTTGGCCTCGGACGTTGCACACTCTGGTTTGTTGCTTACTATCAACCAGTGGTTCAAGAAGTCAGCTGAAACGCTGCAACTCAATCTACTAGCATTTCTTAAAAGCTGATCTATGGAACATCAATCTAGACGATCTGGTACGAACCAAGGGATGCACTGAAGGTCTTTCAATTCCTTCAATCACTGTTGTACAGGGCGGTGGGAATCAGGGTTTTGGCTCCCACTTCCGTCATAACTACTACGGAACCTTCCCCATGTTTTGGTGAATGATCAGTCATTGTCAAAGCCTTCCAGCGTGGAACGCATCTCCCAGCGCTCGCGCACTGGACGCCTCAAAGGGTGAAACAGGTTCAAGAAGAACCCTAGTGCAAAGGCGGTGCGGGATGCCTTTTCGGATGCTGTTCGTCCCGGAAACCACCAGAACGCCTTTCACAGAAACGGGACCCTTCTGCTTACGTCTAGATCAAAGGCTGAACGTATGGACAACCGATGAACCCGGGCAACCACTAGGTTAGCTCCTTATTGACCATTCGCCAAAGAGACTCAATATGGCCATACATTCATTTGGATGTATATGTAAAAATAGGTGGTTTCCTTTTGATTCCTTTTGAAACCCAGCCCCCAAGAAGAATACCCAAACGACACCCAGACCCATGGCCTTTGCCGGGGCGTGTCGTCCCGCAGCTGCTCAAGCGCGCCATTCAAACCGCCCATCCGTGGAAGCCAACGCCATGGCGAGGCTTCGCGCCAGGCGAATGCTCTCCGCCGCGCTGCTCGCGGCGTGCGCGGGCTGTGCGTTTGTCGTGACGGCCGGGTGCCTTGGACCGGAACTATAGACCACTCAACTCTTGGGTTGTTGCCATGACTCACATAAGAGCCTTGAAGTGATACCCACCTCTCCAAGGGGTCCGTCCCATGAACCAAACTGACCATGGTCCCTGAATAGGACCTCTTGTTGTCTATACTCTTTGGAAAGGGTCCATGTGCCCTTGCGTCTTCTTTTTAAAGGAGGGGTTTCTGTGGAACAACTACCAAAGGAATGTTTCCAGGGCCGCTGAGGTCTGGGGCACGGGATATGGTTTTCTGGGGTGTTTTTGTGCGTCCCAGGTGGCCCGAGCAGGGGTCCGATCAACGATTGCCTACTTCATGTAGGACAGTGGGACTTATGGTTGAAAATCAAGTTACAAATGCCTACAGAAACCTCTCGGAGTGCAGAAGGATGACTCTTTGGTTTGCTCTTGGTCAATTTGTTTTGAGCCATCCCAGAAAAACGGGCATCTCAAAGGCGCTGAGATTGGGAAACGATTGGATGGACCTCTGATGAGTTGAATTCGGTCATGCGTTTTGCTTGTTTCATTTTTCTCTTTTTTTTGGGGGGGGGGAGGAAGGCAGTTGACGTTGCATGGGCAGACACAGCACGTCTAATGCGAACGTTTGCTGCAGGCAAAATTCATGTTTTTTGCGCCAAGTGTTTCTGAAGCCTGAGCCAACAAAGCTTGGTCAAGCCAAGGTCTGAATTTGAGAAATATGTCCAACCAGAAGGTTTGGCTTCAGATTGGGGGAACCCGCAAAATGAGAAAGGTTTTCCTGTGGCAATTACCTTGTCAACAACACAATTGCAAGGTTCATGCACAACTGGCATCCCCGAAGCGACTCTCCAAGTCCTTTTCTTATCTTTCCAGTGCTTCCAGTCACCGGTCTTTTCCCTTCAGGTTTTACACGATGGTTTCCTTCTGTTCCTTGCTATACTCGTGCCTACTGGAAGCGTTGGGATCCTCTCGGCCGCCGACTCAAACCTTCGTCTGTGGCCGCCATATAGCTCCGTGCTGGGTATCCGTGCTTAGCGGCCATGGGTTTCGATGTGCTCAATCGCTTGGCGTGCATGAGGAGTCAGGTATCTTTTTTGAAGACGTTCATTTGAAGTTTGCTGCCATGTCATTGTTTGTGTTTGCTTTTAGGTTTGTCTGTTAGCTGCAGATTTAGATGTTTGCTTTTTCTTTTGTCAAACTGTTTGCCAGTGGCAGTGGGAATGAGCCAACCAATGAGCATGCTCTGCTGACCAATGTCACCTAGGACGCCCACAGCTCACAGGGACGTGCAAACAGCTTTTGGCCATGCACGACCTCCACTGGAGACGAGTCGGGCGGTTGGAATGAGGTCCGCACCCACAGACAGGAGCCTTAGCTTGTGTCAACACAAGAATAGCTGCTGAATAGCTTCACGACTCTTATGTTTGTTGTTACATGTTGGGGTACATCATGTTTTCTTCTAGAACGGTGGTTGAAAGCATGACTGCACTCATTACTGCACTCCGCAATGTTCTTGGATTGCAACTGTATGTCGAAGCCAAATTCTTCTCTGGGCGGATTTCGAGCATCACTCTACTGTTTTCGGTGATCGTATCTTGCGCCTTTTGTTCTGATATGTTCGAGCAGGGCTTCAACAAACAGTTTTTGGCAGGTTTTTGGCAGGCTTTTGGCAGGTTTTTATGTGCAACCAGCTAAACGGTAGTTTTGCCCACCTTCAGCTCACACTGGCGTGCTTCCAAAGCTTGGGGATCCAGGCCTGATGGGTTGCGCCCCCAACCTATCAACGAGGGGTCGGTTCCGTCCCTCCAATTTCGTGGACCTGGTTCTCTTGTGGAAGGCAACATTCCTGTTGGAACGGGGTTTCATTGCACCAAGCCATGTTTGGTGGGAATTATTACCAACTTGTTCAGGCATTCTGCTTGTTATTTGCGTAGTTTCGGGTTCGCTTACCGAATCATCCGACAAATAAGTTGATATTCAATCGTTTCCGTCTGGTTTCCCTTCAACACCCTCCAACATATGTTGTCTCTAGGTCCCCCGTCCCCAGTTTCTGAAGTTCATATTTTCGAAAGACAAGTTTGGTAGTAAACAACAAGACGAAGACCATGTTGTGTCCGATCCTTTATTTTTACGGCGCTCTGACCCGTTTAGATGGGACCTCGGAGTTCATGGCTGTTGCTGGAAACCACGGATGCATGTCACTTGCCAGCCACGGAGAGAAAACCAAAGGGGAGGGCTACAGTGGCGTGATTGGCAAGTTAGCACATGGATTCCCAATCCGGATTTGCCCCTTAGTTGCCCCTTTTCTGGTGGAAACATCTAAATGTGTGCTGGATGTACCTGACGACTTGATATTTCATAGCCGATGTTTATTGATTTGGGTATAGGTCAAAATAAAGCCACCAGGGGACCGCAGGTTTTAGTCATTGTTTCCATTTACCAAGCATCCATCTTGGGTACATATTTTTCACCCACAGCCATTTGTTATTCAGACCCTCTGTCTATCCAGACCTCGAGGATGAGCCGGAGCCAGCAGCGTCGGCTGCTGCTGCTGGACGGAGTTTTATTGGCGGCGGCTTTTGTGGCCACGCTCCGCTGCTCCAAAGTGCACGGCGCTCAGAGGCGAAGCTGGCGCGGTGGTTGAGGGACATTTGCGTTTCAGATTATGTGGTTTTGCTGGTCTGGGTTAGTCCATTTGCAGAGATTCCAAAAGATGTCCAATCTGCGGTCCAGTTGACCAAAGAACTGGATGCTGAAGGACTTGACTCGGCCAATGCCCACTGAAGGAGACCTTGGTTGCGTGCTTTCTGTGGTAGGAGAGTCCCTTCAATGTGACAAAGTCGTCATGGGGAAACCATTGGCTGCCCTTGAGTTTGGCTGGGTCTTGCAAAGTGATCGCAGTCTGAGAGAATCGCAAAATGTGTTTTGGGAATTTGCTTGAAAGCCGCTTGCACCCGCAACATCCTTTTTGCAAGATGGCAGCGGTTTTCTTTTGTAGTGGTGTCCTACGATTCAAGGATCCCCCCATGTTTAGCTAACCAGTTTGGGTGTCAGGGTGGAAGCCAAAAGGCGAACCAACTGATTCGAGGTTACTCTGCACATCAACATGGAGCCCACCAAACCAGAGAAATCTTCTTTGGGCGGCCCTTTTAAGTTTCCATCATTGTCTGCAGGCGGGTGATGGTCTCAAAGACAAATCGTGGTGTCTATGCTGCTTTCGCAGTGGTGGAAGCCAAACAGAAGGCTGTTTCATCCAAAAACGACATCTTCGCTTCGGAACATCCGCCGTTTTTATGCCACGGGCTTGCGGGGAATAGGATCTGAGTGCCCAAATGTGAATCCCCTGTTTGTTTTGTTGTTGCGCAACCCTTCATTGGTGACTTGGTGGAGTTCGTCCCAAGGTGACTTTCCCTCTCGAAAGGGAAGCCTGAGGAAACCTAAGAGGTAAAGAAGAGCCTCACCTCTGGTGGCTTGCCTGGAACTTCCCAGTTGGTGGTCTCCTCTACAGCCTTAGATTGAGGAAGGCGAGGGCCGGACGGCGAATGGGTACTGGTTGGATGAGCTGGCTATGTTGAAGGGGGAACCATGTCAGAAGTCCTTGATGGACATGAATCCCCACCTACATGATGTCCACCATGTTTTTGAAGGTGGAACCACCTCAAAACTGCATCCTTGATGCACCAAAGGGCCCCCCATTAAAATGCACACCCACCTGACCAAGCCCAGGTGAACCTAAAGTGAGCTCCATTCGGTTGGTGATGTTTCAACTTGCTGTCTGAAGCCAAATCTTCGACACTACGCATCCCTACGTGCTGGTTAGCACCTTACATCGTTTCCCTTTGCTAAATAATGCAGCAAATCCAAGCAGCTCAAAGACTGGGGGTCGGCAACATACAACTTGAAACCTAGGCCATCTAGGTTGAACATGGACACCCCGCCGGTCGCGCCTGAGTTTTTTCACCAAGGATGGTCCTCCCTGAGTTGCTTTGGGGCCGCATCTTTGTGTGGCTCTAGGAACCAAGCGCCCGGGCGCGCAGAGCGCGCGGAGCTCGCGACGCTCGCTCGGCTTGAGGAGCATGCGAGCCAGAGGCGGTCGTTCTTGTTTCAGCATGTCTCCTGTTCTTGGGATCCCTTCCTCACGGTTTTTCCTCTTTTTTTTGGGTCCTAAAAATGGTCTTCCCCAAAAGGGTTCCCTTTTTTCCGGGGTCACTGAGCAACTGAGCTTCCCTCCCATGCGGGTTGAACAGCCCTCATTTGGGCGCTTCACTCCCAGTTTTGCATGTGTTTGAGCAAGACATGCCCACAAGGTTGAACGTGAGATGAGGTTACAAGCAAATGGATCGTTGAAAGTTGCTTTTTTCAGGGCTTACCTGGTTTGTTTATACTTACCTAGATGATAGGGTGTGAATTTTAGTTGGGCATCCTCTGGTGGACATCGTTTAGGTGGGAATGTATGTCTACCAGCCACTTTGGAGGTGATTCCCAAGATGTTGGAATTATTGCAGAAGTGGCAGACGCTGGTTTGTGGACATTAACATCATAAGGGGAACTTGCCCAGATAAATCATGTTGATCAAGTCCTTGGAAAAAACACCTGTGATCCAAGCATTGAGTGAAGCAGTGAAGGTTTCCGGAGAAGTTATCCTTCATGAGCATTCGTCCGATCCGCCACTGTATCTCGCGAAAGTTCCCACGGTTCTCAGAGGCTGAGTGTGTACTTTGTAAATATACACATGGGGGTTGCTCACAAGGTCCTCATATGGGATGTCCATCAGGGAAACCACAACAAAGTGACTTTTAGCACTTAATGGGAAGGGTTACCCATGGTCAGCTTGGCCCACAGGGGTGCTTTTGTTTTAGAAAGGGACCCCATTTGGAAACAAATTACCTTGTGGGTCCCCTTATTTTGGCACATTCCTACGTATGTTTGTATAATGTGTATATATATATATGTATATTTTTAAAAAAAGTATACATATTGAACCCATGCAACATCCAGAGGGTCCCGCAATAGAAGTCACACGCTTACATTCAGCCTTTGAGGTGTTTCAAGAGTCGGCTGGAGCAGTTCTCCAGCTCGGACTCTCGGTTTCCGATTTCGCGGCAGACGGTTTGCCATTCCGCGCGACACTCCCCCTCGCGGACATGAGGAATTCGCCCTATGTGCTGCGGAGCGATTGCTTCGATCCTCTTAAAGGGGGGTTCCATTTGTTGGGTTTGACGGAGAGCCGGTTGCTTAGTGGACATTTTGTCTTGGCTTTGTTTGGTGGCAAACCAGCAATGGTCCCCAGAAGCAGGGTTGTTGGAAGCAGGCCGATTCTTGTATTTGCTGCCAAAGGAATGCATTTGAATTGGCAGACTAGTCCTGCGAACTGCCAGAAGGAATGTTTTTTCACAAGCCATGTGCCCATGACCTGATGGAATTTGGGACCTCAAAATACAGCCTTTTGGAGCGCAGAGTGGGAACCCCGCATTCTCCCAACCCCCTGACACGTAGGCTGAGTCCGCCAGAAAGGTATCGAGAGCATAAACCTCAATGCCATGCCCGCCATTTGCCACCCAAAGCTCCAACTCGAAAAGCCCCGAGAATGTGTTAGCTCAGATTGCCTACCTCAAATGAGCCACTTGGAAAAAGACGGAGCAGATGAAGGTTAGTAAGGGACAATCCCAACATATCCCAACCATAAATAGCTGCGGATATCCGCCTTCTCAATTCTTTACATGGTTCTGGGTAGACCATTTTAATACCGGATTTTGATTATGACTGAAATTGCTGATGGACCTAAAGTTTTCTGATGTTCAAAGGGTCGAGGGACAAATCACGGCATGGAAGCCCCTTGCGTGCGGAGGACGCCTTTGGCAAAGATTCGGCAGGCTGCCGTTTTGGAATCGAAGATTCGGTCGCTGATCGGCGAAGAAAGGCGTGCGTAGTTGCGCGTTGGGTGAATTGTTGCTTGAAGGGGCAGGGTACTTAGTATGTCGTTAGTTCCACATATGGGGAAGCGTCATATCATGTTGGCTTGGATTTGGTTGGTTGGGATTAAAATCATCACAAAATAGCGAGTGATGTTCCCTTGGGACAGCCGCTGGTTTCCATTTGGGCAGTCACGGCAAACAGGCTTGCTCCAAGCCGTTCACGGATGATCAAAACTGAAGTTGGCAGACACATTGGTTTGATTTTGAACCATGGGGACCCCCCAAAATGGTGGCGTTCCTGTTGAAAATCCCTGGAAAACCACGGAAAAGGGAGACACTCAAGAAAAACACCAATTAATTACCAGGGCACACATATCCCTCTCAGAAAGCCATCCCATCCCTCAGAAAACCATCCGCTAATGAGAAGGGAATGGTTGCTGCTTGGCCTTCTTAATCAGTTTGGAGCTTCCGTTGGTTTCCCAAATTTCACGGCCAGATCTACCCCTTTGCCGATTGATCCGGTCTTTGGGGCAAGCCTTCGCCTTTTGTCTTTTGTCTCAAGCTGCCGTTCCGAAGGACGTCAAGCTCCGGAAAGGGATGTTAACCTCCTCTACCATTTGTGCCTTAAAGGCGCAAAAGATCCCAATAGCTTCCGGACTCCCCGACCCAAGTTCGTTGGGCCCTGCGATGAGTTTCCTCTACGTGATGGTTTTCTTTTCGTTCAAAACCACAATAATTCAATCCTAGGTCCCCCAGTAGTGCCCTTTTACCCTTTCTTGGGGGAGGGTTCCCTACTAAAATAGACTACAGAAAAAATGGGTACCCTTATTACTGGAGGACCTAGAAACGGACACACGCCAATTTGGAGTCCACCCCACTTCTGGTCCTTTCCAGTGCTGTTACACGCGGTTACCACCCCGTCTTCCAGGCGGAGCAGCGTTATCTACGTGTCTTGCTTGTTGCTCGCTTAAGCACCCTGATGGTTTATCCCAGGAGATTGGCCTTGGATAAGCCGAGTTGGAAGTTGTTTGTAAGTGGCTTCTAGATTCTAAGGACGAGCGCATGTTTTTCCCAAATCAAGCAGCAAACGAGCCAACGGGGAAGTTTGAAGCACCAGCCAGTCAATAAGGCAACTCCATCAAGCGGAACATGTGGGTGAGTAATGCCTTAATGCGACATATGTGTGTTTTTGCATATGTTTGCTGGGCCAGAGTCTTCTAGGAGTCTGGGAGGCACTTGTTTGAGCCATGGTCTTCCTCCTTTAGAAAGCGCTTGTCGACTGGCAAGTCCTCCACCGGCTAGCGGCGACATGCCTCGGATTCCCTCCCAACATCACTTTTCACAGCCACAACCAGGGCAACATGCGTGAAGCAACCAGGCCCTGGGGCATTAAAGAGGTCTTTTGCGCATGTTCAACTGTGTTGGCACCTTGCTGCCACGGACTCCCCAAAACGCCATACGTCCGGGATTGCCAAGCGCACGCCCAGGCAACCGGCACACGCTGTGGCACCTTGCCTGTCGCAGCAGGAACGTCAGGCGAGAGGGATACGGGTTGCCACTCAACAGGTTTGCTGCGAGCCTTTCAACTCGCTGCTGAAGGAGGGGAATTGGGGAATGATTCTTCGCCGCTATCGGGTTTTAGTAGGCGCCGTGATCCTATTGCCGCCCAGTTTGGGCGGGGTGTACTGGAAAATGTGCGGGTTCCCCTGAACGGTGAAAGTAACCATTTCGGGGTGTAGGGTGTACTTCAACTGTGCGTTCGCTTGAAAGGTCCTTGAACGATGAACGTAATCGTTTTTAGGTCATGGGTGTAATTGCTTCAATTGCGGTTTCCTTGAACGAGGAAACGTCGTCATTTTGGGGCCATAGGGTGTGCTTTGAATTAACTCGGTACCTTTTGGTAGGGAATGCTTGGGGGTCCATTCCCATATTCCCATATTCCCTACTCAGCACAAGCACGTACATTATAGCCAAACCGCAAGGGTAGAAAGTTGGATTGGTTTCCTGCGGTTTGCCTCCAGGGGCCAAATTTCTGCCCGTATGGCACGGGGATGTTGGAGAAGCCTTGCTCAATACCAACAGCGCGGCTGTGTGTATTGGGCGTTGGCCATCCTTTGAGCAATACCTTTCGAGATTTTGTTTGGAAGATAATCTTGACATCTTGGGGCCGAAGTCAGAAACTGCAGGCTTTTGCCTTACCCTCCTCGTCCACTAACCTTGGCGGCTCCCAGCCATCCCCTTAGCTTTTTAGCCTTGTAGTGTTTAGTGGTAGTTTCCATTTAACACACAAAAAGTTAACTTTTCGAGGAAGATCTGAGGACAGCCCAGTTTTCAGTAATACCTTTTGATAATATTTTTGGCCGATCATCTTGACATCTAAATGCCGAAGTCAGAAACTGCAGGCTTTTACCTTGCCCTCCTGTCCACTAACATGGAACCCATCAGAGGGTTCCTGAAAGAAAATGGTCAGGTTGCATGTGGATGGGACTCTAGCTTCCATCTGGGTCCCAAAAATGGCTTGGGTATCTCATCACTCGCGAAAGAGAGGGTTTCAACTTGACTTCCTCAAGGGAATCGGTCAAAAGAAGCCTAGGGGAGGGGCTGGCTTTGAGTGGCTGGGCTCAAACGCGATTTCTGGGTCGGCATAAATGAGCTCCTGGGTTTCATGTCTCATGTTGGGGTAACCCAATGCACTCCCAAAGGAATCATCATTGTCGGAGTCTCCTCATATGGGTATGGGCCAAGGATAGGCCGCCAGGGGCCGCAGGTTTTGGTCCATGTTTCCACTTACCAGGGTTCCAAACATGGGTACCTATTTTTGACCCACACCCATGTTTGTCGGAATCTCTTGGACATGTTTTTTGCCCGTCGGGACTCGATTGCGGACCTCAGGCTGGCGAGGGTGTTGCGCCAGCATGGCGCCAAGTACACCTACTCCGGGACCAAGCCGCTGGGGTCGCAGGGCCGAGGGAGCCCTTTTCGCCTGGGAAACGCCCACAGAACAAAAGTGTGTGTGTGTGTGTGTCTGTGCGTCTGTGCGTCTGTGTGTCTGTGTGTCTGTGTGTCTGTGTGTCTGTGTGTCTGTGTGTCTGTGTGTCTGTGTGTCTGTGTGTCTGTGTGTCTGTGTGTCTGTGTGTCTGTGTGTCTGTGTGTCTGTGTGGTTGTAGTTGTTTTGTTTCTCTTTTGTTTGATTGTTTGATAGTTTGATTGAGTGTTTGTTTGTTTGTTTGTTTGCCTGTTTGTTTGTTTGTTTGTTTTGTTTTGTTTGTTTGTTTGTTTGTTTCTTTGTTTGTTTGTTTTGTTTGTTTGTTTGTTTGTTTGTTTGTTTGTTTGTTTGTTTGTTTGTGTTGGTTGGGTTTGTTGGGTTTGTTGGTTTTAGAAAGTTGTGTTTTGTGTTTGTGTGGGTTGCCTTTTGTGGTAGGTTTAGAGGGATGCCAGAAGGACACACTACGTTGGGGTCATCCAACCACAAGCCGAGAAACAGTTTCGTTTTTGTTGCTCAGGATTGCTCTGAGCCGTTCCTGCCGCCATGATCGCAGGGTATTGGGTCCCTTTCGTTTGTTCAAAGGTCTTTGAAGCCGCCCGGTGTTTGTTGTGGCTCAGTCACCTTTTTCAAAAGGTTTCGAGGAAGGCCAAAGAAGAGGAAACCGCCGTTTTGAAGGTGTTCTCATTTATACACACACCTAGATGTTCGTTTCTTCAAAGGCTTTAAACCTTTTTTTTGTTGAAAACACCAAGTTTAATTTAGCCTCTCCTTTCTGATCCTGCAAAAGGAGGCTGCCATTGTGAGGCGAGGGGCAGACAGAATATTTGCGGGTTGTTTATCCGCTCCAGCTGGCGGAGAGATGAGCACGCGTGGGATCATCAGGCCCCGCACCCAAATTTCACCTTGAGCTCCGAAGAAACCTTTGTTCCTTTATTTACACGTTGCTGAGTTGTCGTAACTCGCCACGATATGCCGAAGTTGAGATTTTATATCAATTGGTTCATCACTGGTGAACTGAGTGACCATCTTTGCTTGGGTTTAATCTTTTGTTTGAGCGACAATGACAGGTTCCCCACTAATTTCTTGTCCGCCAAATGAATTGATGGGTGAAGACCACCTTCTGTACCCCAGCTACAACCAAACCATACCAAACCATTCAGCGGAGGGTAAACGGCCAAGTACGAGGCGAAAGACTCGTGCGGGGTATGAACCCTGTAGTGGCCATTTCCAGTTTGTGAACAGTAATTTGCCATTGCTTCCCTAACTAACCCTCATTTGAAGCAGTCGACGCGTCAGATTTGGGCCAGCTTCCGAGATTTACGTCAATTCCCTTAAGAGCCTTAAGAAGATCGCACCCTTTTTCCCTTATTTTGGTGGCTGCCCCACTAAAAACAGTCTTCCCCGAAAAGGGTTCCCTGTTTTTCCAGGGTCACTGAACAACTGAGTCCAAGGCTTTGGGGATGCAACTTTCTCCGAGGAAGACGCCTTTGGACCTCGCCGCGGGCGAGGACAGCGACCTGGAGGACGCAGCGCCGGCCTCGGAAAAGCCTGCGCTCAGGGAATCTGGTATCTTCCTCCTGAACATGGCTGTTGTTGGGAAACATTTCACATTTTTGCTTTCTGTGGTGGAGTGGGAAATCCCCACTTAACTGCTAACACTCAATCTTTTGCTCCCCTTCCAACGTCAACCAAGTGAAGACCGCGGCCTCAGAACTTGTGACTCAGTCTTGGGCAGGCTAAGAGTCACGTGAGTCACAATCAAAGCCTGGGTAGGGTAGTAAGGGACAATCCCAGCCATACATTGTTTACATGGTTCTGGGTTCATCAGTTTAATACCGGGCTTTGATTGTGGCTCACCTTGTGGTGCAATGTTGTGGGAGCTTCCCTTTCCATATTTCTTCAGGTCAATATTCGGACCAGAATCTGACAGCAACAGTTTTAGACCATGGGCCAAGTAACTGCGAACCCGGCAGAACCGAAGCAGACAGGTAGGAGCCCCAAGAGGACAGAGTTCCCAAGACGAGTATGGCAATGCCCACTTCAAGGGCCAGGGTGCGCGATAAGTAGCAAGCAGCTTTGGTTGTAGCCCACCTAACGACTGTTTATTGGCACCTGGGGTGAGTAGCCTCCAGTTGGTTAAAAAGGCGGTGCCTTCTTCGAAGGATCGCACCCTTGAAGTAGCAGACCAGCAGGGTTTGCAAGCATCTGGGCAGAAGCCAGGATGTACAACAGAGAGGCAACACGGAACAAGTGGCTAATGTCCGTGGCAAGCCCCAAGCGCCTCCAACTCTAAGAAACCGTTTTTCTAGGGGTTGATTCCCCATTCTTTTCAACCGTCGTTCTCTTGAAGCACCCTTTTGTTTCCCCAGGGTTTTGGGGTGGTTGTTTAGAAAGAAGGATGCCTGGAAACAATGGAAACGGAAGGTAGCGCTAGATTTTTGCAGCTTCAGGAACTCCGTGTGTTGGGTGGGAGCGGCCCCAACATCGAGGTCGACACCGAGACACGGCGGGAGCCAGTGGCCTCCTTGTCAGGCGATCCGAAAGTTGGGCTCGCAAGGTTTGTCTCAGGGACAGCTCTCAAAACGCTCGGTTTTCTTTGGGGTTCCTTTGGAATTTTGCTGTAAAACCAACCAAATGGGCTTCTGCCAACAAGAAGTTCAGCTCCATGGGTTTCCTTTTTAGGCGTCCCTTTGAAACCATGGCCGCTGTTTGGCCATTGGCTTCTGAGCCTTGAGTCCGGCTTCCACCGCACAAGTAGGACTCTGCCAGTGGCTGGTAAGAGAGGCGCGGTTTGGAAAGACCAATTCTGGTGTAGTTGGTCAATATGCACTGTTGGTCGGTACGGGCAGTGTAGCCCTGCAAACTCCATTCTCTATCAAGCCCGCACCCGGCTCCCTGGTTGCAACTCGGAGTTGGACTTTGGGTATTTTGGGGCTTGAAGCTTGGATTGCTCCCACATGCCACATGGGCGCCAAAGATACCCCTCTTTTTGAGTGATTCAAGTCGCCTTACCATTTTCCGGTTGGTTTCCTCGGGTGATGTGGGACATGCCTTCGTTTCACCTGGTCCCAGCGGTTCAACGGCACCCTCGGAATGTTTGGGGTTCACTGGCCCACCCTCGGGCCCGCAGATTTTCCCGAGGTTCACTGAGCTTGTTGCGTGTTCTTGCGGAAACATTTTGGCTATCCCTGGGCCACAACCAACACCCAGTAGTTGAGGTTAGTCAGGGAGAGTCCTGGCCAGAAATGGGTGCGGGAGTCCGGATTGTTGCGTCTTTGCATGCTTCAGGCATACCACGCAAATACCTGGGGTTGATTTCCCCACCCCATGAGGGGACACACTCCGGATCAACTCAGGTTGGGTTGCTGTCTGCATGTGGCGCTCTTATTTGCGTCTTGTTTGGCTTGGGTGGTTCATAGCAGACAAGTACAAACCAACACGTGCTCAAGTCGAGTGGCTTAGTTGATGAACGCTAGCTGAGCTAGTAAACAGGTAGTAATGGAACAACATGTCATTATGTTCAGTTAACTGCTCATCATTTATACACCTCAAGAAACAGGGCTAAACAAACATTTGTTCAAGGAGACACAGGAACGGTGGATCATAGGGAAAAGGTGTGACCATGATATATGTATACCTCATACATACATATATATATATATATGTATATATATATATACACATATATGTATATATGTATATATTTATATGTAGATGTGTGTCTATTCAACCAGTCGCTTCATGTGATTGACGTCCATTCGCCCGCCGCTTTTCCAACTCCGCTGGGCGCCTGCGGTCAAACCGCCAGGCAGCCTCAGCGCCGAGCCCCGGAAGCGCGAGCTGGCGGAGCTGTTGGTCTTCCACGACTACGCCCTCAAAGCGGCCAGGCGGGATCCATCCATCCGGCGATTTCTCCGAGCGCTCGAATCCGAACCCGACTAAAAAAAGGCTCTGGTGGACGGCTCAAGCTGGCCATCCGCTTCGGTGGACATAGCGTTTCCGTTTTTGTTTGTTTGTTTGTTTCTGTGTGTGTGTGTTGTTCTTTTTTGTTTTTTTTTGGCGGGGGGGTGGAAGAGGCGCTTCTTTTTTTAGTATGTGCGCGTTTTGTTTTTGTTTAAGGGGGGGTGCTTGCTTAAACCCTGCAAGGCCATTTTTGTGGGTGATGGATGGTTTTGCCTTTTTGGGGGTGACCTGAAAGGGCAAGTTGTGTGGGTGACTTTGTGCCACCTGGTATGCTGAAACCTAGCCCAAAACAAGGGGTATGTTTCGTGGATGAACACACACACACATGCGCATTTACGTGTGCCTGAGCTGTTTTCGATGTTCTGTCTTGATTCCCTTCACTCCGTGTTGATGCTTAAGCCCGAACAAGGAGTATTTCGTGGTTGAGCTTGAACACATTCATAAGGCTGGGTATTCGTTTGGTCGTTTGCTGGAAGCCGTGTTTTGGGGTGGCTTTAAAGGGGAAATCAAAAGAACCCCGACCTTTTTCTGGTGCTTCCTTTTCGAAGGGAGCCTAACCCGAATCAGGATTTCAGTTTAAGAAGGCTTGTTCAAGGCTAAATGTGGGGGGGGGCGCTCGCTCCCGTTCGATAACTTGCACCACCCAAGGACCTTTGTTTTTGCAAGGGTTGGATTTGTGAATCAGTGACGGTCATTTCTTAGGTCTGGCCCGTTCGGTTTTCCTTAAGCAAGCACTGGCAAGTTGATAACTTATTGCGGTATTTAATACATTTGCCTGTGTAGGACTTATCCTTTGTCTTCTTTTTTTCACGGTCGTGCCGGTTTTTCTTTTAGGCAAACCTGCCAACTTACGTACGACCTATTCTTTGTTGGCTCCATTTTTGATGGACGGCACTCTGAGATGTTCCTTCAATACATTGAACGTGTTTGTTTCACCAACGTTTTGTTGGTTTCCTGTGTTTTGCGTGATTACCTGATTTGGACACAGTGCTGCTCCCGTGTTCCTGCCTGGTTTCGCCTCTGATTTTTGGCACACAGACTTCCATTGCCTTCCAATTGGCTTTCTTCCAAGATGGTGTCCATTGCCACCAAGCCACGACCCGCAGAACACGATTGGGACAGCCACTACGTATGTACTGAATTTGGTTTTCTCCTCTAACTCTGGGTCCTGCTGGTGGCTGGTAGCGGAAATCATCTCAATCCTCAAAATCATGAAGCCGCAAGGGTAGACCAAGCCGCTTTCGGTTTGCGCTTTCCCACGCAGGGCCAACTTTCTACCTTTGCGATTGGGTCAGAATTGAGCCCTGAATTGTTTATCATAAGACCTGCAAACATCTCCTTTTTGCCAGTTTGGCAGAACCAACATTTCATGGGTGTTGGGCGCTGCTCAATTGCTTTCGCAGGTGCGAGCGCCGAAGCTGCGAGATCGTGCCCCAATACCACACCAAGTTCGACTTGACTCCCTCACTGCTTGTTTCCATGCGCAGCACAGATGGCAAGGTGCTGTTTGGGCGATTTTGGTGCCATGTGTTTGTTGCCTGTCTTGTGGATGTGTGTTGTGAGCATTATGATTTGGTTGTTTTGTCCAGGTTGTTTGATTTGTTGGCTTGTCGCTTTTTGGTCGGCCTCCGTATGCATGCGTGTGTGTGTGTGTGGGTAAAACAATCACCAGTTTCGGTACGATTGATCTCCTGAAGCTATGATGCGTGCGTTGTGTATCCTAAGTTGTGGACTTGATAGACATATTGTTTGGGCTCGTTTGGAAGCAGAGACATGGGAGCACTGTCAATCATCAATCGCAAGCATTCCTATGATGTCGAGGATTTTTTTCGTCATGTAGAACACTAGTCAGTTCACCACTGAGATATATGAATGATTCCTCACCAAAGTCCCATGTCATAAAGGCACGGAGATTGACCTTGACGGCGCGGCTATGCCTGTGGGTAGGTACGCTCGGCTCCCTTAAACCAAAGCTGGCAGGGAACAAATTGAAGACTCATTCTATTTATAGTTGTTTGGATCATCATTTACCTGCAGGATTTAGGGATTCCACCAAACTCCTGTCAGATTCAGTGCGCACGAGCACTCCTTTGTGGGGGCCATACAGCCGTGCGTGAAAGAAAGGAGTTCTGTCAACAGGTGATGCCCTGTGTTAGCGATTGCCCTCCCACCTACATGGAACTCACCAGAAGAGGAATATGGTTTTCCGGCAAGCCCGAATCAGATTCCATATTAATTAGTGGAAGGTGATTGACGGCCTGATCCTAAAACTCAGTTGTTCAGTGGCATCCTTATTCCCTCATTTTGGAGGCTGCCCCACTAAAAATGGTCTTCCCCAAAAGGGTTCCCCTTTTTTCCAGGGTCACTGAACAATTGAGAAAACATGATTCTTGCTGAATGCGCCACAAAGACGTGGCCTTGAAGGTGCTTTTGCATTGGGCGGCCATCTATGGAATCTACAAAGACGTGGAGTGGCTACTGGTCCAGGGCGCGCCGCGCGGCGAGAAGTCGTTCGAAGGACTTGCCTTAGGTTTGCCAAGGACAGGGCCTACTACATCATGGCTACATCATGAACCTTAAAGGGGTGTGTGGGGAAGGGGGGGCGGGGGTGGGGGGTATCACTTGTTGGGTCAAGAACAAATCAACTTCAATTATTGTCATAGGGACAGAATGGCAATGTCGTTTTTGCCCTTCACATTATTTCCCTTTTTGCGTGTGTGGGTGTGTGGGTGTGTCGGTGTGTGCGTGCGTGCGTGCGTGCGTGCGTGCGGGGGGCAGTGGGTCGCTTAGGCGTCGCGCGAATGGTTCGCTTAGGGATCGCGCAAATGGATCGCTCCGGGATCGCTTTTTGCAGAAGTCTTATCGCGCATGCATGCGTGTTGATATGTTAGCCTGGCGATGTATGTTTGCTATTTTTTAATCCGGTAGAAGAGTTGAGCGGATATGCCTATCATCCCACCCAGCCCCCCGCCCCAGAACCATGTTATTTTGTAATCCGGTAAAAGAGCAGGCTGGTCTGCAGCAGTTGAGCGGGTGTGCCTATCATGCCCCCCACCCAAGCCCCCCCCCCTCAGAACGATGTTGTTTTGTACTCCGGTAAAAGAGCAGGCTGGTCTGCAGCAGTTGAGCGGGTGTGCTTGTCATGCCCCCCCCCCCCCCACCCCCTCCCCAGAGCCATGTTACTTTGTAATCCGGTAAAGGAGCAGGCTGGTCTGCAGCAGTTGAGCGGGTGGCTTATCATACCAACCACCCCCACCCCCTCCCCAGAGCCATGTTACTTTGTAATCCGGTAAAGGAGCAGGCTGGTCTGCAGCAGTTGAGCGGGTGTGCTTATCATCCCCCCCCCCTCCCCAGAGCCATGTTACTTTGTAATCCGCCCCCCCACCCTCCCCAGAGCCATGTTACCCGAGCAGGCCTGCAGCAGTTGAGCGGGTGTGCCCCAGAGCCATGTTACTTTGTAATCCGCCCCCCCCACCCCCTCCCCAGAGCCATGTTACTTTGTAATCCGGTAAAGGAGCAGGCTGGTCTGCAGCAGTTGAGCGGGTGTGCTTATCATTGCCCCCCCCCCACCCCCTCCCCAGAGCCATGTTACTTTGTAATCCGGTAAAGGAGCAGGCTGGTCTGCAGCTGTTGAGCGGGTGTGTTTATCATCCCCTTGAGCGGGTGCGCTTATCATACCAACCACCCCCACCCCCTCCCCAGAGCCATGTTACTTCGTAATCCGGTAAAGGAGCAGGCTGGTCTGCCGCAGTTGAGCGGGTGTGCTTATCACCCCCCCCCCCACCCCCTCCCCAGAGCCATGTTACTTTGTAATCCGGTAAAGGAGCAGGCTATTCTGCAGCTGTTGAGCGGATGTGCTTATCACCCCCCCCCCCACCCCCTCCCCAGAGCCATGTTACTTTGTAATCCGGTAAAGGAGCAGGCTGGTCTGCAGCAGTTGAGCGGGTGTGCTTATCATACCATGAGGGCAACCAAACAATGTTGTACATCGTTTTTGCAGAAAAAGGTATATTAAATCAGTGTGCGCTAAAAAGCGGTGTTTGAAAAACATACGAGTATCTCTATAAAGCCGTAACGAGGTGTTGTGCAGTGTCTGTGTGTCAAAAACAGCCTGGGATTAACCCCCCCCACCCCCTCCCCAGAGCCATGTTACTTTGTAATCCGGTGAAGGAGCAGGCTGGTCTGCAGCAGTTGAGCGGGTGTGCTTATCATCCCCCCCCCCCCCACCCCCTCCCCAGAGCCATGTTACTTTGTAATCCGGGAAAGGAGCAGGCTGGTCTGCAGCTGTTGAGCGGGTGCGCTTATCATACCAACCCCCCCCCACCCCCTCCCCAGAGCCATGTTACTTCGTAATCCGGTAAAGGAGCAGGCTGGCCTCCCAGAGCCATTTTACTTTGTAATCCGGTAAAGGAGCCGGCTGGTCTGCAGCTGTTGAGCGGGGGTGCTTATCATCCCCCCCCCCCCACCCCCTCCCCAGAGCCATGTTACTTTGTAATCCGGTAAAGGAGCAGGCTGGTCTGCAGCAGTTGAGCGGGTGTGCTTGTCATACCAACCCCCCCCCCCACCCCCTCCCCAGAGCCATGTTACTTTGTAATCCGGTAAAGAAGCAGGCTGGTCTGCAGCTGTTGAGCGGGTGTGCTTATCATCCCCCCTCCCACCCCCTCCCCAGATACTTTGTAATCCGGTAAAGGAGCAGGCTGGTCTGCAGCAGTTGAGCGGGTGTGCTTATCATACCAACCCCCCCCCCCCCCTCCCCACCTCCGTCATCAATGAATGTGATCCCTAAGTGATCCGTGAATGTGATCCTCAAGTGAGCGTGTATCCCTAAGTGACCGTGATCCCTAAGTGAACCGTTTGAGCGATCCCTAAGTGACCTGCTTGCCGCGTGCGGGCGGGCGGGCGGGCGGGCGGGCGGGCGGGCGGGCGTGTGTGTGTGTGTGTGTGTGTGTGTGTGTGTGTGTGTGTGTGTGTGTGTGTGGTGTGTGTGTGTCGTGTGTGTGTGTGCGTGTATTTGTGTGCGTGTGTGTCTGTATTTGTGTCTTTGTGTATTTGTGTATTTGTGTATTTGTGTGTTGGAACTATAGGGAACGTTTTGGCCACGGCCACGGGAGGGTTGGGAAGATAGGGGTGTCTTTTAGGCCAAGTTTGCCACAACGGGCAGGAAATTAGCTTGACGTTTGTTGATTTGCCTTTGCCACATGTTCTTGACATCTCAGTTGTTCAGTGGTGGCTGCCCCACTCAAAATGGTCTTCCCCAAAAAGGTTCCCTTTTTTTCCAGGGTCACTGAATGCCTCCAATTGCCGAGCTACAAGTAGCTTCTACAAGTGGCGGCCTCTTACTCCACCTAAGAGGCTGAGCTGGGGGAATTTCCCGGCCTAGGAAGCCAAGGACGAAGCCCTAGGCGCTATGAAGGTTCGGGTTTGACAGGTGGGTGCAGGATCCAAGTAAGCGGCTGGACATCAGACTGCAGTAGCGGAAGGTTTGTGGAAGGGTTTGCCTCGCGGACGCGTCGCGGATAGCTGATGTATTAAACAACGTAAACTTACTGTGGTTTAGAAGGATGATGTATGAAACAACACAATTTTGCAATAGTTGCATACTTTCTGTGAATGATTTGGGTCATTGTGTTTGAAAGGGGTTGCCCATGCGAGGACAGATGGAAAGACCAACGGGGGCAACTTTGTCAAAATAGGAGCAACAGACCTACAGCCTTCCATTTTTCAGGCGGATTTGCGGGCAAGCTTCGCGGAAGTCGAGCCCTCCAAACCGGGGTAGCCTTTCCATGGCAACCACAATAGGGTCAGCAGCCAGCAGTGCATCTGATGTTTCAGCAACACTAAAACAGACCGCGCCGCTGCTTTGACTGTCTGAGCGTTCCTGTCGCGTCCTGCTGCAAAAGGACTTGTGCGACTGCACCAATAGAATAGAACCCCAAAATCAACCACACTGTGGCGACGGAAGGGACATGCCCGCGGAAGCCCGTAGAGGCAGTTTTGACTCAAACATGTCTGCGGGAGCAACGGTTCACACGCAAGGGTTCGCGGAGGATTGATAGAATGTCATCATAGAAAGAAACCAAGACAAAGCTCAGGTGACGACCAAGCCCGCCCCCGTAGTTGCCCCTCTCGAGGTCTTGTTTTCGTTGCCAGACTTAGCTGGCATTTGTTGTTTGTTGTTTGTTGTCTCCTGTTTGGCTGCTCTTCGTTCTCCCAATTAATCGGTAAGTTGAGTTGCTGCAAGGGCTCGAAGTCTAAGATCGTCCGCGCCCCAATGAGATGAACCCTGGGTTCGCGTCTTGGCTACCCTTGGTTTCAAGGGAAACCAAAAGAAAACCCGGCAAAGGTTAAGTTTCCTTGGCACAGATGAGTCTGACACTAGTCTGTTGCCCGATTTACTGAGCACCAACACAGACCTCCAGGGTGCCAGGGTCATTTTCCCCCAGAGACGCATTGGCTTGTCAGTTCTTCCCAAAAGGCCCAAAAGGAGCATTGTAGCTCAATGGGTCAACTGGCACCAGCCCAAATGGGCATGTGTCAGAATTAAACCGCCAGGATATGGACCGCAAGTTTTAGTCTACTTCTCCATTTACCAGGGTACCTGTTTTTGACCCGCAGCCAAATGTGATTTCCCCTTTTGACGTGTCAACATGATTCGTTTTGGGGTCTGGAGGCCAGCTTCGAGATCATGTGTCTAGCCTTTTAATGTCTGAGGAAGCTGGACGTCGTCGACCAGCTCGCCTTCCAGGATTTCAGATTTACCATCTTGGCACCCTCCAAGCAGAAGCTGGAAGAGGCCGGAAAGCATTCAATGGATCTGGACCATGCTTGTGGGACATGTTTCTTGAGTGATTCGATGCGACAAAGTAGTCATACGGATGGTTCACACTGTTATCACAAAGCTTATTTCCCACAAGCACAGGCCGATGGAACGATTGATCAAAGGTTGCCGAGGGTTTCGGCTCAGACCCACGTCAACTGAGTCAGTCCTTTGGTAGTTCTGGCGCAGCCAATGAGACTGACAACTCACCTAGAAATGTCCCATATAGCTATTTGTCAAAACAGGGGATCCTAGATACTGTAGTTGGTCCAGTTTTGGCTTCCCTTGTTTCACCTGTTGGCGTACCAAACACGCAACTTGAGAGACACCCGCACACACAACTCGCAGGAGTACGGAGCAGACAATATCCCCTTCCCCGAGTTCTGCTGCCAAAAAGCCCCCAGGCTCGATGTCGCGATGTGTCGAATCGAGTTGCGGCAGTCCTACTTAGATGCTTCATGCATCTCTGTGACTGTTCGACTCTCGACGGAAGTGCCATGCGACTTCGCATTTTTTTTTGTTTCAACCATTTGTTGGGAGTGATTTCAGGGTCATTTCAAGGGTTTATGTCTTGCTTGAATCTTTAAGCCATTTTTGGGCGGATCTCTTGAGTCTGTCTGTATGAATTCAGAAGGGTCCACGGTGCAATGTTTGGGTGCGCAATATGATGAGCCTAGTCTTTGGCCTCTCTGAACTTCGAACATTCCCATTTTGGGGAGCCAGGGGTGAAGGTCGGGGGGGGGGGGGGCGTCTTCAAGCCCTGCCAAGATGCAACAACAGCTGAGCGGTCTAAGTCCCCTGCATTTGAAAACTAATACGAGGCGAAAACGATTGCCTCATCAAACCCTGTCAAAAAGCGCCTCTCATGCCGAGACAGTCCAAACAACGCGAAAAACAACAGCAAAAACAAGCAAACCCACACAAGCACCTCCTGAAATTCGGCCCCTTCCTAAAAAGCTAACAAACAAGGATACTCTAAGGCCTAAAGTGGCTTGTACGGGGTGGTTTTCTTTGAATTTGATGATCCTAAGGAAGTGTTTCAGAATGTGTCAAGCATGTAGCGCGGTGCAATAGCAAGGCCGTGACGTTTGTGGCACGCGTGGAACTGGCGATCGCTCCGTTTTCGGCCGAGTCAAGCAAAACGGATCTCTCGGATCGCACGGAGTGCTCGCGAGAGGAAGCCCTTCAGCACCATGCATTCATCTCCCATGCAGGACGGGGGTGGGCCAAAATGTCTTGAATGTTGACCACGGATGAATAACCCCTGTTTATAGATATGGCGGTGTTCCTCTCCAAAAGGTGATAGATTTCCACTAAAACCAGAAACACCCCCCCATATTAATAAGCAGGGGTTTATTAATCTGGGGTATTAATAGGGGGGCGTGTCACGGGATTTAGTGGGGAAGCATCACTTTTGGAGGGGAACACCCCCCTAGTAACAAACTGGGGTTGATTCATATGGGGTGAGCATTATTGTTTCCCCCCTTCTCAGAGTGTTGGCTGGAGCATGTGTTTCACAAAATTGTGTGCTGGATTCCTGGACCCCGCCATCTAAGAGCTAAGAATCATTTAAGCAATCCAGAGTTTTGTTCAATAGTATCCGGTGCTTCCACTCACCAGACGAAACTGGCATAACAACCCTGCAGGACATTCCTGCCTGGCTGCGCCAGGAGCGGGATGTCGCGACACAGACATGGTCTGCGCAAGTCCGCCATGCTAACTCTGGGCGGCTCAGATTTTCTCTTCCTAGGTCCCCCAGCTAGGTGCCCTTTTTCCGTTTCTTTTTTTGGGGGAGGGTTCCGCTACTAAAATCGACTACCAAAAAAAGGGTACCCTTATTCTAACCTCTTATGGAGGACCTAGTTTCTGGCGGATTTGAACATCGCCTTTTGGTTACTAAAGAAAGTTTCCTTTTGAGGTGTTGTTGGGTGAAGGGAGCGCTGTCCTAGCACCTTGGGGCCATCACCAAAAAAAGCACGCTGATTCCGGGGAGGATTTCACCTGCCGGGAGTTTTTAAACTTGGGGGCTCCTTTGTGGTATCTTGCAAGGCGGCACCGGGGCCCAACCAGGGGCCATGTGTTTGCTCCCTTCGAAGGTGTGGACCCTTTGAGGAATTTGCTGCTCGACATGGGGAAACGAGGTGTTTTTTTGTGGTTGCCAGGGAATGCTCTTTCAAGTGTTCAAGTGGTAGGTGAAATTGTTTCCTTTTTTGGGTTTCACTATTTTGCATGCCGCCTTTCACATATCGTCACTCCTCAAGTTCCCAGGAACCTCTCCCTCATTTTGGTGCTTTCCCAAATGAGGTTTGAGCGCTTTGGAACTTTGGTGGCTTTTGGCGATCATGACAAGGCGGGAATCCCGAGTTATGTTCAAGACCCGTGGTTGCAGGTATAAGCAACTGCACTGGACAACGGGCTCCATGCGGCTGCGGGTCAAAACCAATGCCACCCATTTTAGAACCTATAGTGGGGATTGGGATGTTTACTAAGGGAAGCGGATTTTGATCCACGGCCATTTGAGCATGGACTCCATGCGCTTGCCCTGGGCGTAGTGCCTTCAGCGCCGAGCCTTCGCTCAGTCAAGTTTGCGGCAGTTGACGCGGGCTCAGACCTTCGGGCTGCGAAAGAGATCTTGGGCGAGGTCGATTTGCGACCCGCGTTGTGGTCATGACGTGAATACCTGGAGCCCGAAAACGATGTGTTTAGTCAAAAGGAGTTTCCCGATAAAAAACAAACAGTTCATATGGCCAAGTAGGTTGTTTCTTTGGCTGGTTTACTATTTTACCGACAAAATACAATGGTGTTTTACAGGAACACCAGCCCATGTTTTGGCAAAGCCCTGAAACCGTTCACTTGACGGGACCCAGCACAGATTCCCAATTGGCCTTTGTCACCCGTCAGGATAACGTCTCGGAGGTTGTGACCCTCAAGGCGTGGGAACTTGGGGCGCTTCGCTGCGCTGAAGCCTTCTTTGGGTCTTAGGGACCTGGGTCCCCCTGGCTTGGGTAGGAGAATATTGCAAGCGGTTCTGGCGCCCCCCCCCCAAAAAAAAAACAAAATGCTGTTTGTGTCTCTGGATGTAGCAAATAGTCTTGGAGTTAGAGCTTGCACCTTGAACATTGTTCAAGTGATAGATCCCCACTAAAACCAGGGACACCCCCATATTAATAAGCAGGGGTTTATTAATCCGGGGTCACCATCATGCATCTCCAGGCCTATGAAGAGGATTCCAGCAACTGGCACTTCCCCCGTGAGGAACAGTGCATGTCAGCGCTTTCGCATGCCAACCACGGGAATCGATATGGTGAAACCCCAAACACCATTGAGCGATCAAACACGTTGTGTAAGAGTCCCGGGAAATCTAAGGGATGGGCATCCGCGCTTATCAGGCTCCAGCTTACGAGTTGTTCAGAGTCCAGAGTCCAGCTTCGAGGTCTGCTTCCAGCGCCCGGAGCGCTTCGACTCCTTCCGCTGGCCGGGCGGAGGAGAGGAGAGCCCGCGGGGCTCCGCGGCGCCGCGGCCGCCAGGCGCGAGAAATGGCCAGAGGAAAGGTGAACCCTGACATATGTACTATGGGTGTGTCTTTTTTGTAGACCCCCCAAAATGGTGGTTGTCCTTTTGGTGTTTACCACACAAAGACGGGTTGGCCAAAAAACAAGACAGACAGACCCATAATATGGCCGTGGGTGGATCCCATTTTTGGGGTGGGTACAGGGTTTTGACCCACAGCCAAATGTCAGATGTTTTTTGGCCATTTGGTTCTCCCCTCTGTGTCAATATGTATATCCACCAAAACCATATATAGCAACAGTTTCACGTGGAACCCGCAAAAAGAGATCTCCCAAAAGGAGATTCTTCTGAAAGAAGTAAACTGTGGGGGAGTAAGTGTCGAAATTGGGGGACGCCCAGAATGGTGGTATTCCTTTCGGCTCCGCAATTTTCGTCAAGGCCAAAGTGTACCAGGGTACCATTAGGACACACACACACAAACACACAAGTTGTCAATAACCAGGGTTTGGGCAATTCAACTTAACAACATGTTTTTATGCTTATTGTTTTAACAACCTCCTGTGGTTTTCTCTTGAAAGCGGGCCAAAGGCGGAATGCTTAAGCATGTAGCCTTCCAAACCAATGCCTTAGGTTCTCTCATTTCGCCTCAGCATATACTACTTTTGGTGCATCACGCTCTTAGCCGTTAGGTCTGTTAGGGGGTCCTTGAGGAGTTGTAGGGTCCCTGACGAGGCTTGGAATTCTTCTTGGCCGAATGGTTTGGGTTGAAAACGAGGTGAGCTTTCAAATTGGGTTTACAAGCCAAATGGCGGCCAAGGGGTGTCCTTGATTGCCGCTCCAGTTGCGCCACAGGCTCAACACGGGAGTCGTCCAAAAGAAAAGGAGATTCCTGTCCAAACGGCATGGTTTGAAGAGAAGCCACAACTAACCCCACCTTTTGGGGGATCCCCCCAATTGTGACACATACCGACCATGATGTGTTGTTGGGTTTTGCTGCATTCTGTAGCCCCATTTCTTTGCCCAACTGAAAGCTTATTTGGGAGAACAAACTGGGTGTGGTTGGAGAAGTTGGTTGTTTTAATTGCAGCACCAAGCCGGAGGTTGAACCGAAGTCCGGAAGGGGCCGAAATCAGTTTGGGCAAGAGCCTGGTCTCCCTTTGAAAGTGTGGATGGTCGCAGAATGCTTAGAGAAGTTAATTCATGTTACGTGTACCGAAACCTTGGTGTACACTAAGCGCTGGTTTCCTGTGTGGTCCAACTCCTTTTCTAGTTTGTTGCTCAAGGCTCTGCTTTGTTGCTTGCGTTACATGCCGGTTTTCCAGGCAGAAAGTTAGAGGCGGTCCTCTTGTTCAGGCCAGCGCCATCAAATAGCTGCTTTTCAACCATGTTCAGATCGCCATGTGTCATGCAAACCCACTGTGCTCCTGAGTTTCTGAACTTTCTGCTTTCTAAAGGACCTCTTGACAAAATACTTTCCCCCTATTGTAAAATGCACCCCTATTAGCGTATGATCCTGTTTCTTTCCAGGCGGAAACCCAAAACCGACCCCGCCTCTTATCCTATTGATTGACCCAGTACTGCTAACCCAATACAAGACTCCTGACAGCCCTTATCAGGGCGTATTTTCAGCAAATCGTTTCTTTCTACATGTCAATTCAATTGTAAATTGTAACTGCAGTTTTGCCATTTGGATTGAATTGACAAATCCAAAAACAGTGCCATGAGCATTTCAGGTTTCATTCCTTACTCGGACGATTACGATGCTGAAGGTTTTGCGCCGTGCCAGGGGGGGCCATTCCATTCGGATAAGAGCTTGGACTTTGTTTGGTTTAAGTCAGGAAGCGCGATAGATACCCTTCCTCCAACTAACATGGCACCTGTGGGGATATACCTGGAAGATGAATTTCCTTTTGAAGGGACCCCCTGTCAGTTGTCATGTTAGTGGGAGGAGGGTAATTGGGGAGGGCCTCCGAAAGGCAATTACCAAACATCGCTTTCGCCCGAAGGGCAGCAAAAAAGAACCATTTCGCGATGACTACTAAATGGGTGTGGGTCAAAATTAAACCACCAGGGGACCACAGGTTTTGGTCCATGTTGCCATTTACCAGGGTTCCATTTTGGGTACCTATTTTTGACCCACAGCCAGCAAAAAACAAATGTTGTGACATGCACCCCGCCTCCCCATGAACACCAAGGGGATAGCAACTAGAAAGTCCCTAAACGGGGGGTTCGAAAGTGGATTGCTCCTCTTATGTCGCCTGGGCCTCCCAAACATGAACCATGACTGTGGCTCGGCCCATGGGGGGCCATCGTTGCAGAAAGGCATCCGACTTCGCAAGATGGTTTGACACAGCGGCTCAAGGTATTGGGCTCCCAGAAACTAACTGCCTTTACTTGGTGTTCAGAGGTATACCTTGGGGTCGCGGGGGCCCTTGGGTACAAAGACATCTCCTGAGGATTCCATAGCTCCATTGAAAACGCCGTAGGGAAAAAAAATCCCGGGAGCCCGTCCCGCAAGGCTTGAGCAACTACAAATATGCGCCCATGGTCATGACCAGATTTGGATTTGGGATTTCCACACGGCTCAAGGATAAAAGGGATACACCGCGATACAATCAGAATAATTGTTGGCGAGCTCACCATGTTAAAGTAAAACGAGCTCACCATGTTAAAAACCTTCTCTTTACTTGGGGATCCCTTAGTTCAGGTTTTGGACATATTGCAACACATGCGTATTATGCACTCCCCCTGCGCGCGACTCGCGACTCGCAGGCCTGTCCGAACACTACTGGGTCATGGAGGCCAGACGTTCCTCAGATGGCCTTCCCACCAAGGACGGGCCTCAAAGTTCAGAGACACAAGTCCGGATTTGCCGGCCATGGAGGGTCAGATTTAGATCCAGTGCACGGGGTGTTAAGGTGTTCCAGGCCCCTTTGGATCCTTGCTGGCTCCAGGTTCGACCTTGCCTTGTGCCTTTTCAAGGGGATATAAAGAAGGCCCCCCTCCCAATTTTGACCATCTGTTAGCTGTTTGTTACTTGAAATTGCAAGCCTCATTCAGGTTTCCCTTTCCCGGGCGTCACGGTCTCGTACGATCTAGTCTAGCGCTTCCCGCCAATCTGGGCAAACGATAGCACACTCACCGAGGGCCTCACCCACAATGAAGGCTTAATGGGGTTAGCTGCTTTGTTCTAGATTGGTGAACTACTAGTTGTTCTCCCAGTTTAATGTACACGGAAGAGCATGGGAAAGCAATTAGATCTCAGGATGACCGTTGGCGTGCTGCCAGCCACCAGTTGATTATTCACCCAGATACCGCTGGGTTTGGTTTGCGTGGTTTGTTTGCTTGTTTCCCTATTGAGATCAATGGCAAGTCATGGCAAGTCATTCATCATCGGCGGGTGGCGCGCTCGGGATGGATCAGCGTGGCAGCTCAGCAGCTTCGGTTGCGCGATGGGGTCGGGCCCAAGTGTGGCCTTACAAAGGCTTAGCTTTGCAGGCTTGCTTTACCAGAACCGCCCCACCTGTAAAAGGGCTTGATTAATGAAGATGGAGGAGTGGGGTACTACGACACCAAATTGTGTCATGGTCATGCGGCAATGCTGAGTCTACTGCATGGTCGAAAAGCCGTTGGCCCTGAGGAAGACTGGATGCTCTTGAACCTGCGGGTGAAAGATCTGGTGCCCACGCAGGAGGACTGGTCCCCGGTTTTCTCTTCTGCGTCCCAGGTGCCCTTCTCTCCCAACTTTTTGGAGGGTTCCCCTACTAAAATAGACAGAAAACAGTTGGTTCTAAGCTCCAAATCTGGAGGTTCTGCAGCGGAATGTCCGGGAAGACCTGCCGAATGCCCCAAGTTTGGCTTTGGAAAAAGGACGAGTCTGGGGCAGAATGCCCTTGGAAATATTCTAGATTCTATAGGCTAGGGCACCATCCGTTAAACTCATGGTTGTTTTGATGCACTTCCGGTTGTTAATTGAATGTATGTCTCAGGTCATCCTTATAGTGGTTTGGATGGTTTGGGGATTTGAACCCGTGATTCCTGTGGGTAAATGGGAAGTCGCTCCGAAACACCTCCAAGCTCCAAGCCAATTGGGAAGCTGACAGGTTCAGCCCCAGAACTTGGACCCAAGCCGGCGGAAGTCGCCTGGCGAAGGCTCCATAGCTCAGGCGCCGTTTGGCGGCATCTGAAAATCCATCGCTTGGAAGAGGTGGAGACGTTGCCAATGTTTTCATCTGCTTTGTTCCGTGACGATTGGCCCTCAATGTTCCGATTTGTCCAGCTTCAGCTCACCCCTGCCAACATGTGGACTTTCCATGGCGGTCGTTTTTGCGAAAAAGAAGCTGTCCGCAGACTGTTGCTTCCTGCTTTGTTCTGGTTTGTTCCCCGCTACACCAACATGAAACCAACCTGTTGTGGTCTTGTTTGGGCCCCTATGCTTGAAAATACCCCTGTCCAAATTTGAGGGTCGGAACCCACAAAACTTTCGGGGTGTGTGAACCCCCCTTTTTTCCGCAGTGTCCTTCTTTGGCAAGGAATGGCTTCCATTTGCATGAGAATAGTTGTCCTTTTCGTTTCAAGGGAATCCATCACTAGTGGACACATGTTTCTGTCTTTTTAGGGGCAGAAGCAAATGGAAGACAGGCAAAGGCACACCATCCAGAAGGCTTCCCCATGAGACAAGCTCACCCGTTTTCCCGTCATCCCAAGCCTAAGGCGCTGGAAGTGGATGCACGCAGGCTTCCTATGACGAACCCCTCCCCCCAATCCCAAACAGAGCCTTAGGCCGGCTTCATTGGGGCTATTCTAGGACTCCTGTTTTGGCCGGGGGGGGGGGGGGCTGCACAAACATTGGATGCAGGACAATGCCACCTATTGGGGTGGCTACACGCAGATGCAAACCTTCCGCACGCCTTTCGACTATGCTGCTTGGATGTGGCAACTGGTTGTGCTGTGGCTAGTGCTGCTGTTTGTTATGTTCATGGCGGTTTGGGCATTTCCCAGTTCAAACTGTTGTTTGGGTATGGGTCAAAATAACACCACCAGGGGACCGCATGTTTTAGTCTTTGGCTCCATTTACCAGGGTTCCATTCTGGGTACGCACAGCCATTTGCTAGGATTTGTTGATTGCGTGTTTGCATCGGTTGAGGAGTTGCACCTGCTTGTCGTTATTGCGGGGGGTTAGCAACAGAGAGCATGTTCTGCTGACTGCAAGTTTTTGTAGCACAGACTAACCCCGAGACTGCTCCTGGTGTTGTTTTTAGTGTTGGTGAAGCCGACGAGCCCCCAGCACGTGAATTAGTCGAAAACCTGGTTCACCCATGATGGAGGTCTTTGTCTTGCTCATTTCCATAACCGAGCGGCTATACTTGGGTCAATTGAAGCAGACCGTCACTCTCCTTAAGTTTGCCACTTGGCCGCTGGGGTATACGTGGGTCTATGGGCGATCATCGCAGCGACGCGAGTGTGTGTGTGTGTGGTGTGTGGTGTCTGTTTGGTTTTTGCGGACAACCTGTGCCTGGTTGGTTTAAATGGAAACACAAGCACAACCTGCATTTGTGTAATGTACAGCTGTTTTGACACCCAGGTATCATACAGTGCCGAAGAGCCGTACCAGTCTCATAAGTTTGGATTGGCAGACTCCTGCCGAGGCCCTTCGACCAACGCAACATATCTATTGCGAGCTCACCTGGAGGTAAAGCAAGCTAAAACCGACGAAGAGCCTTCACTTGCCGGTCCAAGGTTGTTTTTGTCAGGTTTTGCGACAGTTGGGTGTGTTGGTCAAACTTAAACCACTAGCGGACCGCAGGTTGTAGTCCATGTTTCCATTTACCAGGGTTCCATTTTGGGTACCTTTTTTTGACCCACAGCCAGTTGAACAGATGATAATTCTCTTACAAACGGGGGGTTGCAGTGCGTTCGGGGGGGGTTGCAGGAGCTATGAACCCAACTCGCCGATTGCCTCATTAAACATTCAGCATCCCACTTGGCCACCCGTCTCGGGCCACAAGGTCAAGTGGACTTCCATGGCAGCCGTTGCGTGCCTTTGGGGACTTCTTGACTTCCCCAAATTGATGGACCCCCCAAAACACATCCCCTCCCAAAGCAAAGTAACAATAGCAATAATGATGATGATAATAATAATGATAACAACACTAATAAGAATTATAACGATAATGCAAGTCCGAAAAAGAAAAACAACTCCGAGGCCCTGGAGTTCGCCCCCACCAACTCCGACGCCGACCGCGCGGACGACAGAACCGAGCGCACGGACCGGGAGGAGCGACGGGAGGCGCAGCAGCGAGGGGACATGCAGGCGGGCGGGGCCGTGGGGGGAGCGCCGGCTGCGGCTTCTTTTTTTTGGGGGTTGTTTTTTGCCATTTTTCCAATTTGGTTGTTTTTGTTTTCTCATATATTTTGTTCTATGTTATACAGGGCTCCTCAAAAGATACAGTTTGCCCATTTGAAACATGGCTTTTTCCACCAGAATACAGGGAAACCACCATTTACAAGGCAATGTTCAGGTGTATAATGTAAGGATCCCTGTTATACTCATGGGTGTGTGCGTGTGTCAAAATCGTGGCATGGGTATATACTTCGGTGCATTTTGCTTGGATGTTAGGACTTTGACTTTTTGCCAACTAATGGGTTTTCCATTCAACCACTAAAAGTTAAACTTTTAGCAGGGGAGCAGAAGGCAACCGAGGGTAGGCGTCAATTTAGGAAACCCCACAAGATGTTGCTCTGGTCGTCCCTTTTGTCTGACCTAGAGAAGAAGGGTTTCGGAGATGGACACATGGAGCCAAACAAAAGCAAGTGGAAAAGAACCTGCCTTGTTTGAAACCCCTCCTAGATTTCAATTATTTCAGATTGTGTCTGGTCATTTGCAGGAGAGCAACGCCTCAGTACCGTTGTAGTTGATTCCGCATGAGTTGCATGGCTTGCGGGTTCCGCTTACGCCTTTAACTCTTCCGGGGGGGGCTAACATCAGGATCCTTGGGTGCATAAACACCATGATTTTTGCCCCGCCCCCCCCCCCCCCCCGCGAAGGGATCTTGATAGGAGGAAACTGTTGTGTGAACAAGAATAAGGGATTTTGATAGGAATATCACCATAAGTTTTGTTTCTCCCCCCCGAAGGAAACTTCCAAGGGGGTTGGTACTCATTTCCAAACCCCACTTCGCACGTTGTTTTGTGGTGGCTACGGGAACCTGAGAAGGAAACTTCACAGAGTCCACAAAGACCTGTCGACAACATGGAAGGGGTTTCAACAAGTGCACCCGAAAACCACCGAGTGGTTTGGTGTTATTTGTTTGAATCCTCCCCACTGGGTGATTCACCCTTCTCTTCACGCATCCTTGTACTACTTCACAACGAGCACGTTTCCTGAAAAGCTGAATTCTTAAAGAAAATGGTACGCTGTGTGGCGCTGGGGCCGAATAGCCTGTGATTTGTCATTCCAATGATGTGTCATGTTCCAAAGAGAGATACCAAGGGGATGAGTATGCTCCAGATGTTTTTGCAGACCCCCTCCCTATTTGACATCCGAGTTTCTTTCTCAACATGGGTATGGGTCAAAATTTAGCCACCAGGGGACCGCAGGTTTTGGTCCTTGGCTCCATTTACCGGGGTTCCATTTTGGGTGCCCAATTTTGATCCACAGCCACATGAGGATGTCGGGTTTTCTGACCAAAGTGGGACCCCCGCTTCAAGCTGTGGACCTTTTGGCCAAAAAGCTTCCGATGGCTTCCATGCCTGGACGCCGGCATGGACGGTTCCCAGGCATGAAGGCCGCAGCCCTCCATGTTTTAATAGGCCACCCAAGGGGTGGATGTCATTTAGGCCAATTTAGGCGAAGATATGCGGTGAATTATGTCCACGTCTGAGCCTTTGAAGTGGTTCCATGTAAAAACTCAATATGTCACATTCGGTGTGGGATTGGGAGGGGTCGCCCTCTAACATGCAGCCTGCAAAGGGTGTCGGAGGTCCGGGCAACCTGAAAGACAGCGGGCCTCCCTCAGGCTTGGGTTACACGTCGTATTCTGGTGTCCCGTAAGACAACCCATGCCCAAAACTGGGCGTGCGCATTACCACAATCAAAACCCGGGTAGATGAAGGGTAGTAAGAATCCCAGCCATAGTTGCGGCCGCCTTCGTATTTCCTTTCATGGTTCTGGGTCAACCATGGTCAACCATCATGATACCGGGTTTTGATTGTGACTCATTTGGGTGTGGGTCAAAATTAAGCCACCACAAAACCGCAGGTTTTAGTCTTTGGTTCCATTTACCCAGGTTCCATGTTGGGTACCTATGTTTGACCCACAGCCATTTGATGATTTTTTGTTTGAGGGTACCCTTTTCATGCGGATTTGAAGGGACATCAGGACATCCAACAACCATGTGCCTGGCGCGGTTCCATGCTAGGCGAGGTCCATGACGGCGGAGCTGGGCAATTCTTCGCGCATGCTGCCGGCACATGCGCAGGTGTGCAAGTGTCCTGGCCGCCAAAAAAACAACTTGGACATGTGAGTTACTTGGCTGTGGGTCAAAACCCAGGAAACCCCTGGTGAACATCAAAATAGGCGGCAAATGGATGTTCATCCACCCCAAAATGGAGCCATGGGTTATGCCCCATGGGCACTTGATGCTTCTAAGTTTACTACCCTTTTATCAGGATCATAGCAAGCACCATATAAACCATTTGTTTTCCCATTCTTTGAACCATAGACTTATTTGTGAAGGGGTGTCTTCCCATACCAGCGTTAGAGGCCCCCCGGTCTATGGCCAATGGGCACTGCAGGGGATGGACACTCGGATCCGGCGACTTCCATTGGACCCATCTGGAACTGAACTTTCCTCTCTTTGCTCGGGGTTCCTCAAGCCTCCATTGACGTGTCCAGATGGACTGCCAGGCCGAAAACTGGCTGAAAAAATACAACCGCAACCATCACGACCCATCACCCTGAAAATTGCGGAAGCATCGAGTGAGCCAAGGGAAGGGGTTGCCTTTCAGCAGTCCCTAGGCAGTCCCGATACATCCTTCTGCCCTGCCCAAAAAGAGCGACTTGAAACCTTTGGGGAGTCCATTTCGTCTGCAGAGTGTTGGGCCAGCTCAGCATGACTAAGGTTCTTTACTTGGGGATCCCTTAGATCAGCTTTTGGAATTATCGTAAAAAATTGCAGATTTCGTGGCAATTCGAAGAAGACTGGGACTTTCGGTTGGCTAATCCACTCGATCGGTGGGTCTCAGAAGCTGAGGCTACTCATCGAGAAGGCGCTGGAGATAGAGAAGCAGGAGTCAAATCGCCGCGTGTTTGCCAGCTACCATCTCTCTGCCACCCTCACAACAACCACGGCCTTTTCAATCGGATGGCAGTTGTCCGGTTCCACTGTGAGTACCTCCATCCTTGTGTGACTCTGAGCGGTGAGAATGAGGTTGATCAAAATTATTCTGCCGCGGAGGTCGAATGCAAATGAGTTCACTTGGAAGAAGTGGGCACAAAGGCGATCATTGGATTCTATTGGATTGACTCCCACAGAAGTTGGAACATTGGAAGTGAATGTTACTTTAGGACATCAGCTTTCCAATCACAGAAGTGACTGTTGCCTCAGTTGTTCAAAGTCGACCTTTTCACCTTTGGTTTTCCCTTTAAAGGCTACCTCGTATTTCGAGGTCCTTCGGGCAACTGAGTTGCATTTCCTTCGGACGACTCGAGGAGGGGCGCCGTGGCCGCTTGGTGAAGCAGGCGCTGCGCTCCTACTGCCGGCCATACCTCCGCGTCAGGACCGAAGCGCGAAGTTCTGGAGCGCTGGGCTGCGCATCGCGGAGACGTATTCGTTGGAGGGTACCATGGGTACCCTTTAAAGGTTTGGTTTAAAGGCAATCTGCAAGGTATACCATGTTTAATGTTGTGGGTCTGCTCTATTTAGAGACATATCCAAATAGGATATGGATGGCTTGTCTCTCTAACAGGTGATCTGGGTCCGGTGTCCCTTGACGCTCAAAAATGATTGAGTGCTAAAGCATGGCCAAAGTCAGATTTGTGCCAAGACTTTGTCAGTGCTCCGTGTCCACCGCTCGAATGTTCAGCAGGTTGTCGCCGCCAGGCACTGGAGGTTCCGATATTGTTCCGTTAGGACGCTGTCGAAGTACATGGTGGACATCCCGATCCAAGCTTCAGGCAAGGACGTCGAATGCCTCAAGCCCCTATTTGTGTTTCTTTCTGGGAGGCCTACTTCAGCTTCCCACCAAGGGGTGGTTTGGTGGTTTGGTGGTTTAGGGGTGATTTCCCATCTACCTGCAACAAACCCGGGGTTCAAACCAAATCAAATTTCCAATTGGGGGTTGCTTGACTACTAACCTAGAACCTTGTTTACCGGGAACTTGTGGTGGGTTCAAAGTTGGGAAGATGTTTCCCGGGGCCGGCAAGTAAACCAACTTGCTTCCAGTTGGATTTGGAACAGACATGACTTTGCGCAGTTGGTGCCAAACATGTGCAGATTTGGAGTCACTTGGGTTGGCCAGGAGAAACATGAATCTCCTATCCAGAAAGGTTCGCACCCTTTGATCACAACGCCTTCCTTCCTTAGGGGTGAAGATAGAAGATGCAAGTCTCTGATGTCGAATCTAGTTCCCACTGACATGGAACATATTTTGGTTTCTAGTTTATTTCGGAGTGAATGTGTTTCCCCATACTGGAAGGCATTGCGGCATCCATCTACTTCCACTCGACTGAATCAGGCGTATGGGGACGAGCATTGTGTGCATGGTTTCACATGCAAAGGCACTCCCGTCCATTGAGCCTGTTGAAGACCACCCAAGGATCGATACCCTTGCCTAAAGTTGGAACTGCCCTTCTCTTTTTCGCCATGGCTCACTTGTGCGAGTGTTCCTATGTGTTCGGTTGGGAATGCAAGTTAGCGGCTTTGAGATTGGATCTATTCACTTCGTTCATGTCAGCCACTTGACCTTTGTTTGGCTATACTAGCAGTTCACAGTACTTGTTCTTGCATCCCCATTCATTTGCAATCAACAATACGGCCAAGCCGGGTGTTTCTCCAATAAGTAATCCCCTAAACACACATTTTGGTTGGTTTCCTGTTGGTCTCCTTTTAAATACCAACCAAAAGGGTGTCCAGTTCACGAAAGCTGTGCTGGTGGGGGTTCTTCCAGCCTCAGCTTCATTCAGGGGCTGAGCTTCACAGAATGCCTGATTTCATCAAGGTTTCGATGTGGGAGCCCAAAGAAGCCTGAATCGCCCTAAGAGCCCAAATCGTGAAGGGTCTCTCGGGCCCGCCCCCTCGCGCGAGCATATTGGCACACTCCAGAGTCCACATGTTTGCAGCTGGGAATCTGCCATTAGGACCTGGTCCAAGTTTGGGTCTAAGTGACTTTCTTTGATGTAAATTTATGACTACAAATCGTTACACATCTCAATATCTTGGGTCGTACATGTCATGTTGGGCTGGCGAGCTTTCGTTGACTCGCAGGGGTAACACAAAACAAACATATGGGTGTGGCTCAAAATTAAAGGGCCAGGGGACCGCATATTTTAGTCTTTGGTTCCATTTACAAGGGCAAGCCATTTTAAGCACCTATTTTGACCAACCATTTTAGAACCCATTTTAGTGGTTGGATTGGGATGTTCACTGGGGGAAAACCGGGCTTTTGACCCACAGCCATATCCGCCAGTCCAAACGGACCATCCACTGCTTGCCACTGCTCGGCCGCCCGAGAGGCCGGGGCGAGGATCCCACGACGCTGCTGCATGTGGCGGCCCAGTACAGCTTGGGCCTAAGATCTCCGCGGGGTTGGCAGAACTTTCAAGTTGCTAGCACATGGACCCCCAGTGCCTTTTTCTTCACCGATTCTTTTTTGGTTGGGAGGGCTGTTCTGCTAAAATAGACAGATAAAAAAGTTGGTAGCCTTATTCTAACCTCTCTACTGGAGGACCTAGTAGAACATACCCTACAGATATGATCACATCAAGGTTATACTCTTTCGCATATGGACCCACAACAGTTCTCCAGCCGTGTTCCTGGGATGTTTGCAACTATATGCTGACTATATGCTATGAGTACTCACCATATCCAGAGGGGGGTGTTGTTTTTGGTTTTATGTAGACCGCTAAGTATTTAGCACCCAGTTTTTAGGGTTGGATGAAGCCAATTTCTTGGATGATACTTGGATGACCCTACCCAGCCCCACTGACTAATTTTCTGCAGAGGGGTACTAAGCACTTTCTTGAAGGCTTTGACATTGTGTTCTGGAGACGTGGATGACCAGCCCAGTTATCTAGTACGTGGTTCACAACGTAACTTCCTTAAGTGAGTACATCCTAGTTAGTGGACTCACACTAGGGTCATTACCTAGTCACCAAGCGGGGTTCAAGCAGGGACCCACCCAGAACCCAGACCAAAGACCACCTCCCAGGGAATATGTGGGGTCCTTAGTTTCTGAGCTTGAAGCCAAGTAGGCAAATCAAGGTTGGGAGGGGGTCTTCCTTCAGGGATTGCAGGGTCATTGAAACTTGGGTGTGGCCGATTAAATATTCATATGGATTTATGTCATCTCCTAGTGAAAAGATTATTCCCCCAGGTGTTCTGAGACCCTCATCCAAAAAGAGGACTTTGTCGTCAAGAGTGACCTAGCCAAGACGCGCTGCGTGCCAAGCCTCTCGAGTGAAGCCATGAATCCAGGCTTTGCCATTTCTAGCAACTGGGAGATTGGTCCTCTCCTAGGTCTCCCAGTAGTGCCCTTTTACCTTTTTTTGGGGAGGGCTCCCCTAATAAAACTGACTCCGGAAAAAAGTTGGTTCCGTTATCTTAAAAAACTCAGCCCCCAGGAATCTGAAAAACTCAGCCCCCATGACGACCCCTTCTGTATTCTATCCTCTCTGCTGGAGGACCTAGTCTCTGACAAATCGCCGGCATAGCACTTTCTCTACAACCTCCGGGTGGGCTCCTGGGGAACGTTCACGCGGAGTTCACGTGGCTTCAGGCGACACACAGCCAGGAACCAGGGCTTGAAAAGGATCCATGCCACGTACAGGCCAGCCTATTTCACTCCAAAACAGAAGGATGAATTCGACCCTTGTGATGCTACAATCATTGTAAATTCACAAGGGTTGTCTAGTGGGGTGCTTGGAAGTCATGGCCGAAACGAAGACATGCGTGAATTTGTTGATCCCTTACAGCAAAGTGAAAGATGGCACTCTTCCCTTTATGGCAAGTAAAGGGGATGACTGAACCAAGGCGAGGGACTTGTACCATGCACTTCACCCGATTGCCAGTTTGACAGCCACAGCGGGTGTGTGTTTGAGTGTGTGTGTTTTGTTCGAGGGTAATTAGCTTTTTTGAAAGGGAAAACAACAGGAACACCACCATTTGTTGGGTCGCCCAACTTAGATCTGGCCACATCGCGTGTTTCTGTCTTAGGCTTTTGATTCGCGCTGGCACGAGCTAGTGAGGTGAGCTCGACGTGTGCACGGAGCTGTTGAGATTGCGGTGCTCGTTCAAGGATCGAGCCTCACAATCCTCATAAGTGGGTCTGTCTTTTTTGGGGGGACCCACAAAGTTCAGATTTTCCGCTTGGATTCCCTTTAAAACCCACCAAAAAGGGTACCGGCAAAAAAGAGACACCCCGAATTCATGTTTATTAATAGGGTACGTGTCTGCTCCAGAGGGGGTTCTGCTACTGTCCTCGTCGCTCCTAGGCTGGATATCCCCTTTCCGGGCCCAATCAATCATTCAACATTGGAATCTCCGAGAAACAAATTCAGTTTCTAGGTCCCCCAGCTAGGTGCCAACTTTTCTCGTTTCTTTTTGGGGGGAGGGCTCCCCTACTAAAATAGACTACAGAAAAACAGGTACCCTTATTCTAACCTCTCTACTGGAGGACCTAGACTTAGTTTGGCAAGTGTCGGTTTAGTACTGGTTCCAGAATGTCTTCTAGAAAGACTGGAGTTGGGGTTGGAAAATTTGCTCGCTGAGTGTTGTCTTAGCATTCGGAGAATTGGGTGCTGGGAAGAACCCTTGTTTTCAATAGAGTACGTTTTATCAATAGGGGAAATATATTGTTGTTTATGCGTGTTGCTTGAACATATACCTTTGGCTGCTATACTGTACGTTGTTTGTTGTGGGGTGATATTGAAAAGGGGCATCAATGGAACCCTGTGGATGATGCCCCCAACAGCGACAGCTATGGGTTCAATCCAAGGAACCTTCGGATTTCCTAGTGTTCAAGTGCCTACATGATTTTTAATGGAGAACAGGACTCCAACCACGCCTTGTGTGGCTCTACTTCTCGTGGTTCGTTTTGATTTCAGGCGGCCTTATTCTTCCTGGCATGATGCATGACTAAATCCAAGATTGGGCTAGCTTTCTTGAAGCCAGCTCCAAACCATGTGCTCAATATGGCCATGATGCAAAACCAATGGTATCATTTTGGGATAGGTGCACCACCCATGTTAGTCTATTTCAGTTTGGGATGTTCACTGGGGGTACGGGGTTTTGACCCACGGCCATATGAATGCAAGGGCGCTGTTTATTTCGTGTCCCAGTTTTGCCCTCCGCCCGGCTAGTAGCATCGCAGGAGGCCGGGGGTCAGACTCCCTTGGACGTGGCGGCGGACGAGCCGACCTACAAGTGCCCTTGGTTCCCAGGGAATGCTGCCATCCCCGCTCCCTTAATGGAATTGGGGGAGGGGGGGTGACCCCTGGAGTTCCATTTATAGCTCCATTTTCCCTTTCATGGGGAAGACTGGATAAATCATTCTCCGGGTCAGGTGCCCATTCTGTCCGGGTCAGGTCCGCCTACCCCCTACCCCCTAAGTTAGGGGGGATATTGGGCCCTTCTCTTGCGCAAAAGGTCTCCTTTGTGGTGCTTTCGCTCCAGGGATTATGGGTTTGGCAACCAGCCGATAGCCCGAAAAAACAAAGAATCCCTTGCGGCTTCGCAGAAGTCCATTCGTTCCCAAAACCCCTGTTGGTTCCCTACATATAACTCGCTTTCGCAGACTAGCTTCTAACTCCACTCGGCGAATCTACTTGTGCGAATTCGGCCTTGGTTGGTTCCATGCTAGCAGAGTAAATCGGCCTGACCGCTCGTCTTTCACCTTTTCTGGCATGCTGCTGCATTGCTGCTTGATCTTTGTGTCCCTTTTTGCTGTCTGGCTTTATAACGCATGTTCCCTAGGGTGGTGTCCCTTTTCCTTTTTTGCACCCGCAGAAGGGTATGAATGATTCTTGTCTTGGTGTCCTTCATTCTCCCTTCGAACTCAGCAATCACTTGGGTCCCAAAATAGGGATACCTCGGTGTTCCTTGGCTTTCCCTTTAAAACCAAGGTGAAAAGTGTAGCCTCAAAAGACACACCCCACTTCTCACTTTTTGCACGCTCGGATCTGTCCGGGTCAGGTGCCTCATTCTGCCCGCCTTTATCTCCCTCTGCGCGCGCATCAAAGCGTGCCGCGCCGCCCAGACAGCCCAAACAGAGGAGCCACGGCGGATTTTTGGAAGACGAGAAGCAGCTCATTTTTCTAGGGATTGATTCCCCATTCTTTTCAACCATCCTTCTTTTCAATACCCAGCGGCTTTTCCCCTGGGTTTTGCCCGTTGGAAGAGAAGGATCGGGTCGAGCTAGAATTTGGTTGCCACTTTCACGGCTCAAAGTGAAAACTCAAGGATTCTTGACCGGTCGGGTCTCTTTGGGCTCAGTCTGCATTTCATTGGAGCCAGGATGAACCCGGATTTCTACCAGGTGTTGCATGGCAGTCTTGGGGCTGCCTACAGGTTCAACAGAGTCCGGATGAAACTTTCTGGGTCCCAACCCCCGCAAACGAAGAATTCCCCATCTTCTGAACTGTAAACTGGTGGTAAACCAAACATTCAGACACTTTTTGGGCCAAGTGAGTCCAACAACTGCTTCTCGGACAGCACTGGGGACATGTTTTTGTTGCTTCGCGTTGTTGCCGGGTGAGGAAGGGGTTGAGCAGGCCGTATGCTGAGCATACTGAGTGCAAATATCAGGTTCTGGACAGATGGCGTTGGCAGAAGTTCAGATTTGAAGAGCAAAAGGAGGCTTTGAAGAAAGCCGGGCCCCGGTTTCTCAGGAGGAAGAGGATATCATCGCGCAAGTCATCGAGCAAGTGGACCTTGATGCCACCGAGCGGCCTGGCTGACTGTCTGGGGGGGGGGAGGGGGGGAGGGGGGGGGGAGGGGTTCCATCGGTCTGTGCCAACAATTATGTGGTTGTCCTTTTGGGATTCCCTTCTCCAAAACCTGTGTTTTTTCATGGTACCCCTCTTTTGGGGTTGGTTTAAAGGGAAACCAAAAGTGAACCACCAACATCAATTTTTTCGAGGGGATGGAACTCTGGGGATGACGCAAATATCTGAGCAACGGTGATTATTTTGCACCAAACGTTCCTTTGACTCCAAGTGGCTGGTTTCATGTCGTTTCGGTTTTCCTTCTGCAACCGAGGGGTCCCCCATTTCAAGGTCCATCAGTTGTCATTTGGACCCCCCCCCCCAAGGGGTGAGGGGTCCCCGTTGGCAGCCCGGAACGAGGCTCCATTTGGATTGTGCTCTTCCACATCTGGCGATGTTCGGTGCCTAACCCCCTGTATGTGGAAGCAGCAACACCGTAGAGGAACCTCCTTTTGGGGGGGCCCCGCTTTTGGAATCCATGCTAGATTCAGGAGTGAGCCCCAGCTGTCCAAGCCAGTTGGTTTGGCCAAGTATATCAACCCGGGGATATGGAAATTTGTTAACATTGGAGGCCCGGGTTCCAAAGATGTTTGTGTTCTTTATGCCCCTTTAACCTTCAAGGTGAAACGCCTACGGTTCACAGCCACATGAAATCAAAAGAGGCACCATATTCTCTCACCAGAGGCTCCCGATTGATTTAGGGCCTTCAAACAACCTGGGTTTGAGACCCCCAGCCACCTTCGGGGTGGCTAATGGATTGAAAGCAGGAGCCTCTGGGTCATAGCTTACCTCTATCATGTGTCCCTTTAACCTTCAAGGTGAAACGCGTGCGGTACAGAGGCTACTTTTGGGTCATAGCCTACCATATGGGTATGTGTCAAAATTAAACCACCAGAAAACAGCAGGTTTTAGGCCATGTCTCCTTCTACCAGGGTTCCATTTTGGGTACCAATTTTTGACCCACAGCCACATATCATCTTGGTGGTTCCCCCCCAATAGTCATCGCATGTTCGGACCTTGCCATTTGTTCTAGGAACTTCTCACAAATGTGATAGAAAGAGGTAGAATTTGAGACCATAGCGACTTCTCCCACTCCCCACTTACTCGCCATCCGTTTTCATGGTCTACCTCTATTCTGACTCTTATGATTTCGGGCCTTCTAGCCAACCCCTTCAGCGGATCGGATCGGATTTTCTTGCAGCAGGTGGCTCATGTCCCTGGAGAGCCGCGCCCTCTCGCTGCAGCAGCGCCTTGTCCGTGGTGTTCTTTTTCGATGGTACGAAAAAACAGAAAACGTGAAAGCAGGAGGAGACCTGGATCTCCAAAACAATTTTCTTTGGATCTTGATTTTTTTGATGTTTACACTTTGGTCTTTGGGGGACGTAAGTCAAAGCTTGGTTTTAGGGTCTCGATTTTTCCATGGTTGCATATCTGGGGATCACCCCAAGACACGAAGGATGGTCTGGCCACTTTGAACAGACCCACGGGGTACGTGGAACCCAAAGGGGTCCTTCTGTTTCGGTCTCCGCTGTGGTCCTTGATGGACATGATTCAAAGCTAGGTTTTAGGGTCTTGATTGTTAATTACCCTTTGGTGAAGGTGATTCAGTGCATCCAAAGACATCAAGAAAGTTTCAACAACCTAACATAGAAGTCAACTCTCCTGGAGTCCCAGCCAGGAAACCATCCAGGCCATCCACCCAGTTGAAGAGAGGTGCCCAGTCCCGTGAAAGCTCCCACAAGCGGGGGGATTGTCAAAACATTTCGGCTCCCTCTTGTCATATTAGGCCATTAGGCTCTCAATATGGATCATCCCAAAGTAGGTTAGTGTTGACCCCGGATTGATAAACCCCTGTTTATTACTACAGGGGTGTCCCCTCCAACAGTGATGAATCTCCACTAAAACCAGGGACACCCCCCATAACAGAAATAAACAGCGGTTCATTAGTACATTATCCCAGAGGGGGGCCAAGAAACCTATGGGTTTGCTGTTTGTTTTTTAGAGTTGGGTGTGCAGTTTGGTTCCAACCGGCCGAAACTATCATTCTTTGGGGGGAGTGGGTTTACTGGTCAGCTTGCGTTGGCGAGCAGCACAAAACCTTGCAAAGGGAAACCAAATGATATTAGTACCCATTTGCCTTTCTGGTGCTATGTAAGTGGAGAGAGGAGAAGAGATAAGCCCAGTTGTTCAGTCGCACCGGGGGGTTTGTTTGAGTTTCCATCTCAAATCAACCCTGAAAAGAAATTGCTGGTTCCAAGTCTTTTCTAGAACTGTCCTTGGCGTCCGGGGGAAGTCAATCGGGGGAAACCTTTGTTGTGGTGTGCTTTCTCGTTACTTGTCCCGTTTGTTACTTTGCTGGTTTGGGTGTTGTTCATGATTGGGCGGAGTTTTCTACAGAGAGCAACAAAACTGGCTTGGATGCTAAGTAGCTGTTTCAAATGCACGACAACTAAAAGGCAACCTTCCATTGCTTTCCATTACCACTGATTTTTACACACCACTACAGTAGAGTTATATCAACTTATAGGGTTTGATCCATGGCTGGTGCATGTCGGGCGATGCACAGTTTGGTAAGGTCTTGTTGCCTCTAGCTTATACAACATGTCCTCAGGTTCCTTTCTGGGAGCTGAAACGTGACGCCATATTAAAGAGAGCCTGCCAAAAGGAGAATCCTTCAAGCCCCACCTACAAAAGGACGGCTTGAGCATTGTTTACTTGTGTGCTGTGCTGTAAGGGAGAGAGTGTTCCTGGAAGTTTAGCGAAGGGGAACAATTGGCTCTAGAGACTTCCCTTGGAAAGTCGGTCCCCGGGACTTTTGTTCGAACCGCGTGGCGCGGGGCTCCCTGTTCAGGGACCGCCAAGCCGTAAAGACATAGGCTCATGTAGCTCACCAGACCATGGGAAAATGGGGAAAATGGGGGAGAACGCCTTTTCCGCATTTCTCCCTGCGGGGTTTGGCCTGGGTAAACCCGAATGTTGAAAAGCCACTGTGTAATGTTGACCCCGGATTCATACACATCTTGTTGGTTAATAGGGGGGTGTCTCCTTTTAGTGGGGATTCAGACCACTTTTGAGAGGGAACACCGCATCCTTCTGGGTTTCGGATTCTACTTAGCTGGGACCTAGGATTTCCTCCTGGGGTTGGGTCGGGATTGTGAGGATCATCGACATCAAGAACCCCCACCACGAGGACTTTAGCTTGGTGGATTATGCTGCCATGTACGGGCTCAAGCGCTGCTCGGCGTCGAAGCATCGAAGCCTTCCGAGAGGCTTCGACAGGAGGGATAGAACAGATTTTGGGGCGGAAGAATTAAACCAACGGGGGAAAAAGAGAGAACCAAAAAAAACAGACAGGGGCTGAGTTTAATTAATTGCACACGTCATGATTTTGTGATGACTAAGTTAATTTTCAAAGTACCCCGCAAGGCCGTTCTAATGATTCAGGTCCTTGCAGTACGCAAGAAAGCGAGGTTGCTACCGTCCCACCGACTCACATGGATTCTGCCTGGGTTCTGGCGGAGCATGTTCCTCTTCTATGGACTTTCTGACGGCTGCTATGATAGCTGGTGGATAGAGTTTGATCACCCCAATTTTTCAAGCCTAAATTTGGATACTGGTCATGCCCTAGCAGGAGGTGGACATGCCCTATTGCCCTATTCAAATCCAATGCGGAAGATCCAATTCGAACAGCTCGTCTTTCTTTGGGCCCAGCGCTGGCCTCTGTCGGTTGAACCATGAGGTAATTTGGCGGGTCAAAAATAGAGCAACCCCAAAATGACTTGCCCTGGTAAATGGAAAAAAAGGCCTACACCTGCTCTACCCTGGTGTTTCATTTTTGACCCATACCCATTTGATGATGTCGCTATTATTCTGGTGGACCAAGCGCGACTCTTTGCGAGGTTTAGAGGCAATTGTGATGATGTTATGTAATGGAACCGGTCAACGAGCACCATTTGGGTGACAAAACGCTTGGGCTCTTTGATATTCCTAGGAAAAGAGAGGGTGGCGTGTGTATGTACCCTCGTTGTGTTGTTTTACCAGGTTGGCCTGAGTCGAAATAGGAGGACCCAACAAAATTGTGGTTTTCCTGTTCAACAAAATCAACATTTGCGGCTTGAGCCTTGTAGGGCCAAACATATGAAGGCCCAACCGCCGTAAGGCTTTGAGGCAACCCCAAAGCGAGCCTCGGAAAAGGACACATCCTTTTGGTTTCCCTTTTTGTTTGGCACCAGGGCAACTGGTTCCACATGACCTACCCCGATCTGGGCAAGTTACTCTAGAACTTACAAACCGGAAATAAGAAAGACCTGTCAGAAGCCTTCAGCCAGTTGGTTGGTGAACGCATCGAGAGTTTCGACTGGGGGTCCAAACGGGGAGACCCCAGGGATGGAGAAACGCTTTCCTTTGGGTTTCGTTTTAAACTCACCTGGAAAGGAGCACCTTAAAAGCACAAGCCGGCATGCACGTCAAGCCTTTTGGGGTTTACAGTTTACAGGGAAACTAAAAGGACAACCGACATCCATTTGGCATTGCTTTTTTGGAAGGCACCCCTCTTTTGGTGGTTTCAAAGGACAACCAAAGGAACACCATTTTGGGGGGTCCGCCAAAAGAGACACACTCATTTCTGGGCTCCCATTCCATGGGAAGTCCAACTGATGACCTCGCCATGTGGGTGTGGCTCAAATTTAAGCAGGAGGGCTTACACAGGTTTTGGTCCATGTTTCCACTTGCCAGGGCAACCCATTTTGGAATTCCGTTTTTTTTTGAGCCACAGCCATATGGCAGTCCACGAAGTCCATGAAGTCCATGGATCCATCAAGGTGTGCTGCGCCACGTGGTGGACTCCATCGCCGAGATTGACGACGACCGGAAGATCCCCTGGCGCGCCGAGCTCATCGGCGTGGCTCCTCGAGCTGTCTGAGTTTTTTTGTTTTTTTTAATCGAACATAAACATAATAATAATGATAATTATAATACAAACACAACAACTGAGAAGTGGGCAACGATTCGGCCCAAAGGGAAATCAACGATGAAGGGGTTTGGCGGGCTAAGAATGTGCCCCATTTCTTCTTTTTTTTGGGAGGGGGGTAAAGCAGAGTAGAGCGAGTTTATGATTAGGAATGGAACTGCTGACCGTTTCTGCCAGCACACTCCGAAGTAATAGCCTCAGAATCCTCAAATAGGGACGCTTGATTGCCCTCAGAAGAGCGGTAGTTAGGCTTTACGGGTTTATAGCCCCAGCCAAGCAGCTGCATCAGGGTTGCTTTGAACCCAAAGTCAATGACCCAACCAGAGGTAGATGGTTGGAATGGGGTCCTCTGCATTTCCTTCTCGGGCTACGTTTCTGTCCTTGAGAGGTCTTTGGAGCAAACCCGCCTATTGTGGCTCTGCTCAATGGCGTCATCTCTGTTTTTGTCCTTTGGCCTGGGGCGCACTAAAAAGGGAATCAGCCTCGGGGGCGGATTCCCCTTGTTTTTTCCGGAGCTGCTGGGCGACAAGGGTTCCTACTTAGATGATCCCAGTTAGAAGTTTCTCAACGGGGTGTGTCAGGTGAATCCTGGGGATGTTTTTGCATTTCTTGAGCCACTTTCCAAGCACACCTCCAATGTCCAACACTGATTTGCTTTGACTCCTGAAAGGCATTACAGCAGCATGTTTGACAGGATTTAGGAAGTTTGACAATACGATGAGGGACATTTGTACATGATGCAAGTTTTCCATGATTGAACCACTAGGCTTTGGATATGCTTTGAACTTTCAGACTTGATTGGGGGATCATTTTGATATTGTTGAATTATAGTTGGCAGGGACCAAGACCCGCGCCCACTCCTCCCCACCCCCTCATCAGAAGCCATGCTCGAAAGATCTAAGAATCGAGGTTTGGTGTTCTCCCTATGTTGGGTGGTTAACCTATTGGAAAGGCAAAACTGCAGGTGTCATTGTATCCATGTTTCCTGTTTCGGGTGGTTTAACCCTGGTTGCAAGACGGGCCTCTCATCATGGCCTCCAAAATGGGTTGCGTCCTATAGCACTCGCTTGAAATTGCACTCAAACAAACCTAGTTTCTTCGTTTGCTGTTTAGGTACCTGCCACATCTTGAAACCACCAGTGCCTAGCTGCTCACAAACGGATTTCTGGGGAATTCTGGGGACCTGGTAGGGGAATCTACCCATTGCGAGCGGTTGAGTCATGCCCCGCGCAGAAATCGCCTCGACTTCTCAGGACCTCCCGAGGTTCCGCAACCGGAAGGCCGGGGGATTTCTCGTGCTCTTTGGGAAAATGAGAAAACCATGAACCCAATGCTTGCCTCTGTTGCCCGTGGATTCCGCCCTTGTTTCAACTTGTTTGGGGAAGGGTTCCGGTTCCTTTGAAGTCAACCAGCCCAAAAAATGCCCCCTTTTTTCCCATGGCCACGGCATGCCACGGCCAAGCATTGAGTGCTGGTCCTTGGCTGCCGCGCGTGGACTGGCGCGTCGCTGATCTATCCGGTGAAACGCACCATCGCCCTGTTTCAGTCACCACAAAGCACACAGCACTCAAATTACATAGCTAAGTGGACGTAGCAAAACCAACGACAAGAATCACTATTCAAATACAGTGGGCACACCACACAAGCAACATTGAGCAGGAGCCAAGATGAAACAAGAAACCACGACAGGTCCCCCAGTAGTGACCTTTCTCACCCATTTTTTGGGGGAAACCGAGAAAACACAAGTCGGGTACCAACTTCTTCTAAGCTCTCAGGCGCTGATCTACGACATCAGGAGCTTGTTCGCCTCGGCGGATGACCAGTGGACCGCCTCCAACCTGAAGCAGAAGTTGAAGCAGATCGAGGCGCAACTTGAAGTGCTGCGATTTTCGGGGCGCAATTCTCGGGTTTTCCAGCTGGTTCGTGGGCGGGGGTGGGGGTGGGGGGGTAGGGGGATTTCTGAAGCGGGTTTTAGGAACGAAGCGGTTGGGATCTCACGCGAGAATCGCCGACTACACGAAGGTCGATTTGGGATCAAAGACCAAGCCAGGAAAACCGGTTGACGTGGAGCTGATATGTTGGCACTTTGGTTGGGTTCCAACCAAAAGTGGACTGTACCGAGAAGAAATGGACAAACTGTAGAGACCAGTTTGGACACATGAATAGAGTTTGGGAAGTGAACTCTCAGGAAGAAAGCGGCATGAAACTCTATCTAGCAAACTGTCCGGGTGAATTATAACGACCTCGCATGACCTCCCCCCAAATGGTGGTTTATGTGGGGAATAGCCCCCCAACCACCTTATTTCAGGTTGGTGAAGTCTTAGAATTCACCCAGAAGCTGTTGTTCCTGCCCCCCGGTTTGGACATCTCTCGCTCTTCTCTCAGTCTTCCCTGTCAACCGGATTCCGCATCCAATCCTTGCCCCGGGCAAGCCTTCTAAGAATCCAGCGGCTGGTAAGCGCGCATTCCCTCGAGCGGTGCCAATTTGCCTTGGGCACATGTTTTAGCCCTGGAGAGGACATTGTCGTCTATAGGAAACGGAAAACCAACGGTATTTGGGACCTCTCAAATGACATCCTTTTTTACGCTTTCAGGAGCGCCTTGTATGGTTGCGACCTCTTGACCGACAACCAATGCTTAACATAGGGTTCACTGAATCCAAAGCATGGTTCCGGATCTATGGGAGGTGGTACCCCAGGTTCTGTGTGTGTTGGCTGGGCATACGGTTGAAGGTAACTCAAGTGTCGAACGGGGCAAGAACACAAACAATCCAGGTTGACAGACAGAGACTTTCCGGGATGGCGGATGGCAACGAGTTTCCAGGAATCAAAGTCGAAAGGGACCACCCCCAGTTTGGCCACGTGCAACCGTCATAAACTTGCCCAGATTGAACATTCAATTTGGTTGCATCAAGCAAGGGGAATCTTGCAACGGGTACCTCATGTAAGCCTGTGACCAGGGCTGCTGGGAAGCTATTTGAAGGGAACGCATCCCGATTTTGCTGGGGAAACCGACAGGTTCTTCGGGCGCTCTGGATCGCTTTGATTTGTACGGCTTGGGAACCCATGAAAACCCACAGCTTGCACCAAAGGAAGTTCTGAGAATCCGGAGAGGCCGCCCATTTGTTGGAACTCATTCAGGGCCACCAAAATAGTAAGCCTCTGGTTGATACAGTCTGGCTCACTTGCTTTCAATGCATGAGGCACATTCGGCTAGCGCAGGCGTGTCCAATTCATGGCGTGCGTTCGTTTGCTAGATGGCACGGATGTGATGACAACGGAGGAGTATTCCGTCTGGCGGGACGAGCTCCGCGGAAATGAAGATGGGGAATGCTTCTTCGATGCGTTACGGCGCCATTTGGCGAAGAGCTTCCTGGTTACCTATTGGTGCCCGATTTTCCTGCTTTGCCAAATTAAGTTCTTCCTTTTTCTCCACGTTCAGTGGTAACCGGCTTCCTTCTTTGGGCGTATTCATTGAGGATCAACCAACTCAACCACATGTATGTTAGTTGTGTCTGTGTGTGGGCGGGGTTTTCCTATGGACACTGGCCAAGCAAGGATTGCTCTTGCGGAATTTCAGGCAGCTCGCGTTGGCTAGTGGCATAGGCAAGTTGGGGCCAGAGAGTCCGTGGGATAATGCTGAGTGCCTGACAGCCGTTGTACGGCAATATGTTCCGGCAGTCACAGGTGAAGCAGAGGGTTTGGCAAATGGTGTTGACCTGCTGCAAGGGGCGGAAAGGGGCGATGCACAACTTGTGCTAGAGCTGTTGGAGAAGCCTCATGATCCCAATGCTTCTGACACAATCAGACGGAACACGCCTTTGCAGAATGCTTCTGCCAGCGGCCATCTGGTAGTTGTGCAGTACTTGCTGGATGCCGGTGCTGACAAAGAGAAGGCGGGCCACAGTAGCTGCACACCATTACATCTAGCTGCTTGGCAGGGCCATCATGCAGTTGTGCAGTGCTTGCTGGAATCCGGTGCTGACAAAGAGAAGGCTGCCATCGGTGGTGCCGCACCATTGTATGTTGCTGCGCAGAGGGGCCCTCTTGCAGTTTTGCAGTGCGTGCTGGATGCCGGTGCCGACAAAGAGAATGCGACCACCGAGGGCTTCACACCATTGCATCTAGCTGCTCAGCAGGGTCATGAGGCAGTTGTGCAGTGCTTGCTGGATGCTGGTGCTGACCAAGAGAAGGCTAGCAGCGATGGTGCCACACCATTGCATCTTGCTGCATGCCACGGCCATCAGGCAGTTGTGCAGTGCTTGCTGGATGCCGGTGCCGACCAGGAGAAGGCGGCCAATGATGGCGCCACACCATTGCATCCAGCTGCTGGGCACGGCCATCAGGCAGTTGTGCAGTGCTTGCTGGATGCCGGTGCTGACAAAGAGAAGCCGGCCAACAATGGCGCCACACCATTGCATATTGCTGCACGGAACGGCCATCATGCAGTTGTGCAGTGCTTGCTGGATGCCGGTGCCGACAAAGAGAATGCGGCCGACAATGGCGCCACACCATTACATCTAGCTGCTTGGCAGGGCCATCATGCAGTTGTGCAGTGCTTGCTGGAATCCGGTGCTGACAAAGAGAAGGCTAGCAACGGTGGTGCCACACCATTGTATTGTGCTGCAAGGATGGGCCATCACGCAGTTGTGCAGTGCTTGCTGCATGCCGATGCTGACACAGAGAAAGCGACCACCGAGGGCTTCACACCATTGCATCTTGCTGCACAGAACGGCCATCAGGTAATTGTGAAGTGTTTACTGGATGCCGGTGCTGACCAGGAGAAGGCGACCAACGAGGGCGCCACACCATTGCAGTTTGCTGCATGCAAGGGCCATCAGGCAGTTGTGCAGTGCTTGCTGGATGCCGGTGCTGACAAAGAGAAAGTGGCCAACAATGGCGCCACACCATTGCAGATAGCTGCTGGGCAGGGCCATCAGGCAGTTGTGAAGTGTTTACTGGATGCCGGTGCTGACAAAGAGAAGGCTGGCAACGGTGGTGCCACACCATTGTATTGTGCTGCAAAGATGGGCCATCACGCAGTTGTGCAGTGCTTGCTGCATGCCGATGCTGACACAGAGAAAGCGACCACCGAGGGCTTCACACCATTGCATATTGCTGCACAGAACGGCCATCAGGCAATTGTGAAGTGTTTACTGGATGCTGGTGCTGACCAGGAGAAGGCGGCCAACGAGGGCGCCACACCATTGCATTTGGCTGCTGGGAACGGCCACTGGGCAGTGGAACAGTGCTTGCTGGATGCCCTTGCTACTAAGAGAAGGTGATCAGCGTGAGCGCGCGGTTTGCTTTTAGCCGGGTTATGATTGTTGAACTTGCTGCGTGGTTGCAAAAAATGCATTTGTGCTTCTTTGGCCGTTTCTTTTTGAGTTGCCAAACCAGAGGAGTATTGTTGACCCCGGATTTATAAACCCTTCCGATGATTTGCGGGGTGCTCCCTCCAAAAGTGGTCTGACCCCCGATCAAAATCAACCAGAGGTTTGCGTTTGGGGTTGTCTTTGCCTTAAGCGTTGCGTTGGTGGCTCGGTTGGGGTCATTACGAAGCTTCCCTGTGGAACCAGCAGGTTTAATCTGGGCAGGCCAGCGATGGACTTGCAATAAGGATGTCCTTGGTTGGGTTTATCAAAGCAGCCCTTCCTTTAGCCAGACGGTAGTGGTTTCCCTTGTTGTGGTTTCCCACACTTCATTTCCAGATCCTCAAGCTGGCTCAAAAAGTGACCTGGATTCCCTCCAAACTGGGACATGCCTCCTTTCCATCCATGCCTTCTGCTCTACTGGGGCTCATGGTCACTCGAATTACCAGGTGATATCAGAGAATGTCGGGATGCGTCCTGACAACATCCCACGTGCTTCCTTTCCGGCCAATCTGGTTGCATCAAGCAAGGGGAATCTTGCAACGGGTGCCTCATGCAAACCTGGGGCTAGGAGGCTTGAAGGAAACACAGCCGTTTCGCGCCGATTTTGCTGGTGAAACACCCGACGGGTCCGGAAGGCGCCAAATGCGTGATTCCAGTTCTCAGAAACGTTGTCCCAGCTTGCACCAAAGGAAGTTCTGAGAATCCGGAGAGGCCGCCCATTTGTTGGAACTCATTCAGGGCCTAAAACAATTAAGCCCCTGGTTGATACAGTCTGGCTCACTTACTTTCAATGCATGAGGCACATTCGGCTCGAGCGCAGGCGTGTCCAATTCATGGCGTGCGTTCGTTTGCTAGATGGCACGGATGTGATGACAACGGAGGAGTATTCCGTCTGGCGGGACGAGCTCCGCGGAAATGAAGATGGGGAATGCTTCTTCGATGCGATACGGCGCCATTTGGCGAAGAGCTTCCTGGTTACCTATTGGTGCCCGATTTTCCTGCTTTGCCAGATTAAGTTCCTGCTTTTTCTCCACGGTCAGTGGTAACCGGCTTCCTTTTTTGGGCGTATTCATTGAGGATCAACCAACTCAACCACATGTATGTTAGTTGTGTCTGTGTGTGGGCGGGGTTTTCCTATGGACACTGGCCAAGCAAGGATTGCTCTTGCGGAATTTCAGGCAGCTCGCGTTGGCTAGTGGCATAGGCAAGTTGGGGCCAGAGAGTCCGTGGGATAATGCTGAGTGCCTGACCGCCGTTGTACGGCAATATGTTCTGGCAGTCACAGGTGAAGCAGAGGGTTTGGCAAATGGTGTTGACCTGCTGCAAGGGGCGGAAAGGGGCGATGCACAACTTGTGCTAGAGCTGTTGGAGAAGCCTCATGATCCCAATGCTTCTGACACAAACACACGGAAGACGCCTTTGCATAATGCTTGTGCAAACGGCCATCTGGTAGTTGTGCAGTGTTTGCTGGATGCCGGTGCTGACACAGAG